GTATAAATAATGTACGCTTGGCACATTGCCCGTGCCATTAATTGAAATAATGGTACACTAACATCAAAGGATGACGTCACATCTGTATTTTAAAAATCCTTAATTCGACTTTCATTCAATGATGCCAAGCTCATAATCAACCTCCTAGACCATTCGATGGCTTTGATTTTTTAACAGATTTAAACATGATTGCCAGTGAATTATTTTTATTATGCATATTCGTGGCTTTGTTTATTATCGTCACAATGGTAGCAATGACAATCAATTGTTTAAACTATTATAGCAAGAATGTCAGCATTTTATCTATACATTACATAATGCATCTTTAATTGATAATATTCATACAAACCAAGTTAATGAAATTTAATCAAAAGTAATTTTGATTTTATTAAAAATATTCATACAAACCAAGTAATTGTAATTTTGTGATTTTATGACAACTCCTATTAACCAAGTAATTTTAATTTTATCACAAACCAAGTAATCTGAATTGAATCCGTAACTTTCACACTTAAACCAAGTAATTGTATGTAATCACTAACATTCACACAAAGCAAGTTATTGTAATCATTCGCGCACTCCAGGTAATTGTAATTTAATTGATAACGTTCACACAAATCTAGTAGTTTTAATGAAAGAAATTGTAGGATTTTAAAATAACATGTATTTATTATTATAGAAAGCAGATGTTACACATGGTAGACAATATAGGATTCTAAAAAAACATCTTGTATTTGTTGTGAGCGAGAGATAAATGGGGTTTAACTTCCACTCGACACAAACTATGTCATTTCGGGACTAACATATGATTCAATTTTATTTTAATAATTCATTTGCGCATAGGGGTCTTTAGCAGTGGGAGAAAACTCACTAGGTTGAACAGGCAACCCTACTCCTTGTCACGTACAACTAACACTGTTCGACTTTCAGGGAATGTACATGCAGCTCGTCGACGTGTGTTCTCTACGCAACGCCGTATTAACCATGGTGGGGGCCCTGGGGCCTTGAACATGTGGGGCCCCCTCATCACCGACCGCGGAGCTGTGGTCGCCAAAGCGGGCCACCACGAGCGCCGAAGCCCCACAAGGGCGGTCCGGGGGGGGGGGGGCTCACCCCAGGAAATTTTCAGAAATTTGAGGCACTTGTGTCGGAGCCATTTGAAGTACCTCCCCGAGAGCAAAATAAAATTCTGCCGTAATATTAGCGCATTCTGGCGTTATTTCAGTGGACCAATCCATGCGAGTGCTATGAAATGATGGCATTTCTAGAGGAGGGGGCTGGAGCCCATTGAGCCCGTTAAATCCGCGACTGTAAGTGAGTAGAGCTACATCAAACCTAATTTTGAAGTCGCTCAGTGATAAATAACAGGGTCACTTGATTCGGAATCGTATTATATCCCCCACGATGATTTGATGAATGGAGGCCGTAACGTTACGACCAAGCCGGACTCGATTTTTGACGAACGTCTAATACTGTAAGTACCAAATGGTAATCAAGAAATCTGAATATTTCGTGTGATCATGATGTGCATCTCATCAAATTCAGCTTATACCCAAAACAAATATCAACAACAACAACTACAGCTTATATACAATCGTACCTTAATCTGAGGCAAAATTCGCGCTACTCGAAATGATGGGGACGGGTAATTTGATTGAGTTTTACGATAATTCGAGTTAGACGATGTTCGGTCCGATAGAAGATCCTGTTTAACGGGTCCTATGTAACGACTGCACACCGACCATGTGTCGAGACAGTCCCTGTGTAGCACGCTACACACGGACAAAGTGTTCAGACGGAAAATTATTCTCTTTGTAGCGCTCGACTCGGCTCGACACTGGGAATCAGTGCTGACATGTACTCAACACAAGCTGCTCGACACAGGGAGCCTGTGTCGTGACATCTAAGCACAGGCTCCCTGTGCTATGGTTACACATGGGTTCTGGCTGTGTTCATATAATTTGAAGAAACTATTGAAACAAAATGAGAGCAGAAATTCAACCACGTACAAGGCAGTACTCTCATAAGAATTTGACAATTCGTCTGTAACTAGCCATGAATTCCGGCGATGCATCGGAGGGGCCCCGTCACTAGGTCACCGGCCGTTAAGAGTCCGCGGTCGACCATGCTCGAGGCGCGCAACTGAGATTTTTGTGGGGGGGCCCTCTAATGTGGGGGGCCCTGGGGCCTGGGCCCCATGGTGCCCCGTGGTTAATCCGGCGTTGTCGGATCTTCAACACTTGATTTCAGGAGCAAATAATTAACAGCAACAATTTAACAACTTATAATTTCCTATATATCAAACCTCCAACAAGTATATAGGTTCCCTAAGTCTCTCCAACTAATGAATTATCTTACATACATTTGTCTATTTATACAAATTAATTACTTAGAAAGTGTTGACATAAACATATAATTATTGAAGGATTAAGACTTAAGGCATTTAAAACTTAAAAAATCAACCACTTTAATTACCAGCCTGTCATAATTTGACTGACAGGTTAATTGCTGTCTGCCCCTAATGACTAACCAAGCATTAATGAATATTAAGATATAGATTTGAAATTTAAAACTGAATTAAAAAATAATAAAATAACATATGACATAGATATCGGTCATACAACCACAGATTCGAAACCATAATTTTGGGTTGAAATTGCTCCGGCTCAAGAACACAGCAAAAAACATGCCACCTATAAAAAATGTTTGGTGAACACCAACCCAGCTGACCAGGTTGCCCCGCAACTGCATTTGAACACTTTACCAGGATGAACACGTGGTGTAGTCGCTCTGGAGCAAGTTTACAACTCATGCAAACATTCGGCAAAATAGGCTGAAATTACCACTACCTATGTGGTAGGGCCAATAGTGACTTTGCCATATTCGACCAGGTTTTGCTGAATATGTTGTAAAAATGAATAGGCCGATTTCTAAAATTCTGACCATTTTTTGAAAATTTGTACCTCACAAAGATATATCTCCTGTTGTGTGTCATTTTTTACACAGTTTTGCTATCTAGTAGCTAGGTCTACATGTTAATATGATGAAACTTCTTCTCTTTACAACTACTTTTCCCGGTCGCAGTTCATTCCGGGTAATATTGACCCTTCCCTGTCTTCCAGTACATTTGGTGTAAAAATTAAGAATGAAGCTAAAGCCCATTTCATTTCATTACAGATAGACGTTTCGACCACAGAGCTTAAACAGAGCTAAAACGTGCGCTTCCTACTAGTTTGTGTGCGTTAGTTCTAACTGTTAGCAACCCTGCTTGATCTCGGCCGAACTGGAAAATATCTTTCCAAATTTATACGCAGAATTCTAACCCTAACCCTTCGGAATAGTTTTACCCACAATTCACCGTTTTTACAGCTTCAATTTGTACGTTTGACATGTAAATTGTAAACCTAACCCTAACCCTAGAAAGATATTTTCAGATCGGTCAAGATCAAGTATTGTGCAGCTAATCAAGTTGCTGTCATGTATGCGGCCATGTGACAATGTCCAGAAAAAAATTCGCTCAAAGCACACTACGTATGGATTATGTCCGGTTTTGTTAGTCCAGTTTGTGCGGAAAAGTAAGAAATAAAATCCCATTCCTTTTCCTTTTAGCTTGAAGTTCTAGAGTGGTCTTCATAAGTTTATATAAATGTCACCGCATTCTGTCACTCAGTCTGTCGGCTGCAAAATATGGCGGGAAATGTATATTGTACTAGCCACAGTTTGGTATTTCATATTTAGCAGCTATTATTCTTTGAAACCATAAAGCTGGCGTTTTCTTGGACTTTAAAAGTTAATCAAATTTGAATTGGAATCAATGTCTGCACAATCTATAAAACATACCGGAAAATTTTTACCCATTTACTTATTCTACACACATACACATTTATTTTAGGTTGGCTTTGGCAGACTACCAGATGTTCCTTGGGCAGGGACCGATCCAACTTTCGGAGAGTTAGATTTTTCGGGCTGACGGATAAAGTAAAAAAAATATATATTTTGCTTTCTAGTCGGCAAAATAAAGTGCAGGTGATACAACACTAGTTTTACTTTCTTTTAAATTAAAGGAGCTAAATCTCTATTCGTTGGCACCTACAAAGAGACACAAATGGGTCGCAATGGATTAAGAATGGAAATATGAATTTTAAATAAACTGATTTACATTCAATCGTTTCTGTTTTTACTGTAATTTCTAATCAGTTATATTTGGTGTCTGGTTATTCCAGTCTACACTGGTAGTATCCTCATGTGGGATAGGGTTAGCCTCGTTCATCGAGTCACTTCCTTAGAAATGGCGCTCGAAAGCATTCTGACACGCGATTCGAAATGTCCCGAGATCTTTGGGATATAAACCCATGATTTAAGTTTCAGCAAAATCGGATCAAAATTGGGACCTCTAGAGGGCCCACAACCTTAGTACTATCACATACTTTAATTACACAATTTGAGTACAGGGAGCAGCCATTCTTCGGGCAGTTTCGGTTCGATTTTCACGAATTCTAACTCAAAAATCATTAAGGTGTAACGGTGATATATTTGGGCGGTTTTTTAAATCGGCTAAAAATGTGACCTACAGATGGTCCACAATCTAAAAACGTGATTTTGTGTACAATCACGGGCCATAATCCAGGAAATTTCGGTCCGATATGCGCGAATATCGAAAGTGCCCGAGATCTTTATATTCCACTCCTCCAAAATCTGAAATTCCGGTTGGCATTGAGTGGAATTTTCGAGTACAAAACCCCATGATAAAGGCTATTTTAGACCACTTTCAAGTGCGTGTACTGGAAAGCGAGCTTGCAGCCGTTTAAATACCCCACAATGAAACGATTCTAAACGTGACTTTGGGGGGCATTTTATTTCGCCTGTCAAACCTTGTCGGACTACTCAGCGCCCCCCCCCCCACGATTTCCTCCCACTGCTAAAGACCCCTACGCGCTAGCGAATCGTTGAAATTAAATTGAACCATATGTTAGTCCGGAAATGGCCTAGCTTGTGCCTATGCTTTACCTGAATACCGAATTATTTACCAAATTACAACCTTTATTTAAACTTTCGCACAAACAGTGATAGGTGGTATTGGACCAATCTGATTAAAACACAGATCCTATTTCGTTTCGTTTTTTATAGTTCAAAATTTCGTTTTACTTGTCTTTACTACACCAGGATCTGGAAGAGCGGTTATCATTGTCGTGTTCTGGATGATGTGAGGGTTTAGGCAATGAAACGGTCTGTTACAGCGACCTTTTGGTGTGTGGTGCACGGAACTGTGGGTAATCCACTAGAAACACCAATGCTGATTGGCTAATAAAATGTCTGATGTCATAGGGTCAAAAGCCACTCATATGACCTCTGACGCGACCTATCACTACAACCGGTCAGAGCGCCCTATCACTACAACCGGTCAGATCTTCATATATAGTGAAGGCGATCGAAAGGATAAAAAAACAAAACGAAACGAAATATAGATCTGTGTTTTAATCAGGTTGGCATTTGACACAACTTACAGCATACGAGTTGTACAAAAGTATGGGATATATATTTGAAAGGTAAACAATCAAATTTCCGATCAGTGTGTTTGTGGAAACCTTTTAAGGATCGAAAACTGACAAAAACAAAACGTGGCTTATCCTTCTGACTGCATGGTGTTCTGATCTGTAAATAACGGTACAAAAGGCCAATGAAAGAGTGAGATATTTGGACTAAATTACACGCAACATATTAAGTTCATCTACTTTTCAACACCGGAGTAAAATCCCTTTTACACTTTTGCGTCAGTTTTGTGGCCGCTTGTTTTATGATAACACGAGGTACAATTTCATGGACCCACAGTTACTCTAAAGATATATCCTAGGCCTATGCAACATTTCGACGAAAATACACTCGTCTTTATCAAGCAAGTGATACAAATATGTGGATGGTAGACAAATATATACAAAATATTCAACAACAATAATAATTTCATACAATTAAAAATTTACAAATATTCGGCGCATGCCACTTTATTATATTTTATTTTCAATCAGTGTGTTTGTGGAAACCTTTTAAGGATCGAAAACTGACAAAAACAAAACGTGACTTATCTTTCTGACTGCGCGGTCTTTTGATCTGTAAATAACCATACAAAAGGCCAGTAAAAGAGCGATTCAAAAGACATTTTCAATAGGCTATTTTTATTTTTCATTTTCTATTTTTGATCTTTTATAGTACGGACATGTGTTTATCTAAATGTTGCATAATGCCTTTTTAATGACGACAATCTGCTTTAAATATAGATGGGATGGTGGTGGACCGGAATTGAGGAAAACACGGAAACATATTTTTAAAAAGGCAATGTATAAGTTGATCATTAGCCCTAGGTCCCACATCTCGGTTTAACTAGGGGTCGATCAGCTTTATCGGTTTTGCTCTAGAGGTGCTTTTATATTGCAAGAGTTCAAAAATTAAATGTGGTTGGTGATGTGTTCCACTATGACTGATTCATTGGTGGTGGCAAAAGACCCGTGCTGTTTCATTTGTACGTTTAAGGGGGGCACTAAAACTCAGATTCCATACTTATCGTAAAACTGAAACAGCCAAAAACACATATTTCAGAGGCGGCCGTTTTGAATCCAAAATGCCGACCGAAAACGAGGTTAGATCGCGTTTGTCCAGGTCTTATTCGAAAGAGGATATCAACAACTACAGGTATGCTAATTTTCATACTCTTGTCAAAAATTGAACTTTTTTTTTGCCTTAGCGCCCTTACTAGATACCACTTTATCTATATTAACACGATTACAAGATTTAACGTGATAATATTCAGATTCTTGTATTTCTGAAATAAAGTGTTCTCAAATAACACCGATGGGCAATTAATCTGAAAGGGAAAATGATATTCTGGGATTGTATTTCTGAAGTTGATAAGTCGACAATAACACCACCAATACTAACAGTTTTGTGTTACATTATGTTGAATAGGTTGGCCTTACTTCAGGTCCGTTGCCGGGGCATGGGAATGGCACTGAAATATGGTCTGCCCTAAAAAGGTGATTGCCCCCTGAAGAACGCCGTGTGTTACGCACGATGTTGTACTCTCAATGAATCCTGTATTTTGCAGTGATAAGATGCAAATTCTGTATTATATTTACGTTTCTGGTTCCTAGTATGATTGCCATTTTTATTTTACAGATTGCCTTAGCGAAACTAAGCAAATAAAATATCAAGCTACCAGTTTACAGCAGCTAAATGTTACACGGTTTATGAGTTGGACCACCATTTATCCTATAATGTGTATCTCAAAATGTCCATGCAATCTTTGGTGCAAGACTTTTCTAGATGTTGTTTCGTCTGTGGTTAGGAGCCAACGCAAATTTGGAAAGTTAAAGCCGAACAACGAATTAACATTAAAGTCAGTGCATATTTGATGTGTCCTCTCCAGCGATGTAATCATTGTCTCCCTTTAATGAATATTCGTCGAACATTAGTCCTGTTTTTGTAATTAAGCATCACTTTCGTTTTGTTTTTAAAAATGAAATTAGTTTAACGCTTTCCAAGGGGTGCCAAATTTGATAATTGCTTGTCATATCTTCAACTTGGCTTTGCTCATTGCCCTTTAGGCTATACCCCAAAGAATAAAATGATACTACAATAGTTTCCTTGGTCATAGTTTTAATTTACAGTCCTTTCTAAAACCACCCTGTAAACGATGTAGGGTGGCTGCCGTGAAAGACAAAATACAAATCTATTGGACAGATTTAATGAAACTGAGCCTTAGGAATTGACTTATCCATGTAGGGTCGCATATCGCATAATTATCAGTAATTGGAATAAATATCAACCCCGATAATATCCAAGACTGTCCAGGCCAAAAAACAAAACAACCGTGGACACGTTCATGACAATCAGCATGGCTATTAAACTAATATAAATGATCGCTTCAGTAGCCGTCATCGGCGGATGCTGTATGTTATACAAGATATTATCCAACTCGTCCTGTTCTTTATCATGTTTGGTTTGTAACTCTTCCAGTTCATCTTGGAGTTCCTCAATCTGCTTTCGTATACCAATTGATATCTGGTGTGGGTTGCATTTATGGATGTCTGCTGCGTTGGATATTAAAGTAGCAATGTCAATGGGAAGGGTGATCACGCTGAGTACAGCACCGATTATAGGAACGTTTTTTGCTGCTGCTCCAGTTGCATCAATTGTGAAATCTGTGAATTTAGATATCTCTATTACTGTTGCTGCTATGGATCCAACTGGAGACACAGACTTAGCCGATAAAACTATGAAATTTCTGAAAACTTGGGACGATTTTTGATATTCTTTTACAGCTGCATCATCATCTGCAAGCGCTTTGTTGCATCTCTGTTTCGTATTCTTGCTAAGGACTTTGTCAGCTATAGAACCACCAACGCTTGTCGCACTGGAAAGAGCACCCACTACACCACCGACGGCTATTAATGGAGCACCAAAGCCAGTTGGTAACGTGAGTGCACCAGCCACAGTTAATCCAGCTGAAAACAATCCACCGACAGATGACGCTATTTTACTCGCTCGGATTTTTTTCTTGTCTGTGTCAAGTTCATCTGCTAATATGGAGAGAAAAAAAATGGTCTTTTGTCGACGTGTCACAAATCGTACGAAATCATCTCGGTGTTTCTGTATTTTAGATATAATTCTGAAATTAAAGTAAAATATAAAATCATCCAGAAATTCAAACTTTAGGGCTGAACAAATTTCAAATATAATTTATATCTTTTATTCTGTAATTTCTATCCCTTCTGTGATATACAGTGCGGAGGGGTCAAATGTTGTTGAGCTTATATCCCGACAACCGACTGAAATAGGGCAGTCAGACAAATGGAGAGAGGTGGGAAATGCATTGCGGATTAACGGTTACCGAAACAATGATAAAGAAAAGTGAAAATGCACCCAACGGGCATATACAGACAATTTCCCATAGGAACTTTGATGATGTCGCAGTGCTGTAGAGGTGTCCTCGGGTTTCCATCCCATCAGAACGACTAGGAGCGTTTCCCTATCACAGCAATGAAAAGGGGTAACAGAGACGACGCCCTGATTGGTGCCACGAACGGTTAAGTATATAGGTTGAAACCCGATTCTCAGGCCTGGATTAACCATTAAGCAAACTAAGTACGTGCAGGGCATCATTGGACATAATTTCTCCAAAATATTTAATTTAAAAATTGATTAAAAACTTTTAATTAGTTTTCGTTGTTTTTTGTCTTTCCTTACTTGTTTTTTCTCAATTAATAATGATGTGCAAACCTAATTTTGACAAATGCAGATTTAATTTGTGGTTTATTATGGTTTGAAGAGGAGGTTAAACTCCATTTCATTTCATTTCATTTATTATGGTTTATATATGTATATGGGGGCACCAGATTCTTTAAAGTGCCTAGTAGGACCTCTATGGGTCTTAACCCGGCCCTGTCGATTCCCAATATAATGAATTCTCTGTACGCCAAGTAAATCTCGAATCCCGCTAAATCGTCATTTGATATTTGGAGACATAATAAAGAGTATCTAACAGTGATCACAACTGTCTTTTGATCCAGAGAAATAGTACATTCAGATTCACAGCACGACAATGTCAGCAGCCTTCTGAATGCTCATTCAAGTTTGTGTTGTTTCAACACAAGTTGTGTTTCAGTGTATGCCTCCAAATATCAGTGGATATATTTCTATGGTAACTGAAAGGGGACAAAATAACATAACGCTTAGCGATTGAAACTTCATGGAATTGGCACCAGTGGCACTCGCAGCAAAGGTTTAATAATTGTCAGCCATACTAAAATATGGCGCCTCATATTTGTTCGCATAATACATTACAGTTAGCTCCGTATGAGAACAGACACTAGGCTAGATGGACGACATTTTAAGTCCTAAATCAACGATTATAGTCGAAAACACTAAGTATACCTTGATAATTTTGAAATGTATTTATTCTGCTTCCATTTAATAGAATTCAAAAGTTTTGTTTAGTCTTTGTGTGTATGCCAAGTGGGAAACGTAGTAGAACCGTATTACAAAACAAAATACTCATTTTTGGATATGGCGGCCATTCAAGACAGAGATTTATTCTCGAAGTAGATGAATCTCTGTATGTAGAATGATTTGTTCAAGGAACAACAATTTCGTTATTTATATTTTAAATAATATATGAATACATTATTAATACCCACTCCTTCTCGTTCTCTGGCTTTCTGAACAACCAACTAATTAAAACTAAGATCACATTTACACAATTATCCATATCAACGTCTAACATTTAGTAGAGGAGATCGTTCGACATTTTATTTATAAGACAATTACGTCGCAAGCAACATGAAACTAAACCTGAAATATTTCCTTATTTGTGTTTGTTGGTTGTAAATGTGGTGTTTAATGTTTATGTGATAGCCGAGTCTATTGAAAAGGGCATAGATGTGTTTGTCGCAATTGTAGTGTTTAATGTATGTGTGATAACCGAGTCTATTGATACGGAATATAAAGGGCACGCAAAAATAATGTCTGCAATATCACCTCGGTGGAAGCGGACTTTAAACAAAGCTGTTCCATGGGCGCCGCCGTCTATAAGTCAAAGTTTTGTTCGGGCATTTCAGGTTCTGTCCCCTTCCTAACATTCACCGAGCCCGTACGCCTATGATCCATTACAAGGAAGAGATCATTAGACACGCTTATAAGAACACTGGTTACACAACTAACCCAAAACATAAATAATTTGATAGTTTCTTTTAGAAAACTATAACACTAGACCATGCACTTTAAAGTAGCTGTATTTATAGGCTGGAATAGCAAGCGGGAAAACGCGTTTGCGACCGGCAAATTTTCTTTAAGAGTCCACACCTCTTCTCTCGCACACGACCGGCGCCGCAGTCTAAAACCCGAAGATTTTTGGGGGCATTTCAGGTTCTGCCCCCCCCCCAACATTCACCGAACCCGTATGCATATGATCCATTACAATAAAGATATCATTAGACACGCTTATAAGAACATTGGTTACACACCTAACCCAAAACATAAATAATTTGATAGTTTCTTGGGACCTTAACACTCGATCAAAATTAATTGTCAATTAAGCTGACATAACACAATGCATCAGTGAATCTAATGGTATATGTATTATGTAACGGCATTCGAGGGAAGGGACTTCACTGTTTGTCTGAGTTTTGATTGACTTTATATTACAATAAATTAATTCACATTGGTAACAAAACGCAAGCAATTATAATCGATCAGACGGGGACAATAAAGCTACAGATTACATTTGTTTGTTGCTATTCGTGTGCATGTAGTTTAAGCGTGGTGAGGGCATAGATAGCTTCAGCGGGTATTAGACCGGGAGCCAAGGAGGCCAACCTAGCTGAAAAGTGTATCAATTTTTTCCTTTATGTTATCAATGCATGTATATCTGGTATCATCAGAATGTAAATCTGCCGGGTTTCCGGTGGTGGGTATGGTATTCCACGTCCAAAATGTCATGCACCCCAACTAGGCTAGATTAGCTCAAAAGTGTACCACATGAAAATCGTACAGCAGTAAACCGTACATCTTCAGGTGTTACAAAAACACCCTAACAGACATTTCTAGTGGTGGGTTACCCCTGACAGAGCTATGTAATTGTCAGACATTTGTAGTAGTAAAGTATCCCTGACAAGAGTTACCTAATTTCCAGTCCACAGCTAGGCTAGATTAGCTGAAATCTGTACCACCTAAAACAGCTTTGGAGTTGTTCAGTACCACCACAGGAATCATGAATGATCACTGCCAGACAGTTTGTGCGATGGGTTACCCCTAATAGACATGCCCCAAAAGGATAATTAAAACTTAAATAATAGTTAATTGGTAGGGGTTAACAATAATCAGGGGTTAACAATAATCATAAAATTAATATAGACAAAATAAACACAATTGTGAAGCCCTATTAATAAGAAATGTATAATAATAGATGTATACAGTATAACACCTTAATTGTGTAATTACAAAATATGAGCTATATAACAGATAATTATACTTCTCTAAGCTAATTGTGGGGGAGAGGGGGGGGGGGTAGAAAGCAATATGATTGAAGTTAGGTTTTATAATAACTAGAAATGACAAAAAGGAACAAACAAAAGAAGAAAACAATGTGATTGAAATTAGGTTATATAATAACTAGAAATGTCCAAAAGAAACGAAATCGGAAAACTATGGGCCAATTGACAATTATTTCTCCATCTTAATTAGTTCATCATAGGCCTTTGGTATGTATAAACCTGTATCTCTATTCACTTCTGGGCTGTGGCGTTTGATTTGGATAGCTTCTATGGTTTTCCTGTTCTTCTTTTGGTGTTTATGCATGGCTAAGGTTTGGACATTCTTCCAGTCTGGTTAGTGGCCCTGGTTCTTGCTGATATGTTCTGCTATTGCGGATACATTAGTTTTGGCTCTAGACTTATGTTCTGAAATCCGCTTGTCAAGTGGTCTTTTCGTTTCACCTATGTATGCCTTGCCGCAGAAACAGTCAACTTTGTATACTACTCCTTTTGGTTGACTTGGGTTGGTTGGTAGTTGTTTCCCATTTGCCTTTAGGATCCGTTTTAAAGTTGTGGAGGTGGTGAATGTTGTTCCAATATTCACTTTCTTCACGATTCTGCTTACTTGGTAAGATATTTTCCCATAGAATGGCAACATAGCTTGATAACAATAAGAGAATACTTGTCGAAACGTCGTGCTATACTTATAAACCAGTGATTGTATTTCCACATAAACTGTGTTGTGTTTTTAATGTGTTCAATCGCTTAATGCCACTCAAGGATTATAGGAGAAAATTGGTACACTTTTCAGCTAGGTTAACCCCCTGGGCTCCTGCTCTATATTGGTACTGCAGCAGCAATGAAATTGGTCATCTGGGTATCGTGTTAACATCGTTTTGGGGGCCAAACATGACCTCGGATGTCGAACATTATATCAGTCGATTAATGTACAGTATCAAGCAAAATGTTTCTGATCGGAAAACAGGTGCTCCATTAGGGCATATAGAGACATCATATCCATTTCCAGATGGTTTCAGTTGATTTTCTGCATTTAGAGTGGCTACGAATACTTTTTGTGGACCATTCCACTGGTTATGTCGTCATTATCCTACAATCAATTAATCTGGACATATAATGCAGAAGACTGAGGAGTTATGCAGTGTAAACCTAGCACAATTTTCGATATTGGCGAATAACGAAACACATTTAGCTCGTTTATCAATATTAATGAATAACTAAAAACAAACTATTCAGATTTGAATACCAACAAACCAACAGTGAGGCTGGTGTCCCCCGCCGAAATCCCAAAATAAATAGATGACACATATTGATTAATTGCACATTTATCTTTTTCAAAAGTATTGAACAGTCAAACTAATTATCTATACTTAGTCTAAGCAGAAAATTTTAACCATCAAACTCAGTCACTTTTTTGAAGTATCCGGTAGTGAAACTAAGTTTCATCACTCTCCATTAGTTAGAATCAAAGGTATCCTGTCCCCAAAGCATCGACCAATGGAACTGCTTAGCTCTGCTTAGCTTTAGTGGGAAAAGATCATGAACATCTACATCAAGTTTACACATTCTACCTCAATTAAAAGCAGAGTTGCTATGTTCCAAAGTTGTGTTATTGGTTAGTGGTTCACGCCACTGGGATTGGATATGCGTCCAGTGCAGGGGAAGTCAAAGACTTTACTACTGCCGCTGGTTAGCCTACTTGTGGGTGTAACAGAAAGTCGAGTGCGTAAGTCTCTCTTGCCAGTATAAAGCCTCTATCAGTTGAAGATCTCTACAGTGCCTCCTAGCAACAACACACGGCAACTAGGGTCTAGTACCCTAGGCTAAACTGTAGAGGATCTCGGAGCAGCAAGTGCCCCAGAGATGCAGTTTGTAGGCCCACCGGTGTGTGGACATGCCCTAGCACTCATTAATCTTACCCCAACTATACGTTAAATAGCCGGCTAGAAGAAAGTCGTTAGCCGTGGATGGCAACCCGTCTAGGAGATCAAAAATCTGATATAAAATCAAAACATGGCTAGATGAGAGCCATTAGCTTTGGTCGGCAACTCATCTAGAGAATGGACACCTTGACGACAGGGGATTAGACACTGGGTTAATCACCATGTACTATAAAAAAAAAACTATGATTACAGAAACTACTAAAGACGTAACTCATGCTTGCCTTTCACGGGTGGGAGCTTATACTATTCTTGAGACCGAAACTAAAGACCGCCATGCGAAACAGAGAATGACATATAACAAACTAAGCCCACTGTTTTCGCACAAATCAATCACAAAAGCTGCACAGTGGAATGTCCGTACCATGTACGAGACTGGAAGATGTGCACAGATAGGCATTAGTGAAGCAAGATGGAACCAAAGTGTGCTGGTAATATTAAATACAGGCGAAGAAGTTCTTTATTCTGGCAATGAGAATGAAAATTACCATGTAATGCTGTCAAAGAAAGCTAAGAACAGCCTCATGGAATGGGAACCAGTCAATGAAAGAATAATGTTGGTGCGACTAAAAGCTAAATGTCAAAATCGTCGGTGGGCGATCAAAACCTCGTATATCGGATTTTATTAAGTTTTCAGGGGAAACAAAAAACTGTCAGCGGTCCCGGATTTTTTATTGAATGTGATTATATTTCTAATTTATGAACTAAATTGTGGAAAATTTAATATGGGAAGGTTATTTTTGGGATAATTTTAGGGGTTTATGTGCTGTGGCTATATACGACATTTTGTCTTGTGAAATGGCGGCGTATGTGATATACGACGTTCTGTTCACAAACTATAAGCCTGTTCTGAGTATATACGACGTTTTGTTCTTAATAACCTATTTACACAGATTATTTTTTAGGGTAATTTACCTAGTACAGTGACGGAGGCAGGATATCTTTTTATCGGCCGGGAAGGGGGGGGGGGGGGTGCGGAGCAAATCGGGTGTCAGTGGTGGATTGTGAAGCTTATCTGCACCCGAGTACAACACTCAATTTCATCAGCTGTAGCTGACATAATTCAAGGCAAATAACCCTGAGCCATAATATTCAAGACATAATTCAAGGTAAGTAATCCAAGGCTATAATATTCAGGACATAATTTAAGGTTATTTACCTATGGTCATAGCATCTACTACACAATTCCAGGTAAGTTGTCTGGTAGGTAAATAGCCTTGGATCGGTTCTGGTAGGTAAATATAGCCTTGGATAGGGATGATACTGAATACGCAACCTAAGATAAGATATCAAGTGTCGTGATATTTACTCCATAAACAGGAGTTATAAACAAAACCCAATGTACGTTTAGCCAGGAGCATGGAATCTATTAGAGAAAAGCTATCGAATTAGACTTTTCAAAAAATGTTGTGACGACTTGTCTGACGATGATCGGCAGTAATGGGACGGCAATTTAGATAAAGGGTCTAGAAATCTTTTAGCGGTTAAATATGTAGACGATTCTCTGTTCTTGGATTTTTTTCTCTTTTCGGTCGAGCCAGGTGTTGTACCGTTTTTGGAACGGTCGAACCATCTGTACACCATTTTTTCTCCGAGAGCAAACGTCGATAAAACATATTCCTGCAGACCTGTAGTCTGTCATTGTTTTTAATTAAGTGGTAATGGTAAGTAGTTTGCTTTCTGTATGTCTTTTCTTCCGTTTCGCATACGGTTCTATCCTTGACATTACATTTTTTTACAAGATTTACTATGTATACCTCTTTTTGATCCCAACTCATCTTCCAGAATGCTTCAAATAGATTACACCTGTCATCCTCTGTAAATTTTGAACATAATTTGCTAGGATTTGGAGCTTTACACTTTGATGTACAGGACGATGGTGTAAGTGTTTTTCCTGATCTCTTAGCAGCATATTTTTAGTGTCCAACATTATGAGCTAAACCCATGTATGGTTTACCATGCATGCGTAATAGTTGATTGTTGTTTTTAAGCCAAACTGCTGGATCAGAGCACCCGTTTTAGCTCTTTTTAGTATCTCAGCTGATATTGATTCTTCAGCGGATTCTATTGCTTTGTTTTCTTCAATTGCAATTGCGACCGACTCGACTGTGGCTGAAATGTCTGACTCCCCAACGATGACGAAGCGGGGCTAGAATTTGTCTGCGAATCGAAATCAAGGTAAGTTCTTTTGGTTGATGTTGGAGCGAGGTATTGGTTACTGAAGGTGGTGCGTGAGCGAGGTAAGAACTGGTTAGTGAAAATGGTGTTAAATTTACATAAGTACTGGTTACTAGAGGTTGTGCTTGGTCGAGGTAAGAACTAGTTACTGGAAGTGATGCTGGGGATTGTAAGTGCCGGTTACTAGAGGTGGTGCTTGAGCGAGGTAAGTACTAGTTTCTGGAAGTGATGCTGGGGGGTTGTAAGTACCGGTTATTAAAGGTGGTGTTTGAGCAAGGTATGTACTAGTTACCGAAGGTGATGCTGTAGAGTTGTAAGTACCGGTTACTAGAGCTTGTGCCTGAGCGAGGCAAGTACTAGTTACCGAAGGTGATGCTGAAGGGATGTAAGTACCGGTTACTAGAGGTGGTGCTTGAGCGAGGTAAGTATTGGTTACCAGAGGTGATGCCGAAGGGATGTAAGTATTGGTTACTATAGGTGGTGCTTGAGCGAGGTAAGTGCTGGTTACCAGAGGTGAATCTGAAGGGATGTGATTAGAGGTGGTAAAGGAATGTACATGTAAGTACTGGTTACTGGGGGGGGGGGGGGCTAAAGGTATGTAAGTACCATTTACTTGATGTGTTGCCGGAGCGGGATGAATACTGATTAGTGGTGATGGTCCTGGAGCGAAGTAATTATTGGTTATTGGAGGTGGTGCTGGGGCAGGTAAGTACTGGTTTCACGAGGTGGCACTGAGGACTGGTAAGTTCTTGGGCCTGGAAATGATGTTGAAACAAGGTAAGTACTGGTTGCATGAGGTGGTGTTGGAGCAAGGTACGTAAATCTTGTAAAGAATGTAATGTCAAGGATAGAACCGTATGCGAAACGGAAGAAAAGGCATACAGAAAGCAAACTACTTACCATTACCACTTAATTAAAAACAATGACAGACTACAGGTCTGCAAGAATATGTTTTATCGACGTTTGCTCTTGGAGAAAAAAAGGTGTACAGATGGTTCGACCGTTCCAAAAACGGTACAACACCTGGCTCGACCGAAAAGAGAAAAAAATCCAAGAATAGAGAATCGTCTACATATTTAACCGCTAAAAGATTTCTAGACCCTTTATCTAAATTGCCGTCCCATTACTGCCGATCATCGTTAGACAAGATGTACCTAGAACAAGTCTTCACAACAGTTTTTGAAAAGTCTAATTCGATAGCTTTTCTCTAATAGATTCCATGCTCCTGGCTAAACGTACATTGGGTTTTGTTTATAACTCCTGTTTATGGAGTAAATATCACGAAACTTGATATCTGATCTTAGGTTGCGTATTCAGTATCATCCCTATCCAAGGCTATATTTACCTACCAGAACTGATCCAAGGCTATTTACCTACCAGAAAACTTACCTGGAATTGTGTAGTAGATGCTATGACCCTAGGTAGCTTACCTTGAATTATGTCGTGGATATCATAGCCTTGGATTACTTACCCTGAATTATGTCTTGGTTATTATGGCTCAGGGCTATTTGCCTTGAATTATGTCAGCTACAGCTGATGAAATTGAGTGTTATATTCGGGTGCAGATAAGCTTCATAATCCACCATTGACACCCTGATTTTTCCCGATTTGCTCCGCCCCCCCCCCCCCCATGGCCGATAAAAAAAATATCCTGCGTCCGCCACTGTACTAGGTAAATTACCCTAAAAATAATCTGTGTAAATAGGTTATTCGAATTGAAGGAGATCTGAAGCATACGTTTGCCCCTGGAGAAAGACGAATTCGAATACGTCATTGTAATGGGCACCTGAAACAAGTAAGAATAATAATAAAACAGTTTGACAAAACTTAAGACTTAGTAATGAGAAATTAAATTCTTAAGTAAGCTGGTTCGTTCGATTGTCTAAAACTTCAAGACTATTGTTTTCTGTTTTTTTTCATCTAGATTTGGGACACAGTTTTACCTCTTTCTACTCTTTCTAACGTGAATTCCTCTATCATTTAGATTCAAAATACTACTATTATGTCAAAATGGACAGGCTGTGTTAGACAAAACTTAAGACTTAGTAATGTGAAATTAAATTCTTACCTTGTTAGCCTGTAACCTGCGTCGATGTCAATTAGGAGATACGACTTTTTGATTCTTAAAAACCATGTGACTTTGAAAGATGTTTTATGACAAACTGGCGTATATAAGATACGACATTTTGGTTTGTAGAAAATTTCACGAATCAGAATACGATGTTTAGTCACATGCCTATAACTTGAGTTCTAACTGGATTACAACTACCGCGAATAGAGCATTCGACGCGCCATTAATTTATGATTCTAACCATGTAAAAAACGTTTTTGGCGCCAAAATTGATATACGTGGTTTTGATCGCCCACCAACGAAATGTTACAGTCATACAGTGTTATGCACCAACAAATGATGCTTATGATAAGGAAAGTGATAGTTTCTATGAAAAGCTACAACACACATAACATCCCCAAGAGAGACATCAAAATAGTAATGGAAATGAAATGAAAATGAAATGAAATGGGGTTTAACGTCCTACTGTTTTGCTCCTAAATTGGGCTAATGAAGACGGGCATATGACATGTAGTGTGCTATGAGGGAAATTTTGCCCGGGCAGCGGCGCTACGGCCTACTCTTATATGGAATTCCAACTGCCAATGGATCTTTTATGTGCACTCCAATTTGTACACGGGACCTCGGTTCTTCGTCCCATCCGAACGACTAGACAGCTGTCCTTGTCAGGCCCTCCTTCCTGCATGACTGACAAGGGGAAACCACGCCAGAAACTCTGGAAGAACTTTCTCGGCAAATGCAGGGATCGAACACCCGACCTACAGGCTAGCGAGCCAGTGTCTTACCCACTTAGCCACGTGATCCCCAAATAGTAATGGGGGATATGAGTGCCAAGATTGGTCAAAATAATAAAAACAGAAAAAGAATCATGGGAAAACAAAGTATTGAAGAGATGAATGAAAATGGAGGAAGGCTAGTTGATAGGAGGAACTATGTTCCAAAAGCTTGACCAAATTGCTTATCATTACTTGGCCTAAGCAGAAAATGCTCATTATCGAACTTGCCCCAAGTTTCATCACAGTCACTTAATTAGAACTAAAATTATCGTGGCCCAAAGCATCAACCAATCCAATTGCTTATCTCTGCTTACCCTACGCAGAAAATGCTTACAGCAAGTTTGAACATTCTACCTCCATTAGAAGGTGACTTATTTTGTTCCTAAGTCTCGACTAATGATATTGCTTACCGCTCTGCTTACCTTGGGCAGAAAATACTCATCACTGACATAATTAGAACTAAAGTTATCGCGTTTCAAAGCATAAACCAATCAAATTGCTTATCTCTGCTTACCTTAAGCAAAAAATGCTCATCTTCGAACTCCGTCAAGGCATTCAGCTAATAAACACCTACACCAAGTTTGAACATTCTAGCTCAATTACGAGAGTTATGTCCCAAAAGGTGTGACGGACAGACATAATTTAATTAAATCAAATAATAAAACTAACAGACAAAATCATGTATGAAGATACCTGAGCATTGGATTCAAAGATTGTCTCTAAAACCTATTTCATTAAATCAGTTTTCTAAAACGAATTAATTCGATCATAAATGAAGATGCCTGAGCAATTGATTCACATAAAAGCTGCTCTCCGTCCTGCACCATTGACACGGGGGAACCACGCCTGAAAATCCAGAGCAACTTTCTCAGTCAACATTGGGAGCGAGCCAGCGTCTTTCTGACTGAACTACCGCGGCTTCCTGTATTGGATGTAGGCTATATTGGAACCTCAGGAGAAGGCAACAAATAATGTCCGTACGGCATGTTCCTGTACGTGATGTGAGTTGGGGTGTGACCCCGAGGTTGAGAAACCAGGATCTAGACTTGATTTATCTTAAAGTTTTTTTTTAAAATTCACATGTCGGGACCACCTTTAGATTTGGTGGTGGTGAGTCTTTTCTGCACAGACTGAGTCATCACTCCCGATTGATCCCGTCTCACATGTGCATTATACAGTAGTTCCTAATCCAGGATAAGGTTTACACAAATCCATTGACTGTAGTTAAGACAGATGTTTCGTGGGCTAAAAAATGAGGGAAAGGGAGTAACAAATCACAATTCTCAGGTTTTATTTCAGGAATTATAATACAAGTAAATTATGGGGAATGTATATAAATAATAAACAAAATATCTCTTGAAAGGTACACACAATCTTTTTTTTTTAAACAATCATATTTTCTTTGAGCTGGTTTAAAATACCGTCTGATGTTTGCAAATTCTTCCCTGGACGCCGACTAATTTTTGGCGTTATAATCTTGAGTCAACATTGGTACCAATCTCAACACCGCGCACGGCCATATACCTTATAAAGGCATGCAAGTCAATAAAGGGTCTATTGATAAAGATCAGTTCGTGACTAGATTGATGTGTTAGAAGTTCCGATCGAGTAGACTAATGCAACAAATACAGGTAATTCATCACAAGTGTCTTAATTCTCCCAGAAAATAATTTTCTTCCGATGAGGAATACTTTACTTTGTAATTGGTAAAATCCTTCTATATTCAATCTGGCAAACAGGCACGAAATGCATTACATAGCGAATGGTCTATGGACTAATAAAATTCTAGGGATAAGTTTTGGAATATGGCCATAAAATTTCTTTTAAAAAAAAAACGTGAGGGCTGATCTTGAAGGAATTTTACACCATGCTCATTTTCTTTTCATGATAAAGACACGAACGTGCCAACTTTGGCAAATACACAAGATATGATAAAAACAATTTTTTTTAAAAATAAACTGGACTAAGTCAGAGGCCCATTCGTCTATTCAAATTCGAGATACTGGCATTTATATTGGGGTAACTTACTATTAACGATGCCTAAGACTGTACTGAATATGATATATCAGATTTCAAATGGAAAAACCACTCGGGCATCTTAAATCTTAGAATTGCATACACATAGAAATAATACAAGTTTCCTTTCAGAAATTAAAGCAAATAATGGATTTCATTAAAAGATATATTATTACAGCTTATTAAAACAAAAGCCCACATATAGATTGAGTTGCATTTGACAGGTTTTACAATAATTCTCGGGTGACGCAAATCCATCTCAATTCAAGTCATCCCCAATACATTCCAACCAATCATCCTTTCATCTGATGCACTAACATCTGTGACATGTTGGCTATTATTAAAAATGAATTTTTTCTACTCTGTCAACCTCAATATGGGACCCTTACAAAATATATTTTTTTAAATTAAACAAATACCGGTAATATGTTACAGCAATATATAATGATACAATTATTTACATGTTGTTATGTTAATTTGACTTTAAATGATGCATAGCTTATATTTTAATTATATAAATAAAGAAGAATCTCTTAAGTCTTGTCTATAGTAAAGTTACCTCCACTTTACAGTGTCAGTTTTACAAGAGTTGCCACCCTTTAATCAAAAATCATAACATGCCTGGAATCTGCAATTTAATTTGAAATCTTTGATAAATTCGGGTATATTTGAATTTAAAATCGGACATCATGGAGACAGCACGGGTTTTAAAACCAAGAACGGAAGAGAGGTTATTCTCGCATTTATATTTCGGACTGTACAATCTTTCATTCACGTCATCAAACACCCTACAATCTATGGATTTATGAGGCTCACACCCGGGCGGGTCTTTAAATACCCTACAAGTGAGTGGAAGAATTATATGAAATGTTTTTTTTTTCTTTACTACTTTTGGGTTTTACACATTTTTGTTGATTTATGTATGCTAATGTGTTGTAACCTTTATGGTCAGTCAACAAATATGGAGTGTAAAATCTGAGGGAAAAAGGTTAGAATTTGTGGATGATGATGATGATGAAGTTTAACTCTTCACAAACATGTGTTAATATTCGGATTTTTAGGTTGCATTTAAGCCATCTCGCTTCAAGATATCTCTTTCCATGATTTGGCAAACGATCAAAATTACATCAATCAAAAAATACTGACTCTCTGGTTTTTAAGAAAAGCCTTGAAACAGTTTTTATGAAAATAACATTTTAGATAATAATATAACACTTAAAGCATGTACAAATACTACTGAATCTTAAATATCATTTTTCTGTCAGATTTAGCATAGTTATTTATGGTTAGCTGCTATGTCATTTTCTTTCAGTAGAAAGGCTTAAATAATGAATTTTAAGGAACATAACTATCTTCAATATGGATATGGTCAAATATTTTGTTAGGATTCATATATACAGTTATATCCAATTTATGCAGATGTTAAATGCTGAATCTGTGTCTATCAGAAGTCCATGAAATAATAATTGTTGTTCCTAAAGACGAGTGACACTTACCTGTGACAGGAAAAAGAGATGGAAGTCACAAAAAGTATTGAAGTAGGCTAAAAGTATATAACAAATTTAGTTTGTTAAATCTAAACTTTTACCTTTCCTGTTAAATCATTAAAAAGATATTTTAGTCTATTTTAACAATTTTGTCCATATCGTTACAGACTTATGACTTCCGGCTTGTTTTGGTATCATAGGTTATTAAAAGCTGGTAAAGTTAAGCCCACATCAGCAATGTCAAAAACATAACACTCTATGTCAAAAAATGATGTTAAAGGATAGATATCTCATCTTTTATAGCAAATATCAACTTATAATTATGAGGACAGGTGGCATTAATGTGACAGGTGGCATTAATGTGACAGGTGGCATTGACTGACTTATCGGATATAGTTTATATTGGAAATGATGATGTCAGTCATACCCAATCTTTATTTCAAAGGGATTTATTACATACAGTATTTATATCAGAATGAAAGAGCATTTCAATAAAATCTCTATAACTTTGTTCTGGCACCTGCTCAAATTTTGATTCCTAATCTTAACTAGTTTTGATGAAACAGTAGCAGAGCCAAACATCAAAGTAATATTATGAATTACATAATAAATTCTGAATCCAGATTTTAATTCTTTTACCATTATGAAAGAGTGTTTTTTTACTATGACTATTATATATACTCTTCAAAAAAAGTAGGGGATATTCAGAAATAATACAAAACTGCGGGAATGCACTGCTGTTTTTATAAGAGGTAACCAGTGTATGTTAATAACAGGCCAATTGCCTACACATGAACATAAACAGTTCATATGGGCGACTTATCTGACGGCCCCATTTCAATCGCAAAGAGATACACCGTCAAAAGTGAAAATGGACGTTTTTGATTTTTGTCCTAATAATGAGTAATTACTCCACCAATCCTCAGACATTCAGCAATTCGTTGTGGCATGCTCCTAATCAACCGTCCAATCATGATTTGGGGCAATCTGACCCACTCCTCTTGCAGTGCCACGGCCAACTCTTGCAGTGTGGTCGGTTGACGTTGACGAACACTTCTCCAGATCAAATTAAACGTAAAGATACGCTAAACAGTAAATCTTATGCAAGAACCAATAGGAAAGCAAACATGGATAGATAAACCAGCACACGGCAGTTTTCATCAACCCTTCCTTGAAGTGTCAAATTTGACAATGAACCCCTCCCACATGTATGACGCTATTGTGTGTTGCATGTGCAGCTTAGTGGTTCTGTTGGGGCGATAAGTTCTTCATCTGTGAACATACTCTCAAAGCATGTCAAGTGTCCATGACAATTTATCATATCACAACCTGCATAGCTATTTGCATTTCAATATCCCCTACTTTTTTGAAGAGTATACTATAAATACATACATAGCATAGCATCTTTTATCTGATTTGTCAATTTCATTTACCCTTGCTATATTAATGCTCACTTGACAATAAATCATTCTAGGCTAACTTTAGCTTTCGATCGACCTGGAGCGTCCAACGAATGTTTAACTTTACAAATTCTTTTATGATAACTCTGTGCCATTGAGTTTATAATTGACAGTAAAAAATACGCCACCATTATAATTATAACTTTTTCAAATATCCATGATAATACATTGGTTGATTCCTGTAAAATAAAAAGTCAGTAATGTTAAAGTAAATTGCTTAAATTTATAGGACAGCTGACAAAAGTAAATTATTATTGTCCATTAAAATGCATGCAAAATGGTAGCCCACTGAAGTCGTACGAGATCTAGCATACCCTGGCCCATTAACAAGACATAAAACTGACAGCTAAATAGTTTGTATTAATGAGGCCATTAAAATTAGAAATCCCGATAATCTGGTCTTTATATTTGACTTTTTAATCCAGTTTTAGTTAGTTTCAAGTATAGCTCATCCATGCTGTTTTACAGATGTGAACATTTTAGATGCTTTAAAGTTTAAATAGATATGTTTTTTTACGAGTTTCAAGGCTTTCATGACAAAAGTCAAATTCAGTACATCAAGCCGATATTAAAGATGAGAACTTTTTTATTTACGAGAGCCAAAATATTGCATCCACCACTGACAATCTATAAAACAACCAATATTTTTAAAAGATTCAACATTACCTTCTCAGAGTCTGCTTCATCTCTATTATGTAATTTATTTCTTTGATCTTCTAACCAATTTTTAAAAGGCATCTGTAATTTTTCTCCTACTAATGGTATATACCTATAAGAACATGAAGAGAAAGTAAGGATGTGAAGATATCATGATGGCAAGACTACAAATATTTAGTTTGACTGTCGACAAATATCATAGCTTGACCGTCTCCAAATATCTAGCTTGACAGTCTCCAAATATGTAGCTTGACCATCTCCAAATATGTAGCTTGACAATCTCAAAATACCTAGCTTGAACATATACAAATAGCTAGCTTGACTGTCTACAAATATCTAGCTTGTACCAATATCTAGTTTGTTAGTCTACAAATACCTAGCTTGTACAAATATCTAGTTTGACCATCTACAAATATCTAGCTTCACCATCTACAAATATCTAGCTTGATTGTCTACAAATACCTAGCTTCACCATTTACAAATATCTAGCTTGTTCATCTACAAATACCTAGCTTGTACAAATATCTAGTTTGATCATCTACAAATACCTAGCTTCACTATCTACAAATATCTAGCTTGACTGTCTACAAATACCTAGCTTCATTATCTACAAATGCCTAACTTCACCATCTACAAATATCTAGCTTGACTGTCTACAAATGCCTAGCTTCACCATTTACAAATATCTAGCTTTTTTCGTCTACAAATACCTAGCTTGTACAAATAACTAGCTTAACTGTCTACAAATACCTAGCTTCACCATCTACAAATATCTAGCTTGATTGTCTACAAATACCTAGCTTCACCATCTACAAATATCTAGCTTGACTGTCTACAAATGCCTAGCTTCACCATTTACAAATATCTAGCTTTTTTCGTCTACAAATACCTAGCTTGACTGTCTACAAAAACCTAGCTTGACTGTCTACAAAATCCTAGCTTGACTGTCTACAAAAACCTAGCTTCTCCATCTACAAATATCTCGCTTGACTGTCTACAAATACCTAGCTTCACCATCTACACAAATATCTCGCTTGACCATCTACACAAATATTTAGCTTGACCATCTACACAAATATCTAGCTTTGCTTGTTTAAAGTACATTAATGTCGCTTATATAGTTATGAATCGTGACAATTCGATCATCGACAGCTATAAACACGTTTAAACTTTGGCGTGATAATGCTTGCACTTATAGAGTGAAGCCCACAAGGCATCTCACAGTTTGTATTTCCTTGTAAGAGTATCACAGGTATGAAATAAAAGTTTCTATGTGACTTTCATACACAATCAAACATGTTCAATTCACTATTCATTTGATCAGTGGTAATAACGGCAACATTGAATAGATAAACTTACTTAAAAAGATGTATGACTAGTTCTACATGGTGCTTACTAAATAGAAATATCACAAATAATTTCTGAAATGAGAAAAATAATAATTATAGTTGATTTATTTATATCAACAACAGATAATTCGTTCGCATTGACAAGGTCCACAATGTTTCAAATGCAGATAATAATCATCTTTGCAAATTGCTACACTTGGGTTTCATGTTTTTCATGCACAAAATCAGGTTATTTTAATCCACTTAAGAGAACAGTTTTTAAAGATAATCAGAAAAATGTAACTGACTTTCAGAACATTCCCAATCTAAAATTAACTTTTCATACAATATGAGATGTTGTCATCTCAAATAAATTACAAAACTTTTGCTTTGCCCCAAAACAATATTTTGAAGACTTGCAATTATTTGAAAGCCCTTCAAATATTCCTTACAATCATCGATCAGAAATGAAATGAAATGGAGTTTAACGTCCTACTGTTCTGCTCCTAACCTGGGCTATGAAGATGGGCATACGCCATACAGTGTGCTGTGAGGGAAATTTTGCCCGGACAGCGGCACTACGGCCTACTCTTATATCGAATTCCAACTGCCAAGGGATCTTTTACGTGCACGCCAATATGTACACGGGACCTCGGTTTTTCGTCCCATCCGAACAACTAGACAGCTTTCCTTGTCAGGCCCTCCGTCCTGCATCACTGACAAGGGAGAACCACGCCGGAAAATCTGGATGAACTTTCTCGGCCAATGCAGGGATCGAACACCCGACCTCCAGGCTAGCGAGCTAGAGTCTTACCCACTTAGCCACCGTGATCCCCATTCATCAATCATCTTTCTCTTTTATTTCTTACCTGTATATGCATTTTGATTATTGCTTTACCAATTAGTGTTGCTCCAAAAAACGTCCAGAATGGTACTAGAAAATGACCACATGTTATTCCGGCTAAATCAAACAATGGATTGGGTATCTGAGAAAAAAAAAAAATTAAATTACGATCAAATGCCCATGCAAAAAGTCTGAAATTAAAATGTCATTTTGCCCAATCATCATCTAATACTGGTTGGAAATTCAGTAAATCTTTAGATCCATTAATAAATTACAATGTATAAAGTCTGATCTAAACTGTGCCAGTATTTGACAGTAAAAGTTGTATCTTATATCAAATACTTTAATAAAACTAAGATATTGATAGTTGGCAGAAAGTAGAACAACTAATGACTGTAGTATCTCTAATAAAGATAATGGAGGAATCTCAATAATTGCACTTGTTTTGGTAATATTTTCTTTTTCTACATCTCTGTAAAATCACTTTGCTAATTAATAAATTCAATAATTAACTTACAGAGGCACAAGCTAAAATACCAATAAAACCAATCCTTTGTACTAAATTATGTACTGATAGTTTTGCTCTTTCCATAAAACCCTGCAAGATAGAAAGTATATAAATTGAAATATAAGGCCATACAAAATAGACAATTTTGTTCTCAGGTTTTTAATTGTGTTTTTATCCAAGGAAAACTAATGGGCTAAATGGCTTCTCATAAACATCATATTTCAAGGCACTACATTTATCTCATCATGATGGTAATAGGAATATTATGATTATTCAGTGTTATTTATGATTGTGAGTAACATTTATCAGGGTTGCCTTCATAAATGAATCAATGTTACACCTCTAGTTCCATTCAAACTGCTTCAAGCACATGGGGGGGGGGGGGAAATATTTAAATAGGGTAATAAATGAGAGTGTTTGTATTTTTTTAAAATAGAAACAAGTCATGCAGCCTTTTTTAAGTGAGGTAGAATTATCTGTAAACCAGAATATTTTTTTTTCTATGGCCTAAAATACAACCTTAAACTGAAAACATGATTAAAGGGAGACCAATCTATTTAACAATGAGTCTCAGGCCATCTCCTAGCCAAATCAGATAGATGCAGTTAAGCTAGTTTAAGAACACAAGTCACTGTAAGCTTGTTCAACTTTGTCGTCTGAAACGCGAGCTTGGGACAAATAAGCTAGTTTGGGTGGCCAAGTGGTCTAATGCATTATGTATTGTTCTAATACTTTAGTAGAATTTAATTTGCAGACAGAAAAAACTTCATATTGCGAGCTCAAAGTGATTGTAGCGGCCTAGCGAATATTCACTGCTGATCTATGTGATCCAGCACCTTACTAACCTAGCCACCCACATCCCTGTGTGCATGCTAATAACTGAAATAACATATATATATGTGTTGGGTGGACGTTAAATCCCATATCTAAAGTCACAATTAATAAACACTTTTGCTTACACTCCATTAAAGATACATTCCTGCGTATTAACTGGATGATTTGATGAAATATTTGAACTAATTAATCCATCAAAATTTAGCTTCAAATCCTTCTCAAAACATTGTATTTAAGTGGGAATACCCCTTCTTTAAAAAATCTATTAAAAATAGGTCATGTTTGTGTCACGTGACATGGCTGGTGCACTACCTAGAAACGAGTGTGAAACAGTAGGAGAATTCATTGCATATACAAGATGATGTTGTCTTTAATCGCTATCCATTTATCATAAATATCAAAGCCTAATTAAATTCTCAAATTGTCCACTGCCCACAGCTTTTTCCGTGTTCTTTTTATCTCAGAAACTGTTGTACGTTTCACTCACCATCAAGGTTATCAACATATACATCAAGCGTTCACTAACGCTGATAGATCAAACAATCTTTGCGTGCAACCTTTGACGTCACTCTAACAGACATCCCTAATGGTTGGGTTGCCGGTTAGGGAAACCCTTCCATTTTTGTCATCGGTGATTTTCAGGCAATCCAGTAATTTTTCTAACAAGATAGGATTTTTCTACTTTCCATATATACCAAAATTGCCATACTTTTATTGGATATAACCACAGCAATATGTTGTATCAATTACTTGCTCACATTATTTAATTAATTACGCTTTATGGTCTTACCAGTTCATTAGGATGTGCTTTAGTTTCATGAATTAACTCATTTAATTCTTCAAAATCATCATCATCTGGGTCAGTACCAGATAATCTTGCTGCTCTAGCCATAAAATATGGTGGTAATTCTCCTATAGCTGTACCTGCCCCCTGTTAAAATATTTTAAATAAAGCATGATGTTCACAGGCATGAAAGATAATGGTGAAACTAAATTACATCTTTTCTACACATTGTTAAAATATCTAGACCACTTTGATTTGAGCAAAAATTTCAAGTAATGATTTGATTAATCTGATTTGCAGATTTGACAAAAAATTTGAGGTTGTCAAAACCAAAAAGCTTCTTCTGTGGTAGGTGAACTTACAGATATCCACTGTATCAAACTGACTAATGTACTTACCCACATAATAGCTTCTAATCGTACTTTACCCATTATAGCCCATATACTAATACCATCTCCCATAGTTTCCGGACAAATAATTCTGAAATATTAATAACTGTGCATAAAGTGATAAATTAAAATAAAACACAAAGATCATGGTAAATTATCAAAACTGCTATACTATGTATATTACATAATAATGGGAGGTGAATGGTGGCTCAGAAGATACAGACTTTCCAGATGGGGTTCACCATCCATTTGATACAAACTAGGTTATTTTGGGACTAACATATGATTCAATTTTATTTCAATAATTCACTTGCATGTAGGGGTCTGTAGCAGTGTGAGGAAACTGAAGGAGAAAACCCACGAGGTTGGACAGGCCACCCTACTCCTTGTCACGTACGACCGGGGAATCGAAACCATGCCAGTTGACTCAATGACAGACCTTATGATACAACACGTACATGCTATCCATTTGGCCATCCAACCCCCTGGGAGGAAACAGAAGAACTCTGAGACAGGGCTCTATAAAAGTTGAGTGTGCCTGTGCACACACTTGAAAATGTGCCTGCAGGGTCATACTGGAACACAGGGATGTAGCCATGATTTGGTGAGTGGTGTTAAAATCTATTTGGCGAGCGTATCGAGGCCAAAATTTTTTTGGGAGAGGGGCGTGGTCTTTTATGAAAATTAAACCCTTCTTGGTGATTTTTTCAGAGCATCTGCTGCCTTTTGTATTTGGTTCAGTGCAAATCAAATTTCCATTTATATATTCAAATTTTACCAAATTCACTTAATTTTCATCAATGATACAGGGATCTAAAAACTTTTTGACACCACCCGACCGAGCAAAAAATTGTCCCGCCCCACTCTGTTTCTCTGGATAGATAAGTTGAGGACCTTTCGGTATTTGTTGTTTTGTTGGGTTTTTTTTTCAAATATTACTTTATTACATTGAGATTAAAAATTAAAACGATTCTTAAAATGGTGTTTGTGTTTTATTTGAGTACAACGCATTATGACAACAGGTAGATATTGATAATTAAAACACGTTGTATTATTTGACTTGTTTGTAAAGTTGTTGTACGTGTCTCACGAATATTATTATTATAACGGTGGAATGAGAATCAGGTCAGGCAGAAACTGAGAAAGCTCTCATCGTCCTCCTAGTCCTACTCTCGGACCGTAGCAAATCCACGGTCAACACAGGTAAGAAATAAAATAAGAAACATCGTGAAAATTTGCAGGCACATGTTGGACAATTACGACATTCAAACCTTTAACATTGGAGTGCCGTAAATTGGTCTGGGTGACCTATTTACGGCAAATAAACAAATATAAAGACCGTAGAATAATTGTAAAATGAATAGACCTAGGCCTACACATCTTCTAAGTATAAATAAACAAAATACCAATACACCTTTCTTAAAACTAATTTGGGATGATAGGGTCTACTACGGCACACAAAAATAAATTATGCCGTGACAGACATGGTTTGCGTATGTCAGCTTTTACCATGGCTTTGCCGTTTAATTGCTGTGGTAAATTTCGAGCGCCGAGTTTGTGTACAGAGAAGGACGAAGGGGTTTAAATACGATTGGGCGGCTTTCTTCGATTTTTTGTTTGTGCTGGGCGGCAAAAAATAGTGCCGGGCGCAGGCGCCGCCCGGCGTGGCTACATCTTTAAAAATGTGCCTGCAAAAAAGTTTTTTTAAAGCAAATGTGCCTGCGCACGCCGTGCGCATGTGCATTGTCGTCAAGGAGATACAAACATGAACTTACTTGGAGGGATATGGTGGTTCTGGAAAATCTACAGACTTGCATTCAAATGCCGCTAATGTAACAGATGCTATATGTGGACCCTGTAATTATACACATCACATATTAATTAATGCTTCAGAGAATTAAACTGGCTAATTATTTAAGAAAAACATTTTGAACTCATTATCCTATTGAAGTGCAAATGCAAAAGATAAACAAATAGATCAAATCTCAGTCACTGGGACTATCTTCAAACCACATCCAGTTCTTTTCTAATTTATTTTAGAGACTAAATGTCCATAAACATTGTTTGTGATATTGTTAAAAACATGACTAAAAGAATATATTAATTTATTTTCAAATAAAGTAGTCCTGTATAGCCAATAAAGTCCAAATTCCCTACAAAAACAAAGAATTTTTTTCATAATTTCTGTATGAAGCCCATTCCAATATTTCATAAAGTATACATAGATTTGTTGAAGTTATTGAAGGTTTTAAAAACCCTTAACCAAAAATTTTGTCTTAAGGGTTGCTCAAATTTGATGAACAGATAATGTTAATAGTAATCTACTTACCAAATAAAGAATAAATGTGTGAAGACCTGTACCTAAACCTACAGATGACAAAATACCTAATCCTACCCAGTACGCACTCCATAGGAAATGTTTTCTTATAACATCAACTATCTGAAAATATTCAACAATTATTTCAGTTTCTGAAATACAACAGATCACCACACACCATTACCAAGAAATAAAACAGAGAGAGAGAGAGAGAGGGGGAGAGAGAGAGAAAGAGAGAAATGTGGTTTAAGGTTGACTCAACACAAACTAGGTCATTTTGGGACTAGAGAGAGAGATTGGTTTTAAGTCCACTGGACACAAACTAGGTCATTTCAGGACTAACATGGTTCAATTTTATTTCAATAATTTGCTTGCGCAAAGGGGTCTTTAGAAGTGGGAGGAAACTGGAATTAAGAAATAAAAATAACCAAGGAGTATAATTAACAGAACTGAAAAATTAATGGAAAGGAAAGGATATGAAAGTGACATTTTGTGATCAACGAAATACTTTGGTCATTTTGAGACTAACATGTGTTTATTTCAATGGTTAAAATGATATTCTATGTGAGTGGTAAACTGTGCCAGACAGCAGTGTATATCACTAATCATGCATGAAATTTAACAGCCAGGAGATTAATTGTGTTACCAATTAATGACATCAAATGTGGTTTAACATCCTCCATGGCTAATGAACACGACTACCATTTAATAGGAGAGCATCGCTACTGCTTTGATTGATATGGTACTTTTTAAAATGAAGAGAATGAAATATGAAATGGCTGCAACGACTGCAATATGACAAAAGGCAAAGAAGGCTAGTCTTGGACATGGACCGATATAAACAGGTACAAAATAACAAAATATGTTAATAATTGCAACCTTTCGAGTATTTACAGACAAAATATTAACAAAAAAAAGTGGGTGTGGCACTGCCCAAGGGGGTTGGATCATGCACTAAAAACAATAATAAGGAATACATATGCCAAGTTCCAAGATGATCTTTTCAGAATTGTGGCCTGTATACAATAATCAGAAAAATTGGGTGTGGCTCTGCCCCTGGGGGTTGGGCATTCCTCAAAAACAATAGGGATCATCCATAATGTGGATGTATAAAAAGGCACTTTTTTGTCCAACTCTTTAACACTGAAATGTAGCATCAACACTTGAAATTTCCTGACGGTTCTGCTCAACCTATTCATAAGTTTGAGAGATATTCTAGTTGTTAACCTAGAGGACAAACCTATGTTTTTTGATAAAATTTAATTAAAGATGCATTATGTTAGATCTAAATCTGCCTATTGCATGTGTTTTTCTAGCTTTAAATCTTATCTAAATTATGATTTAGATATTTATTCACATGGATGGTCGAGATTAAATGAAATTCAACACCTGCGAGATTTAACAATAAAATGGAGAATCAAAACTAAGTCTCGGTTGTCAAGTACCGTTGTTACGATAATAAACAATCTAAGTTTCGTCTTCAAACAGTTAACTTTGCTCAGAATAATGTAATTTGATAAAATTTCAATATATTCATTACAGCAAGACTGGCAGCTCTTTATCTAAATCTTACATAATGCATCTTTAAGGAAAATGGACACTGGCCTTTTCTGGCATATTGAGGCCTTAAAATAGATAAATATCCTACCTGTTGATGTTTACCTTCAGTTATATATAATAAATATAATAAACTAATCATAACTAACATTAATAATACACTCTTTTTTCTCTGCCATAATCTGAAATTGAAATTAAAACCTTTTAGAGCATGGTAAATATAGGCTTTCCACATACTTACCAGTATATATTTGGTAATCACATATAGTTCTGGAGCAATGGTGGCTCGCTAACCAGGAGGTCCAGTGTTACATCCTGATATTGGCCGAGAAAGTTCATCAGGATTTCCGGGGTGGTTCCCCCTTATCAGTGGTGCAGGACAGAAGGCCTGGCAAGGGACAATGAAGTGTTGTTTGGAAGGAATAAAAAAAAAAACCAATGTCTCCGGTACACATTGGCGTGCACATAAAAGATCCCTTGGCAGTTGGAATTCTATATGAGCAAACTGTAAGTACTACAAATATATATGGACCAGCAAATCATGCCACCATCTCCGCCATCTAGGAATTGTGACGTCATATCAAAAATGGATTTGCTAATCAATCCATAATTGTCCAAGGAACAATCATGCCAAGTTCCATGTCAATCGTACATGAATTGACAGAGCGTTAGGCTTTTTTCAAAGACTGGCACCCCCATCAAAAACAATAAGATGAATAGCGCTTGTCTCATGTCTTCACTGAGGCCACACTAATTTGTTTTTCTGTTCTTCGGGAACAACTGTTAAAATTTTGCTTTAATTTCTTTGGGGAAAATTTTAAAACCAAAAGTACTTGGTTCCACTGTTCCTAAGCTAGTTCCAAGTTTTGAAATTTTAAACTAAACCTCATTAACATGATTCAAGTGGCTATTATTTATCAAGACCACGAAGAACTGAATATTAAATTAGTTCAGCCTATATTACTGTTTTAAATTGAAGCAAGAGATCCTGCCTGTTGTGCTCACCTGTCTATAAATGTTTGAAATAAGCAGCTACATTCACATATAAAATAAACAAAAGTTATCAAAGGTTTTTTCCATAAAACTATATTTGTGCGTTCAGTTTTTTCCCGCTCTCGCCGTGAAATGGTATCCATGTTTTTTTCTTTTGTCATAGACCCATTTTTCTTAGATTTTCTTTCTCGAACTTCTTTGACACTGTCGTCCATGACAGTGATCTTTTCTAACCTTGATACCTAAAAGAAAACAAAAATATTCTACATCAATGAAAATTTCACTCCCTATGCATAGATTTTATGCATAGTTTAATATCCCAGCATGTGTTCTTGTGTAATTTATAAGTTTACTAAATACATAAATAGCAATATTCAAATTTTCTGGCAATAAATAAAATAATAATTTATTTTATAGTGGTTTGCAATGAATGATATTATATTTATACTATATTTATCTACAAATGTAGGTATTTAACAATTCAATGTTTTTATTTCCACACAAGTAAATAATTTATTCAACATTTACAATTTAATTTATATGTAAATATTTTGTGTCATATATCAAATCATTCAACTAGGCTCTTATTAAAATGTCAGTAAAATAACAAGGTATGATAAACAACCATTGCACAGAACAAAAAAAAAATCTAACTAACATAAATTAACAAATAAATAATATTTGCCGAATGAGGAGCAAATAACTACCCTGAATTAGTAAATTGCACCATGGAAACAGATACTGACAGGAATGTCCACTGAATAACGTCATTGTGTTATGTTATGGGACGTCATCACCTTCTGTTATGTCTTATGTTATGGGACAGCATAACGATAAACTCGATGCATGGACATTCTGTCTGTATATATTTCGATGATTGCACACATGCCATAGTAGGAATTATATGCACTAAAGGTGTGTCGATCTTCAAAAACTCAACTCAACTTAACTGAAATAACTGTTGACATACTGCTTAGAGTACGAGTTCCTGGGCTGGTGGAAGTTCAGCGTGTTTAACATAAATGACCCTCTTAACAACAACATGAATGACCCTCTTAACAACTCATATTTTTTTTATATTCACCCATTTACAACATCAAGGAGTTCACAAGGAATTAGATGCCACATACAACTTAACAATTGTACACTACTTACAACTGGCCTTGTGAAATTCAACTTCCATAATTCTATACAATTCAAAAATAAAACAAACATTTAGGATTTTTGACATTTATGACTCTTCAAGTGTATTTGGTGTTTGGTAATTTGTCCAGATTAGAAAAAGATATTCTCCCAATATAACTCCATTTCTAATACTATTTGAATTCCGAATGTCGATATTTGAAAAATTAGATGCAATTCATTATGTTAAATTGGCATGTTTTCAGATTTATGTACACCTTTACATTAAAATAATTGTTTCTGAATATTAGTTGATTTAATTGAATTAATATTTCCCCATAGGAGTCATAAAACTGAAATCAAACAGGAGCCATTACACAAAAATGAAATAATCGAGAAACGGGACCGAGAAACATGAAAATCTGTTCCAATATGTTTTCAGAAACTATTTCAATATGAATATTTGTGTGGGTACTAACAAACTTACCATTTCTGTTTTTTTTAAACAATCCATCTTCAAACTAATATGATCTAGTGTGGTATGAAATTAAATATTATAAAAATATTCTCACTGATATATTACTAGTAAAAGGATTTATCAATAATTTATCAAGTGAAATGTGTTTATCAATCTAACCAATATGGAAATTATAGTATTTGACGCTGCATAACAATACTAGTCTATTCACCGTAAAAAAAAAAGTTTATTAACTACTTTGGCAACAGCTGTTTACAGTTACACTGTATAATATTGGAAAGAGAGAGAGAGAGAGAGGGGGGGGGGTTAATGTTCACTGCACATAGGGTCAATTTGGGACTAACATCATACGGTTCAAGTTTATTTCAATAATTTGTTTGTTCATAATCATAGAAACCAGAGAAAACCCATAAGGTTGACCAGACGACTCTACTCTTTGCCACACAAGCATGAGATCGAAACCAGACCACTAATGACCTAAAGAGCAGATTTTGTAGAACTAAACCACCTGACGGGAGGGAGTGTGTATACTTGCATACAGCTAACAATTATCATTTCTTTTAACACAGAGATTATAATGTGCAGTTAAAAGCCGCAGATTGTGAACTGGATTTATGCTGGACAATATTCAATTTATTACCGCATTTAATCCCGACTAAAATATACACAAATTGATCATTTAGTATTTAATTAAAAAAATACAAATCTACCAGCTTGGATTCAAATGGATTAAAAAGAGGTCCATCAAAAGATTTTTACCCAAAAGCAACAGGCAGCAGTGACTTGTTTATTTTGTCTGTAGGGGATGCTGAAAGTTTCAAAATGTTCATTCAGGGCATACCATAGTAAATACTGAATGGGATTGAACAAATTTCCTTACATATTCCTTTCACTGATATTCAACTTTCACAATATTATAGTTTGCTAGGGTCTCAAAATTGTATTTTTGCCTTACAGAAATTATTTCTTTCAAAGATCACACACAATATTTGATCCATTACAAATGGAAGATTTGTACTTTATCTAAATGTAAAAATGTTTTAGCGAGAGAGAGAGAGAAATGGGGTTTAACGTCCACTCGACACAAACTAGGTCATTTCGGGATTAACATATGGTTTTAATTTTATTTCAATAATTCGCTTGCACGTAGGGGTCTTTAGCAGTGGGAGGAAACCGGAGGACCCGGGGAAAACCGACGAAGTTGGACAGGCAACCCTACTCCTTGTCACGTACAACCGGGGATTTGAAACCACGCCAGTTGACTCAATGATAGGCCTTATGATACAGCACGCACGTGCTAACCATTCGGCCATCCAACCCCACAGGTAGCCAAAATTAATATACCACATACATGTAGTAAATTAGAAATAACTTTGTTTTAAGACAATAGTGGATTTTGTCATTTGAGAGTGATAGAGAAATGGGGTTTAATGTCCACAAACTAAGTCATTTCTGGACTAACATATCATATATGGTTCAATTTTATTTCAATAATTTGTTGGAGTAGAGGCCTTTAGCAGTTGCAGAAAACCCACGAGGCTGGACAGGTGACCCTACACCTTGTCACATACAACTGGGGAATCGAAGCCACGCCAGTAGACTCATTGACAGACCTTATGATACAAGGCGCACGCGCTAACCGTTCAGTAATCCGATCCTCCTTTTGTCAATTGAAATCTCTACAAAATCTTGAAATACAAGTATTGGGGTCAGCATACAAACGCAGGAAAATTACCAGAAATTTAATATCCAGTACCAAAAATAATAACCTAAAGGTTCCCCAATAAAAGTAACAAAGATAAAAATTACAAAGGAGAAAAAGAAAACCGGTCAAAAATAAAAACTACTTTAACATGCATTTAGTACAAAATATGAAAATGAAATGAAATGAAATGGGGTTTAACGTCCTCCTGTTCTACTCCGACTGGGCTAATGAAGACGGACATATGCTATACATTGTGCTATGAGGAAATTTGGTTTGGACAGTGGCAATATGGCCTACTCTTATACTGAAATCCAACTGCTACAGGATTTTTTACGTGCATGCCAATGTGTACACTGGACCTTGGTTTTCCGTCTCATCCAAACGACTAGACAGCTGTCCTGCACCACTGACAAGGGGAAATCACGCTGGAAAATCCCAACGAACTTTCTCAGCCAACACCGGGAGCGAACCGTCACCTCCAGGTTAGCGAGCCAGCGTCTTGCCCACTTAGCTATCCACAAAATATGGCCTAAAAAGTTGACTAAGCTTGATCATTCTGAAATGGGGTTTAACATCTACTGTTCTGCTTGATCATTCATTCATGAATGAATAATTGAACACGTCTTTTGGCGAGCCCTGTGTACGGTCTTGTATTTCATCGTTGAAAATTAAACAAAGGTTGTGTGGTAACGTAACATACATGTTGCTCACAGCAGCTACACGGGTTGTTGCATACGGTTTCTTTTGTCGATAATTAATTGAAAGACAATAAAAGCTGATAAAGAGTAAAATCCCATAAAATAATTATCAGACATCTTTAGAATATGTATGGCGTCTAATTCTTCCTGGCTGTGATGCTATCCTATACAAACATATGTAGTGTAATAGTTGTTGAAGTTATCAGGAATCAAATCACTGAAAATAAATAAACCTCTCTCTCTTAAATAGAAACACTGTATATAAACTTCAAGACTATAAAAGATAACTACAGAATTCTTCGCGACATGACCTTAAAGACAGTGTATAAAATTGGTTATTAAATGTAGCCTGTAGAGTGTTCAGAGGTTGGATGGTCGAATGGTTAGCGCGCTGTATCATAAAGTCTGTCATTGAGTCAACTGGTGTGGTTGAACGTGACAAGGAGTAGGGTCGCCTGTCCAACCTTGTGGGTTTTCTCCACTTTCCTCCCACTGCTAAAGACCCCTACGCGCAAGCGAATTATTGAAATAAAATTAAACCATATGTTGGTCCCGAAATGACCTAGTTTGTGTCGAGTGGACGTTAAATCTCATTTATCTCTCTCTGTAGAGCGTTCACAAGCAATTGTAGATGAAATACAACAATATATGACGACATTTCATCTGTGAAGAAGTTAGTCTTTTTACTGATGAAAAGTTGGATAAAAGCATGCTTTTATGGTATTGTATTCTATTTATGATTGTATCACATTTCAATGTGGGCGTACAAAGATCAAGAAGACTTACATGTATCTAGCAGGTTACATGATTTCAAATTGTACACATGGTTGGCACAGGCAATTTCCAGCTTGAGGTTGCTTTTGATTTTAAAGATATTATTTTGCAATTCATAGCATATACCCATGGTTTAAGTATTCTAATTGATTCAAAATTGTTAGCAGCATCCAACAGAGTCATAGGTCATTGATATTAAATTAAACTGAGTAAAGGGAGATAACTCACTTAAACACCTATTAATGTGCAGTCTAATTAAAATCATACCAACATTGCATTTCTTTGTATTTCACATTTGTTTACTCCAATACAGCTCAGTCTATTGGGCTCCTTCATTAATGTGCAGTAATATGATTGGCTAACTCCAGACCTGTCGACCAATTAACCAATTAACAAACCCTTGATACAAAAATAGTGAGCATAATCTTTTGAAGTGCTTTTATCATCTAAACATTTGATGTAATGATGTACACATGTAATTTCCATAGGAACAACTATACCATTTTGTTTTTATTAGACTCCATAAATTTAATGAACAATATGAATACCGGTATACAAATGTATCTCTCAAAAATAATATATAACAAAAAATAATATATAACAAAAAATAATTAAGAATCTTTGAAAATGTAATTTCTAAAGGAATAACTATACCGTTTTGTTTTAATCAGACTGCATAAATTTTGTGAACATTAACAATATAAATATACAAATGTATCTCCAAAAATAATATATAGGTATTATAATTAAGACGCTTTGAAAATGTCTAACAATATTGTCGCTGTCAAACAGTTTTGGAGACATCGAAATCAAAGTTTTTTCCATCGTCTGCTTCTCAGTTTAATATTTGATACAAACAACTAGCTACAATATTAATTGATAGCTGAGCGATATGTTAATTAAAACAAGTGTCTTCATACACCCTGTTCTATAATACACTCTGGCCAGGAATAGTAATGTCTATTTAATATGTAGGAAAGTTGACTTTTGTGTGGGTGCATTTATTAACTTTGCTGTTTTACATGAGATGTTTTTCATTTTCGGACCCCTTAATTATATTTGTTCCTGAGTTGACAGGTGGAATTTGATTTGTTGGGTGTCGCTGATGTTTCAATACAGTGAAGTAATGAAACGAATCATTTAATATACTCTGACCCTATATCGGTATATTAAATAAGTTCTAATAATCATAACATGTCTTTTAGTTTTTATAGCCCAATTTCAAAGGACCTTGATCTGAGGCGTTTAGCAATGAGCAAAATGTTAATTCTAAATATTTTCTTTTACATATCTAATTTAAAGATGCCTTACCGCATACAAACTGGGTGATTTGATGATATATTTGGACTAAAAACATATTCAAACTAATTAATCTATCAAATATTTGCTTCAAATTTCTCTCAAAACATTGTATTCATGAGGAAATACCCCAAGCTATAAAAAATCTATTAAAAGAAGTCATGTTTGCGTCACGTGACTTGCCTGTCGCGGCACCTAGCAATAGGTGCGAAGCCGGAGGAGAATTTGTTGCATATAAAAGACGATGTTGACTTTAATCAATGTCCATTTTTCATAAATATTGATGATGAAGTCAATTCTTGGATTATCCCCTGCCCATGTCTTTTTTTATCTTGGAAACTATTGTACGTGTAAGTCTCTCACTTTTTCAACATACGCTCACCATCAGACTCATATAATATCAACATATACATCCCTAACGCCAACAGTTCAGACAATCGACGCGTGCATCCTTTGACATCACTCAAGCCGACACCCCTCAATCATCAGGCTTCCAATTAGTGACACCCTCTCATTTTCGTCCATTGGTTTTTTTCAAGGAATACAGTATTTTACTAGTAAGATGGGGTGTCTCTACTTTCCATATATACCTAAATTGTCATACTTTTATTGGAAATAATCACGCAATAAATACTTTTGTGGGAAAATATCTTTAAACAACTACAGAATAAGATTAATTCATATCAGAATACAAATGATGTGTCATTTACATGATTTGATAATATTAAAAAATAAATCATTCATGAACTTTTTGATGAAAGCAGCACTTTTTGTGAAGTGGTAAAATGATACAGAAAGATAAATAAAGATGAAGTATTTATTTTTTGATTATACTTCTTTTAATACTAACATTATTCATATGAAGCGTTCTAAAATTTGACGAGACAAGAACTGTCAAAATCTAAGCCATCATGGCTTCCGTTGTCCAGTGTACCCTTTGCAACATATTTTATTTTCTCATTAATCATTCCGCTGGACATTTCCACATTGAATAGTGGAGTAATAATTACGTAAAATATTTTACTATAAAAACTTAGTAAATACATGTATATCCAACAATTTTTAATTGTCAGCTATCTTTATAGTACATTCAGGCACAAAGTTTCGAAGGGTAAATTAAAAAGTCATAATAATGTTAACAATGTATATTCAATGTAAAACTAGCTAAACACAAAGCATTTTCAAGGAGATTTTGATGCTGTATTTACTATTTTCCATATAGACCCTAAATATTAAATCCAGATGATGTTATGATGGTGCTGCATACAAAAAATCTAAAAGCAGGTCCTTGACTGTTGAAAAATTCTGTCATACATTAGTAACAACTGGGTTTTTTGTTTTTGTTTTATGTGTGATGCTGATAGTTGTCTTTTGTTTTATTTAATTAATCGGCGATTGTTGAGACTGCTAATAAAAGATTAACACCACTTGTTAGGATTATTATTCCTCTTATTATTATTATTATTATTATTTTTCCATTTCAGCATATCTCAGAAACTACTTGTCGGATCGATTCGATGTCTTCAGTTTTACTGGGAAAGAGGGTTTGACTTAAATTTTAAAGCTATTTCCAACGTTCTGCGACAATGCGAAATCACCAAAGTTGTTGTTTTTCGATATTTTGCCGTAATGTTATCAATAATTGTCAGATTGTAATATTTTATATATTTTGACATAGCCAGAGACAAGGCACATAGCTATGGTTCTTTGGATTTTTTATTTTCGACGAATCTTCGGAGATATTAGGCGCCAAATTTTGAAAATTTAAATTTTTACGAAACACTTTTTTATTTATGAATATTTTTATGTGGTATTTTACCAAGGGTTAAAGGGTCATCTGATTTGACAAAAACAGTTGAGGTTGTAATAAACCTTTCCTTTCAACTTACCTGCCGAGTCTAAAACATCAGGGACATTTTTTTTTAGTCCGAAATGACGTGGGACCGAAATGACATTAAATGTAATCTTTTTATTGAGGACCCCATTTCAGCTCAGGTGTTGTGACAATTTTTGTTACTTAACGACTTAACAATGAAAATGTTGAAGAATGAAAACAGAACAAAATCAAAACCCATTCAATTTGACAGTACACCAAAAATGAAAAGGATAGACTGGATTAATTAATTAGTAAATAAGAGGCCATGCTAATACCGAATTGGATCTTCAAAAATCGAGATTGTCACTCAGTAAGTGACAGTCACAGTGACTTCTAGTTCTTACCAAGTCCACCTTTCGGCCTTTGGTGCTAAGTCCCTTTTCTTTCAAAAGAGAGCGTAGTTCAAATACCTTTAAACAAGACAAACAACCAATTCCTCTAGATACCCTTTTCGACATATTGTTTCAATTAATTTAGTGAATATAGTGCTTTTAAAATCATAAAATGTACATACTTCTACTCAAAACAATGAGTCGTGTCTCACTACAAACCGGATGTGAAAATGACCAAGTAGCAACCATATTAGTTTCGTATTTTTGTGTGCAAGGGGAGGCTACCCTTTTAAGGCAAGAGAGCCCCGTAGAACTATTATTTATTGTGTTTATTTTATTATTCGTCTATCCTTTGGCTTTTCTCTCTTAGCATTTCCTGTGTACTTTCTCTTTTGGACCCTTGATTGGATAATAAAGTTGTTTTTTTATTAGTAGGTTCATGCATAGATATCGGGTTCATACATGGGCGGACCTGTGATGAGAGAACACGTGCACCAAGCGCCCGTGCTGACAGTACAGATTGTAACAGTTCATTGACTTTTTGGCCCTCTCACTTTCGTGCACTTGCAAGACCAGACTAGACCTGAAACCGTGAAATTTTGTTTGGAAATAACTGATTTACAATAAACAACCATTTTTCGATAAATTCAAATCTATCTTAAAAATATGAAGCTCCCGGGTGAGATTAGCTGACACTCAGTGACAGCAAAGGCTCAGAAAAATCTTTGTTTATAAATTCATTCGGGATGCATTATGGGAAGTAAACCTCGATTGATTGGGCAGCCATTTTGACCTGCATTCGGTTGTGGTGGAGAAGTGTCCGTAATATACATTTTAACACTTCATACTCAAAATCGATATTAACAGGTGCCCGGTAATTGCAGGCATCATAATGATTATCTTTTAAAAACCTTGCAGTCAGAGGTAAGAGTCTGTTAAATTCAATATAAAGCGCATCGATTTGCATGAATATTGACTAGCCTAGCGCTTGCTTTTTTTCTCTGCTGACGTGAAAAAAAAATATCAACAAAATTTCTTTGTTCTGGTGGTATTTAATAAAGTGCGGTAATATTCTATATCTTTCTTTTTAATAGACAAAAATTGATGAAATATGGACGAACAAGATACTGCATCGAATTCTGGAATTTTGGATGCCCAAACGGTTCAGATAATGGTAAAAAATCTTCCCGCAGAGGCTTTCCACAACATTGTGGAAACCACAACAATCCAATGTGGGCCGCCGCCTCTGGGTTTAAGTCGGAGTATGTCGGTTCCAGAAGTGGTGGGGACATCAGATCAAACCCAAATTAATCTTATAGCTAGTGGAACCGATGGGCCTTCTACATCATACGTATCAGTCACACAAAATGCAGGTAAGCAACAATATCATTATCAGTTGTCACTGTCAGTGCGTGTGTATTTCCTTGATGACGTCATCCAGAAGAGTTCATTGACATTAACGTGAACAATGTGCCATTCATTGTTATGTCATGAATGATAAGATTACATGGTGGCTAATAAAAAATATTCATATTATATTTAAAGAGGCATTATCACTCACCCCAAGAAAATAAATGTCACACTCAGTGACTCACAATAACCTGAAATTGATTTACTCTTTCCGACTATACACAAACTTGTCAGATTACGGTAATGGATTTTTTAAAATTTATGAAAATTTGTGAGCATTTACAGAATCAGATCAACAATTTTTGTTGCCTTACCCAAGGTTAGCTAGATTTTTACTTTAATTGCAACTCTTGATTTTCTTAGTTTAATTACTCAAAACTACCTGTATTTTGCTTAAAACAGCACGTTTTTATGGTTTTTCTTATCTTTTTTTTGTATAGAACTAAGATAATTATTCCCGGAACTTAACTCTTTCTTTTTTAATAGTTCTGAAAAATAAGTAGTAAATGAAAGATGAAAGTCGTAGTGATTATTATGCATTTTTTATATCAATTAATGTTCCAATAAAAATCATATAAAGAAACCTCTCAGTAATGATATTGTTAATGTTATTAATGGTAATTATTTTGTATCTTTATTTTAATATTATTTCTTACATTTTTTCTTCTTCAAATAACAAGATAATTTGTATACAATAGTTATTAATATCATTTATGACTACTTACAGCAAATGATATTGAATAAGACGTGTATCATTTTAATTAAAATACATTTTTTTTATTTTTTATTTTATAAATGGCAGTTTTAAGAAAATATATGTTGTTTTGGGCAAATCTATGGACCTAGTTATTTGACACATTCTGTCTGAAGACTAAGAAAAATTTGTATAAATACATAGGTTGTAAATTGAAAAGTAAAATAAATGGCTCTGCAAATTTGTCTCAAATTTTTAATACATATTAATTTAACAATGTAAGTACAGTAAAACTCGCATAAGTCGGATTCGTACAAGTCGGATCTACTCTCAACTCTAATAAAATCATTTGGACCCTTTGATCCCGCATGTTTTTCTTATTAAATTTCTGTGCGTAAGTCAGATTTCCTAAGTCAGATCTTTGCTCAACTCGGATTAAAATGTTCAGTCCATTTGATCTAATTCAGGCTTTTTTCCTTCTCCCAAGTGAACGGCAGTATGTTCAGAATTTGACTAAGTCAGTTTTGTCCCGATAGTCAAAAATGCGTTGAGGTATTCCATGCACAGAGCCCCAAAATAATTTCCCCCATGATTTTGACTCAAATCAGCTTATTTGACGCAACACCAAAACGGAAGTTGTCTACTCACATATACGAACAAAAGCTTGAAATGTGCCTTTGAATTGAATCAGTTATTATCTGGCTCTTGTAGTTTATTTCTAATCGAGCTAAGATTGAATTTCGGTCTTCGGCTAACTCGGATCTTCACTTAAATCGGATAAAATTGGTCAGTCCACTTACATGTAGATCTGACTTTTGCAAAGTTTACTGTATAATTAAATCATGTTACATATAAATTCAACATTATTTTTTTTACCAACTTTTGGAGAACTCTAATGTGATGAAAAGGTTATTATTGATTAATACATGTAGTAAATTATAATTGAGATTTACTTCCGTCTCTTAAAAGTTTTTTGATAGAAATTATATAAATAATCTGTTGTTAAAACACTATTTTTGGTCCAGGTCTATATGTTTATCCGCCCAAACTTCAGCTGATTTGAATATGTACGGCTCATCTGCTTAAGTGTACATTGTCATTGTACATTTTTTTGGGGTCACAGTGGCTAAGTGGGTAAAGGCGCTGGCTTGCTAGCCTGGAGGTTGGTTGAGAAAGTTCATCCAGATTTTCCGGTGTTGTTCCCCCTTGTCAGTGATGCAGGACGGAGGGCCTGACAAGGACAGCTGTCTAGTTGTTGGGATGGGACGAAAAACTGAGGTCCTGCGTACACAGTGGCAAGCAGGTGGCTTGACAGTTGTAATTCGATATAAGAGTAGGTCGTAGTAATGCTTTCCGGGCAAAATCTCCCTCATAGCACACTGTATGGCGCATGCCCGTCTTTATTAGCCCAATTCAGAGTAGAACTGTAGCCCTATTTCATTTCTGTACATATGTTTACATGTAATATAGAAAATCAAAACCATAATCTTAAAATTTTAACTTTGTGCTACATGTAGATGCATAGAATTTGAAAATATAAAAAGGAAATGAAACACTTACTGGTACATGTACACATGACTAGAGGAATTAAGTCTGGCCACTGCCTATTTTCTATTCTTTTCATGTACTTGTTTAATTTGTGAAAACAATATTTAAATCTTCTTTCCATATACATGTACACTGTATATGTATGTCTCATAAAAATGTGCTCTACAACAAAAAGAGAAATGTATGTGCATGTACATGTACCAATCTAGTTTTCTTAAAGCCATTGAAGTCACTTGAGGAATTTGTAATCCTTTGCAAACTACAAAGTGAAAGTTGAATCTCTAAATGGAATAGGCTACAGCAAGGTGTTAATGGTTCAATTCTGTTTTACAAAGGTAGATGGATTTAAAATTTAAAAAAATGATATAAACAATTTAAGAATGCTGTTCAAATACGCTTTGAACCTGCTGTGAATGATTCATGTACATTCTGGGTGTATTAGCTGAATGCAGCTCGAATGTAGTTGGAACTCAGTGGGAATATTTAGAATGCACAATGCAGTCAGAACTCAGAGTATTTAGAATGCAGTTCGATTTCTGCCGAAATACTGCCACAAGCCACAAGTCTCGTTGGAGGGCACATGTACCTCAAATGCTGTATGAATTCACCTTGAATGCAGACAGAACACTGCTGAAATGCTAACCAAATAAGGTTCAAACGTCCAAGAATTCAAACAAAGCAGCTGAAATACTTAGAATGTACAGTAGGCCTACTTCAAATGTACCTATACTCAGAATGTACATGTAACACAAATTGATTCTTGTATCAATCGTGATGCATTCAAAGTGCATTCTGGCTCGAGACGAATTCAGGACATTCTGCTAGGACTTAATGTAGCTTTCTGTTTCGTTTCTCCCTCGAACATGATCAAAATGTTTTGAATACTGTTGGAATGCCATAAGAATAATAAAAATACAGCAGAGTGCATTTAGAATACACATAGAATGCTGTTCGATATTTCTCCACTTCAAATGCACCTCAAAAGTTTTGAGCATGAGCAAAACATTCCGGCTGGCCACAAGAATTGGTCAGTATATTTGGAATGCACCCAGAATCCAGTCAGAATTTGTAGGGTGCTCTTCGAATATCCAGAAATATACAAATAATTTTCATTCAGACGGCATTCCGCCTCTAGTGTGACTAGGGTTTTGAATAGTCAATGTACATGTACAATTACTGTACAAACTATTGTGACAGACAGCATACATGTATAAGATTTTATAGTTGCAAACTTTCTTGTATTTTTAATGAATCATAAGGATGAACAATATCAAAATTCTGACTACATGTATGATGATGACAATGATTTTTAAAATGTCACTGTGGTAATAAATTTGGGTGTTTCTAGACAGTGGGTAATAAAATATAACATCAGGTTCACATGTATGATTAATAAAGACCATGTTCGTGGACCTGGAAAAGAAAAATATTTAATCTAACATTGACCATCAGTCTGTTTTTTAAATATTAAAACTTATAACAGTTGAAATGTTATTTTTATCATACTGAATAAGATTATCATTCATAAAGGTTTTTGTATTGTGGTTTTATTGTCTGAAGACCACATGTTTACTCTAAGGGTTCAAGTTCAGGTCAGTGAATTGTGTTGGTAAGTCAATGAAGAGAATGATAACGGCTGTGATAGTATTGGAAGTACTCGTATAATATTATGTATGAATGATAACGCTTGGCTAGTTTGTTGTAGGAAAGGACTTACCGTGTCTGCGTTAAATAAAATAGGAGGAAAGTTATATTGTTTGGTTTTGAATGTTATTAATTTAATGATACATATTTAATTTATCATATGTTAGCTTACGGTACATTATTAAAGTTGCTGATCCAAATTTGTATTTTCCGGACAATTTCTAATTTTTCACAGAACATTAGTCCACTCTAAAAATCGATTCTTTGATATTTAATTAAGAAAACAAAATCCAAATATCAATTGATGGTTACTCAGTAGATAATCTCCCAACTTGAATTCAATCAAGTTAAAGAGAAGACCATCAAACAATTTTGTTTGACTATATTGTGTGGATTCCTAATGTTGATAAATTTTTAATTCATCAGTTCATCATATCTTGGTAAATACTGAATGGAATTGAACCATTATTTTTGAACTGATCGATGCCAAACATAAAGTTGTTTGATAATTAGGTTAATTGATATAAGGTTATTTAGAATATATGTTATTGAGAATCAGTTACATTTTATTTAGTTGATTAGAGTGATATTGTACCTTTACTTTAAGGGTGTAATGTGTTGAAAATTAGTTCTTCATATCATATTCATTTTTACAGTTCTAATATTTGGCCGCTCCCCCAATGATAACATTGTATTGAGAGAGATGGGGAATGGGGTTTGACATCCACTCAACAGTAACTATATGTAGGTCTATTCTCATACTCTAACTGCGTGGGGGGTTGGATGGCTGATGGTTAGCGTGCGCGCGCTGTATCATAAAGTCTGTCATTGAGTCGACTGGCGTGGTTTCGAATCCCCGGTTGTACGTGACAAGGAGTAGGGTCACCTGTCCAACCTCGTGGGTTTTCTCCGGGTCCTCTGGTTTCCTCCCACTGCTAAAGACCCCTACGCGCAAGCGAATTATTGAAATAAAATTAAACCATATGTTAGTCCCGCAATGTCATTACGCCTTAAAAAAGAGTTCCAAATTGGACCAAATATGTTTACATAATGTTACATCATAACTCATGATTTTATTATGCCCAATTAACCAGTGCATAGAAGAATATTGCAGAAAAACTTATTGCGTGACAAACGAGGTTATCAACACGGATACAATGTAAACTATACTGTTTGGAGACGAACAAGATTATCACCGTTTTTAATAGCTTAAATCACTGTCCAAAGTTTTAGGGAAGACCCCAGATTAAACGAAGGGTTGTCATGTTGCTGTACTTGGGATAGATTTGATTGAACGGGAAGAAAAGACACAATCCCATAAAAAGCTCAAGTATCAGAAGCCAATCCAGCAATGGCCAGAGAGGGATTTCTTGGGCCATTGCTTCAGGAATATGGTCTATTCTAGCACATACCATATTTTCATTTCAATGATTCACACAGAAGTTTGGAGTGGGTGGGGGAAGCCAGAGTACCTGGCAAAAAAAACATTAGGTTAGGTACAAGTACATGTGTAGATCACCCAAATTTTGTAAAATACTAACCAGACACCGAACCTGTAAAAAACTTTCACACATACATATGCATGTAATTACCATGTAAGACCACTACCTCACCCACCCCCTCTTGTTATGTACATGTAAGTATTTTTTTACATAATAAGTTGTCCTTCATTGTTCATCCATTATAACCTGTATTTAAACTACATACATTATTTTTTATTAAAATCAATATAGCCACTACCCGGTATAATAAATTATTAATGTTGTATTAACTGACTGTTTTAGAACCTCTCAAGTCAATCAAATGTCAATTTATACAAAGGAATTTTTCGGTCTGTTCTTGATTGTCTTAATAATATTGATTTTACTCTATTTCAAACAGAAATTATTTCCATAAATAAAGTCATTGTGAATTATAATATATGATTCATCATTGTCATGAAAGAAAAAAAATCATGATTTTTCGATAAATCAAATACTAAATACCAATACATTTCAATAAGCAAAAATGTTTTCAAGGAATTTAATGAAAGCTCAAGAAATATCTTCCGCACTTACATGTAAAGTAGCAATATTGTTAATTTATAACATGAATTAAAGATACATTCCTGCGTACAAACTGGGTGATTTGATGATACATGTACATGTATATTTGGACTAAAAACATATTCAAACTAATTAAACAGAATATTTTGCTTCATATCCTTCTCAAAACATTGTATTTGTCAGGGAATACCCCTGCTATAAAAATCATCAAAAGAGGTCATGTTTGTGTCATGTGACTTACTTTGTCACTACCTAGCAATGGTGCGAAGCCGGAGGAGAGGTCATTACAAGGCGATGTTGTCTTTAATCGCTGACTACATGTATTTATTACAAATATCGAAGCCCAGTAAATTCTCGTATTATCCACTGCCCAAGTTTTTTTCTGTGGTTTTTATCTCAGAAACTGTTGCACCATCAATTTTATCAACATATACATCAAGCGCTCACTAGCACTGGGAGATTTGGCAATCTTCGCGTGCTGCCTTTGACGTTACTCGAGCAGACATCACTAATCGTCAGGTGTTTTTCATGGAATCCAGTATTTTTCTAGTAAGATTGCATGTTTCTACTTTCCAATACATGTACACTGTATACCAATATTACCATACTTTTGTTGGAAAAAAAACCCACCTGATAAATACTTTTCTTGGAAAGTATCTTTAAAGAAGCAATATTGTTAAAACATACTACATGTACCTGTATATTATGGTCATCTTCAAACTTATTAAACCTTATAAACCACCACATTTCTCAAGTAAAACATTTGAAAACTTTAATTCTTAATTGGTAGGCTACCAAAATAAATGTTGTTTTCTGTGGTACTATGGAAGGCTGTTGCAGCCATTTTATAATCTTGACTTCTCACAGCGAGAAGGCAATGATTTTCAAATGCAAGAAGTCAAGAAATCATGGATGGAGTGAGAAGGTAAGATTGCATAAAGGCTGCAAGTGTTTCCATGGTTTACAGTAAGCAACATTATACAAATAAACAATGGAAATTATTAAAGAAGAATCCATGTACATGTACCAGAGAGTTAAAATTTCTAAATTAATATTTAGAAACAGTTAGTATGATATTAAGCTGATTTATGATGACAAAATATTCTGGCTTGCATAAACTTATTACCTCTTTAAAATCTACTATATATATATACATGGTCACCTGCCAACTTACCACGTTTCTAAAATACAACATTTAGAAAATCTTAATTCTTAAAGGGGCGTTCTGTAAGATTTTAGATAAAGAGTTGGCCGTTCTCACTTTACTTTTTTAATAACAGATAATACAAAAGGAATATATTGAAAATTTCATTCAAATTACTTTATTTTGAGCAAAGTTATCAATGGTTGTAGTTTTGATAATACATGTACCGGTACATGTATGTGTGCATTGATCGTAACCACTGTACTGGTCATTCGAGTCTTAGCCTCGCTTCCCTATTTTATTTTTAAATTAAATCATTAAATGGCTGAACCGTTCTAATCTACTTAAAATCGGAGGCATCAGATGGCATCGAGAGGTGATTATCATCTTGTCATCTTGAAAATTTCATTCAAATTACTTTATTTTGAGCAAAGTTATCAATGGTTGTAGTTTTGATAATACATGTACCGGTACATGTATGTGTGCATTGATCGTAACCACTGTACTGGTCATTCGAGTCTTAGCCTCGCTTCCCTATTTTATTTTTTAATTAAATCATTAAATGGCTGAACCGTTCTAATCTACTTAAAATCGGAGGCATCCGATGGCATCGAGAGGTGATTATCATCTTGTCATCTTGATTAATGTCTAATTAATAAGTTATGTAATTTTAAGGTCCAAAGAAAGACCTGCAATAGGCAGAATTAGCTCTATAATACCTGTTTAAATTGGTAGGCTAGCAAAATAATGTTTCTTTACAATAAGTGACACAGGGCATTATTTGAGCTTAAATGCCTTAAACTGTTAGAATTGCTCAATTAATAAGATATACATATTCAAGGTTTAGAGTATGATTAAAGGCTTACCAATAGATTAGACTAATTACTGCGTTAAGTTGGTCAGTGCATGGATTTTCAAAATAAGACCACATTTACAGTTATTTTGATACCTGTATATTATAAAATTGAGTGAAAATACCTCTGTAAAATACATACCGGTACATGCATTTAAATCACATTATGTACGGTACATAAAGAAACATAAAAAGAGTCAGTACCTGTAGGCCTGCATGTAAATCGGCCTTTGAACAGTACAATGTAACCATTATCCTCTTTTCAATGATCAGTTTACCCGTATACATGTATAAAATGTCTCTGAATATTACAAGATGTAGGCCTATCTCCATTATTATAGTGTAGTCTCCAAAATTAAGTTTAAAACATTATCAGATTGTAATAATAATAATAATAATCTATTTATAAAGCACTGAATATCCAACAAACTGGTTGCTCAAGAGCAAGATACATGTAATTCAAATTGACTATAAATAATCTATAGCGTTCTACACTCAATAGATCTATGTAGTATTGAACAACGATTTCAGTAAATCATTTAATCACAATGTCAATGTTTAAATTTTATATATACTTGGAGCACCATTCAATAAAATTGTATCTTGTGGAATTTTATATCCTATTGCAATAAAGAAAATTGCAAATATTGTCTAGCCCTACAAATATAACTCATTTCAAAATTCTTAAAAATAATGTCTGTACTTAAAGAGTAAATTGTGGTACCGGTAAACATACTGCTACTACAAACAGTAAGAAAAGGCTCATGTTTGGTGTGGGGTTTATTTTTTAGAATAAACCACAATTCATAGCGTGGAAGAAAAGGGCCAAACAGCTAAGAAAAAACATACATGTACTGTACATTACCTGTAAAAAATGTTATATTACATGTACATGTATGTGTGACCTACCTCAACGATTACATCATTTGACTTCTTATCGAAGATGAAAGACATGTGGAAACCAGCTGTACAGTAGGCCTATAGCTTTTATAGCGAGCTGCATGTACATGTACATAAGTTTTACATATGATTGTCTATTTTCAGTACATGTACATGTATAATGTGTCAGACTTTCAAAGATGGTGAGTTTTGGTATATAGTTCAACAGTATGATACTTCCTCTGTTCTCAGTTATCTATAATTTGTTATCTTGCTGTTACAGATGAGACCAGTAAGATAGCTGCAGCTGATAGCAACACTTCTAAACAAAGTTATGTCCCTTGTAAAGTATGCGGTGACAGAGCATCAGGCTATCACTATGGTGTAACATCTTGTGAGGGTTGCAAGGTAAGATTAGAAAATATATTATATGTAATTGGTTAAGAACAATAGATGACAATAAGTTATTTGAGATCATTTTAAAAGCGTATCCCTATTTTGTATATCAACTTGAAACAGGCCTTACAATAAAAAAATGGTGGAGGGATGCTTGTGAAGGATTACTTTCCCCATGATTTTAGTTAAATGCAAGTAAGCAAGCATGACAAAATATACAGTTTGTATACTAGTCATTGATTTATAACTTGTCTGTGGTGGCTCTCCCTAACAATGATTTTGGAGCCTCTTTAGGGTGCCTGATTCCTCTGAAAGTGGTGATGTTCTGGAGGCTAAAGTGTTTATGTTCTTGAGACAAAATAATTATCTGATTTTCAACAATATCAGATAACTCAAACATGTAAAGTTATTTTATTACCACTACCAGTACATGTTTTGCCTTTCTGATAATTAATTCATGGGTTGTTGTCCTTGATTAATTTTTTTAGTGTCTGTTACTGTTACCTGCAGAAAAATAAAAACGGAACAACCTTTATCGAATGCTTGGCCACTTTAGCTGCTGTGGGTGTATGTTTCATAACTTTGCCACCGGTCTGATTATTTTCAATTTGACATTCTTATAGGGATTTTTCCGTCGAAGTATACAGAAACAGATCGAGTATAGATGTTTACGAGATGGGAAATGTATGGTTATACGGTTAAACAGAAATCGATGTCAGTACTGTCGTTTTAAGAAATGTTTAGCAGTTGGAATGTCTCGAGATTGTAAGTTTCTATTCCTTTTAATATAAAAAGACGATCTAACACATAAGGCTATATTATTATTAATCTGTCGACAAATTCTTCCTTGGCTTGTTCTTGACAAGGAGTCACCTGCATAACCTTGTCTTGTGGGTTTTGCCCCGGGTACTCCAATCTCTCTCCCTCTCTCTCTCTCTGTCTCTCTCTCTCTTCTAAAGACTACAAAATTTAACTAAAGGACTAAACCAAATTTTAACCCAAAATAAAAGTCTGTACTAGAACCTTTCAATTTAAGTTCTATTTATAACTTATTTAAAGCTGTGAGGTATGGAAGAGTACCAAAAAGATCGAAGAGTCAAGACCATGATCAGCGGGTGAGCTCTACAGACTCCATTTCTACACAAGAACAGTCAGCTCTCGAAAACAAACAGTTGGCAATATATGATGTCATTCTCAGCATATCTCAGGCACATCATGCTCATTGTGCTGTCACAGAAGACAAAATGAAAAACTTTAACAGAAAGAATTCAACATTGGTAAGTTAACCAAATATTAATTTTATTTCATTGCCGAAGCCAAATGTCTTTATAAACTCAGTCATATTCTTTTTGTTGCTATCCTTCGTACAGCCAATGAAATACTGTCACTTGGAACAATTCAATGTCTCAATTAGAAATTTGTCTTTCAATCAATTTGCATTATGATGTCATCAGGTAAATCATGTTTTTTTATGTGTTAAAATTACAAAAAAAAAAGCTTTTTTCGAACACGCTTCCACGACTCCTTTCAATTAGTATTAATTAGTTGTCTTACAGTATTTGTTACTTGAATTTAAGAAACTTGAAATATCATGGTTGTAAAGTATAGTCAAGCGTGCTTAGTATAACACTGACGGAAATAGAGCCAGGCTCTTCCTTCCCGAACTCTTTATCGCTTGTAAACACTTAAGCTCCTTTCATCATCTAAACACAGTGAGGTTACATGCAAGCCTTCACTATAAGGCACCTGACATAGGCATTGTCAGAAACAAATTTTCACACAATGTATATATTATTAAAAAAAAAAAACCATTGTGTAATAATTTGTGTCTGAACTTCTTTGAGTGGCATTTAGTAATTGAATAGTACCACACTAAAAACTTTTTATGTCTAACAAATGAAATAAAATAAATGGGGTTTAACGTCTTAATGTTCTGCTTTGACTGGGCTAATAAAGACGAGCATACACCATACAGTGTGCTATGAGGGAAATTTTTAACCCAGACAGCGGTGCAACAGCCTAACCTTATATCGAATTCCAACTGCCAAAGGATCTTTTACATGCACACCAATGTGTACAACAGCCTAACCAACTGCCAATGGTTCTTTTACATGCATGCCAATGTGTTCATGGGACCTCGGTTTTTCGTTCCATCCGAAAGACTAAACAGCTGTCCTTGTTAGGCCCTCTGTCCTGCACAACTAATAAAGAGCAACACCGGGAGCGAACCCGTGACCTCCAGACTAGCGAACCATTGTCATATGTGACCGGTGCCTAATTATTAAACATCTTTCAACTCCATTCGTTAATGGATGATAATTATTTTGCGTATTTGTAAAAAAATTGACTGAAGTTACATGCATGCTTCATAGAGACTGATCAGCAGCATTCAAATTATTACTACAAAATCTGTGCTGAAGAAAAAGCGAACGGATACACAACAGTCAGAAATATATATATAGATTTATTTATTGTTTTTGAATCAAGAAATTTAACAATGTACTGGTATATATTACTGGAGCCATGTTGTCTCAGTGAGTAAGATGTTGGCTCGCTAACCTGGAGTTCACATGTTCGATCCCTATGATGACGAGAAAATTTTTCAGGTTTTTCCCAGCGTGTTTTCACCTTGTCAGTGGTGCAGGATGGAGGGCCTGCAAAAGGACAACATATACATGTAGTTCAAAGGGGACAATAAAAACCCCTTGACAGTTAGAATTTGATATTAGAATAGGCCTCATAGCACACTATGGCATTTGCCTGTCTTCATTAGCCCAGTCAATTCAGAAGAGTAGGACGTTAAATCCCATTTCATTTCATTTCATTTCATGTTGGTGTATATTACAGGTTGAGAAGATAGAACTACCTGAAGGAACAACCCACTTTACTGATGAACAAATGGAATGTCAGAGATTATCAATGTGGAGTCAGCTAGCGAAATTAATTACACCTTCAATTCATAGTGTTGTGGAATTTGCTAAAAGAGTACCAGGTTTGTTTTAACAATATACACTTACTCTTTCAAAATATCCCTCACAAAAGTATGAACTTCAGAGAATGTAACACATGTCAAAACAAGGAATTAGATTCGTCGAAGTCATACATAATTTAGCAGAGTAAATTGGCAGATATGCAAAACGTCTTGGTCTAATTAGACAAATATTACATTTTTTATATTTAGGGTTGTTTTGAACATTAAATAGATTGTATTCATATTCATAAAAGTACCTAGTGAAGAACAAAAATTAATAAACCTTTTAGTAATCCTGTTAATGTATTTTTTTTTTTTCTCCATTCCAGGTTTCTCTGAATTAACTCAGGATGATCAGTTGATATTAATTAAAGCAGGATTCTTTGAGGTTTGGTTGACAAGGATGGGGAGGATGTTTAACAGGGGAGAGAACCTAGTCACATTTGAAGATGGTAGTATGATACATAGGGATGAATTGGCTGTTGTTTTCTCAGTAAGTTATACAACTAATTTGTTTTTATGTGTATGTTTATATGTATATTGCCGATTTACCCAATACTACCTAAATACTACAGAACACCACCACATACTACCCCATTGTGAAAACTAAGAGTAGTTAAATTATACCCCAAAAAATGAGTCAAGTCATGATGGAATTGGCTATATTTATGGTAAACTGGAAAAGTCTATTTATAGTATCAGTACCCAGTAGCTCAAGGATCTGAAAGACTAGCCAGATATCTTCTAACCCAATACTACAAAATACAACCACATACTACCTTATTTGTATCCAAAACTGACAGAATTTTTCAATTACTTCAATGAGAGTATCCTTGTCGAAGCGTCGCTTAGTATTAAACTCAGTAGGGGATCACGTGGCTAAGTGGGTAAGACGCTGGCTCGCTAGCCCGGAGGTCGGGTGTTCCAACCCTGCATTGGTCGAGAAAGTTCATCACGATTTTCCGGCATGGTTTCCCCTTGTCTGTGATGCAGGACGGAGGGCCTGACAAGGACAGCCGTCTAGTCGTTCGGATGGGACGGAAAACCGAGGTCCCGTGTTCACATTGGCGTACACGTAAAAGATCCCTTGGCAGTTGGAATTTGATACAAGAGTAGACGGTAGTGCCGCTGCCCGGGCAAAATTTCCCTCATAGCACACTGTATGGCGTATGCCCGTCTTCATTGGCCCAGGTTAGGATCAGAACAGTAGGATGTTAAACCCCATTTCATTTCATTTCATTTCAATTTTCATTTCATTTCATTTCAATTTTCATTTCATTTCATTTCAATTTTCATTTCATTTCAATTTTCATTTCATTAAACTCAGTAATTGTGTATCCATAAAAATTGTACCTTGTGTTAATATGTTCAATTACTAAATGCCAATCAAAGAAGATACTTCAATGAGTTAATTCCTATAAAAGGTGCAGCAAACATTTGAGATGTCTGTTTGTAGTATCGATGATACATGGAATGGTTAAACATTGAATAAATAGTTTTGATAGTATCGGTTTATATGTGTAAGGGAGATACATGTAACTGGAATAACAAAACATTGACTATCACATTTGCCGTACGTTTTGCAAGTTTTCCACAAATTAACTCAATTTTTTTAATATAATTGGAGTATTCTGTTAGTTTTTCATGATAATGTGGTAGTATTTGGTAATATTGGCCATTGGGTACTGGGTAGTATTGAGCAAATCGTCCTGCTAGTAGCAAGTGGATGTTTTAAGATATAAGATTTATTTTATTCTTGTATATTTAAAGAGTAGAATTTGCCATGGTTACCCTTCACCCAAAATTTAAAATTAACTCCGGTTCTAACACAGATATTGAAATAGAAATGTTTTTATTTTGCAGCCAGCATTTGTGAGTTCATTATTTGATGTAGCAGCTAGTTTTAATCATTTAAATCTCAACGATACAGAAGTTGGTTTATTTACTGGCATAGTACTTGCCACAGCAGGTTAGTTTATTCATCGATCTCGGAACATGAATCTGTTTTGAATTTTACCTATAATTACCCAATTTGCAATCATTTTATCAAAGATGAAAGCCACTGATTTGTCATTTACATTTTTTGGACAATATCTAATTTTTCACGACTTCATCCATCCTAAAATATTCTTTGTAAATATTAAATGAAATTGAAATATTTGTCGGATATACCTTTTAGAGATTCAACTTTTACAATAATGTAGTTTTCAAGGGATTCAAAGTCCATCACATATGACAATCAGCTGTTTAAAATATACTGTTTTAAAAGAGTGCAAATAAAAATTTGAAATTGCACTGATGGCCAGATAATTTCTTTTACTGTTTTGAATATGAATTCTTCCTCCTCTTACAGATCGATCAGGTTTGTCAGATTCTAAAGCCGTGGAAAAAATACAAGATAAATTGATTGAAGCATTAAAATTACAAGTCAGTCGGAACCATTCAACAGAAGAGAGCTTGTTTGCTTCAATCATAATGAAATTCCCCGAATTACGAACTCTCGGCCATCAGCATAATGAACTATTAAAGTGGTATCGAATACAATGGAGTCGCGTGACACTACCTCCTCTTTTCGCAGAAATTTACGACATCCCAAAACATGATGACATTACACATGTTGTTCCAACCTAGTCAGGGTAATGAGAAGTTTTAGATTGTATTTTATTTTTTATTCCAAAATGCTGCCAACATTAAAAAGATAATGAAGTAGGTCAGTAGTGATTGTAAATTTGGAGTTATTGAATCAAATAGTCCAAGTGCAATGAATTACATGTTGTATCTAAAATATGGGTTGGGACTGCATTCAAAATGTAAAATTGAAGTATGCTTTTGGTCTTTAATTAGGGGAGAAGCTCAGAATACCCAAATCATTCATCATGCAAGCAGCAGTTTGGTGAAAAATGAGGTATCTTGGAATTTCCTTGAAATGATTTATGGTTTAGCATGCAAGTAGTTAGGTGGGATTCAATTTTCCTTGAAATGTGTTATACTTCATCAGCCAGAATGTTTGTAAAGGATGAGCTGTTTTAAGTATCAGTGCAAATGTTGACTGAAAAGGAATGAATAGATTGTAGTGCAAATGTTCACTGAAAAGAATCAGCTGTGCAGTGAAAATGTTAACTGAAAAGGAATAGCTGCTAGATTGCAGTGAAAATGTTAACTGAAAAGGAATAGCTGCTAGATTGCAGTGCAAATATAGACTAAAAAGAAATAGCTGTTCAGATTGCAGTGCAAATGTGGACTGAATAGGAACAGCTGTTTAGGGTTGCAGAACAAATGTGGACTGAATAGGAACAGCTGTTTAGGGTTGCAGAACAAATGTGGACTGAAAAGGAACAGCTGTTTAGGATTGCAGTGCAAATGTTGATTGAAAAAAGAACAGAGACATTAATTGCTATTAAACAACAAGCATCTTTGTAAGAATTAAAACTTGATAAGCTCAAGTTTAAACTGCCCAGCCATCTTATTTGGTGCAGAATGAGTAGAGTGAATATAGTATGAAACAGTGATTAAATAATGCATTTGAACTGACTGACCTCCACTGCCAAATTAAATTCATCATCTTATCCATCAACAAATTGACAATTATATGTAGTGCTCAGGGATAGATCTGACTTTTTTTATTTTGAAATTCTGATCTTGTCAAATTCTTCATGTTGTTCTTGATGTTGGTATCGTAGTTTAAGCGTCCGCAAAAATGCTTCTGTAGTGAACTGTAAAATCCTGATATATCAAAGACTTTGTTTTAAAAAGTGCATTTGTTTTTTACATTTATTTCCAATATTTTTATGAAAGATTTGCATTTATATTTACATATACCATGTATATGTATTTTCATTTGATAGTCATTTATATTGAATATAACAAAAGTCGTAGGAAATGACTTGCTGATTTACTTTTAGCGATCGCATAGTGCTTCATTGACGATTTATAAAGTCCATAGAATTTTGTTGTTAAGAATATTTTTTAAGATATATCTGGCAAGGCCAGGAAAAATAAACAAATGGCTACATAATAGAGGAAGAGAAACATGAGGTATTTTTAATAAAATGTTACGTCATTTCAAAAACCTTGGATTTTTCAAATTTAACAAATGATTACATTAAATGTGACATTTTGCTTGTCATTTCAACACACATTTAAAGCTGGACCTCAAGTGAGTACATGCTTAATCCTGATAATAAAGATATCGTTTGTAGATTTACTAATGGATGTGTAATTATTACTGTATGAAAATATTTTCACTGTGTTGTATGTCTTCCTGCCTTTTGATATTTAAAAAATAGAAATAGACCATTATTAAACAGTCTACGTTGCTAATTAAACTTTTGTACATGTAACTGGATCATGTTGTTAGTTACAGATTACATGTATCTGACACTTTTACATGCTAGCTATGTCATCACATTTCAAATCTGATACATATTGTAACATAGTATCATATACGAAATGTGATAATATGTGTATTACATTTTACACTAATTTGAAATATGATGACTTAAGTAGCATTGTAAGAGATCATTATTGTTTTCTGGGAACTTCACTAGTAATATATTGAAATCCTATAAAGGGGGGTGGGGGCGGCTTATGTTGACCTTGCAACTTTAAGCAACTGGCGTTTCAGCAACTGAAAGAGACTGAAAAAGGTTGATCTGAACGCTTCTTACAACTTGAAGCAACTAGTTGCAGTCAGTTGCACATGTTTAACTTTCTGCAACTCATGGCAACTAGTTGCAGCGACATGAACGTTCTTACAACTGTCATCAACTAGTTTCCATGGGAATAACATCACATGATAAGAGACTTGTGTCATGTGACTTTATAAATAAGCAAAATGGAAGCGAACGAGGATGCCCACTTTTCAAATGTTGATGATGTGGACGATAATATATTAATAGAATTGTGGCAAGACTGACCATGCCTTTGGGGTACTTCTAAGGTATTTGCCATTTTGTTGATCACATGATGAATAAATTATGTCACATGTTAGTGTAATCACTATCAGTTCCGAGTCAACATAAGCACTTCGAATTCAGTTGCTCTCAGTTGCTGATATGATTGACATAAGAACAATGCAACTATCTTGTTTTGAATTGCAATGGTGACATAAGCCTGCCTTTAGATTGAAGGATATTCTTGCCTTTTATTTTCTTACAGACATCAAAACAAGCTGGCTATTCAGTACCTCTTCCAAATTCTTTTAAAGAAGTAAAACCTACTGTTCTTTATTTATTTATATAGGCCTTTAATGAAGTAAATTTAAGGTAGCATTTAAATTGTTTAGTTATAATGTGTACAATAATTGAGCGTCACTTCTTAATTTTAAAAAAACAATTCTTAAGTATAGTTATATATAGGCCGCATTTGTGTTATAAAACAAAACAGGTGTCTCCAATTTTTTAGAGATAAATATTAGTTTTCCATAGGTATATGTTTTAGGCTTTATCATTATGTGACTCGTGGTAGCAAAATGAGTCGGATGTCTGATACGATATGAACAAAAATAGTCTAATATATATTTTTAATGATATAATACTAAAGGTAAAATTTTTGATTTGACAAATAAAGTAAACTAAATTTGGTTTTAGATTTTTATCCTTTTTCAACATTTTCTTTCATGATTTTAACCAGTTTTAACATTTATTATCATAAACAATGACTTGTGACTTCCCGACTCATTTTGTGGTCATGGGTCACATATTGCTAACAGTGTTTGAATAATTCATCCTTTGTATATATGATATGCACTGTGCTCTTAAAGAGATTAAAAACATGTGGATTTTAAACATGGGTCCATTTGTGATTTTGATTGTTCATAAATCATAAAGCTGGTGTAAACTATAATTCGCACAATAAAGATACACCTTGTACAAGCATGCATAAAACGTGTAGTAAATTGCAATACAACGGATAAATATATTATCATAAAGCATAAAGTTAAATGTTGGGGAAAAATATTCTGATCTATAATCTGTAAAAGCAGTAATACCTTTGGAAGACATTGACCGTAGGAGTGCTCATGTTAATGGTGCACATTGAGTGTAATTGGCAGGTAAATCTATCAACATCAGTCTCAGGAATCAATACTCAACGGCTTTAATTTCTTGTTGGCTTACTTTGAATCTTGGATTTTTTTAGGTCAATACACGTTATATACTGTCAGACTTTCAGATAGAAAAGGGCTAGAGGGTCCAATATATGATCTAATTATGTTATGGGAATATATCTTTAAATGGTGTTTGTTGTAATTAAATTGAAATATTGCTGTTATGATTAATAGACTGTTGAACATAAATGATTATTTTTCATTAGAAATCTTATTATTTTGGGACCTCATTTTGTATGATTTGCAGCAACCTTGGTAAAATGCACCTTTCCTCCTAACATCAATATAGTAATTAAATGCCCTTGTATAAAATATCTAGACGTCTTGCTATGAAGAGGTTATAGTCATAGTGTCATAATGAAAATCAGTTGTTAGAGACTACTATCAAAGTAGGATACACAATGTATTCTTCATACGTTTATATCTTGGGTTTTTTTTTTAATAAAATAAAATAGTCGAAGCCAAAGACAGTTTTTGTTTTGAAGAACAATCTCCTAAAAGTGAGAATCTGTTTATGATATATTATTATAAAACATAGCTTTGCATGTATGTATATATGGCATTTTCTTTCATATATATTCATACATATACATGTATCATCTTTTTTAAATACATACTATAAGTGCTATAACGTAGTTGATGTTTTTATTATATTCTATTATATGTAGTCGGAATGTGTTTTCATTGTTTTTACGTCATTTTTGTTCGATATTAAAGAAGAATGTATGTTTTTTTATGTGAAAAATGTTGTATTAAGTCAATTTTTGTTTATGTATATAAATATTTGTACACACATTTTTAGCATGGATTAAGAAACATTTAGTGAAATATGTTATAGAAAATAAAATTTCTAAAATTCTATTCTCAATATGTATTATATTTCTGAATGCAAAATACCTACAAAACAATTAGTCCAGAATTGGGAAAAAAGATCCATTAATTAAAATTATGCATTAGAAAGTTTATGGTGCTAAGACCACACCAAATAATTTTCTGTTCTTCCCAGGGTCTAGATAAATAAATAACGACTTGAATCACATGAGATGCTTAGTTTAAAATTTCAAACTTAAAAATTTCCCGAACAAATAAGGAGAAAAACTTTCAACAGGTGTTTCCTAAAATTAAAATTTCAAACTTAAAAATTTCCCAGGTGTTCCCAAAGAACAGAAAATTAAGTTGGTGTGGCCTACCACGTTTTGAAGTAAATTTTAGTATATCATGATTCATTATGTTAATGAAACAATTAAATTGATTTATCATTATGATCATCGTCATGTTGTTTTAGTTATTCTAGAATACAAAAATATTTGCATTGGGGTACTGCAGGGCTCATGTTTCGGTCAAAGGAATTTTACTGAGTCGAAAATAAACATAAAAAATTATCAAATTTACTGGTATTTGATAAAAAAAAAAAAAATAACCTACAAACCAAACCGGTTTGCTAATTTGACATAGTCACAAAATTTTTTAATTTGGAGTCCTGAGACCCTGTATTTTTGAATGAGGGGTACTGCAGGGCCCACATTTCAGTCATAGGATTTTTACCAACTGGAAAACCAAATTTAAAAAAATTGTGAAACAAATTCAAAACTATGTTTTGCTAATTTGAAATAGTCACAAAATAAGAATCGTGTAGCAAAATTTTTAATTGGAAGCCCAGAGACCCTGTATTATTGGATTTATTTAGAACTTTACATGTTCAACTGTATATTGAAATTGTCAAATATTGGTATGACTGTTATAAAACAAAAAAGTAAACATGTAAAGTAAAATTAATGAAATTGATTTACATTTTTTTTTTTTTTTTCTATTTCACCAAGTTATGTTATAGTATATTTTATTTAATTAAATCAGGGCTGTTTAAATGGCATAACCAGATCTCGGTTCCACGAATAATCTTTTCTCCACGTTTGTACTCTTTTGAGCACAAGACAGGATTTTATTTAATATTTGATCTCGTTGAGGACAATTTCCCAAAAATTTCTAGCGGACATCATCTGCTAACAGACCTGGCCAGAGTTCAGTAGAAGCGAATGCAATGCTCATTAGGTACTGTTTGTTATAGTGAGTGAACCATAATTAATATGATATTCTATTATTACAAGTCACACTATACTCAGATTCAGTTGGAAAAGACAAACTTTTCAAAGCAAATACTCTGCTGAACACGTGGGCTTGACACAATCTAGGGTTTTACGTGGAACTGGGTTCAGATTATTCTATGACAAGATTACCTCAAACACATAAATCTCTTCAAATGGAAAATACTTTTTATGTGGTTCAACCAAATGGAATGTCTCTCAAGTTACTTGAAAAAATCATTAAAATGTTCCTTTCAGTTCTGTGTAAGTAATTCTTAATAGTTAATAGAATAAAAAGACTTGAATAATTGTGAACTTTTTATGAAAATCATACAGCTAGATATTCAACCTGGTGGTTTCAAAGAAGACTTGCTGTTTCTCCAAAGTTTCATACTGTTTTGAGTATTTTCGTTATTAACTCGATGTTAAAATGCTGCACATATGAAATTTCCATCTATTTTCAAACATGTGCCATCATGTCAATATCCCTTGTGATATCTTATGGAAATGAAATCTCTCACTGTAATCCGGGTATCATTTAATCTTGGGTATTTAGCACTAATTTCTTTCATGTTCATTCAATATCAAATCTTTTTCAGAAAAATTGTCTAAATTCGTCTAATTTGTACTTCCAGTTTAAAGCTTACCGTTTAATTTTTATAATGAGTGTCCAAATTACAAGCATTTAATTTCCCCGACCACTGTTGAAAAATAACATCCCAATTAATCATTATACATCAAAAATCATTTGGGTTTATTTTTAAAGTGATCTGGAAATTATATCCTTGTAAATTAGACACTTGTTACCAAATCAAACAAATTAAATGGTCAGCTTTAAATTGGACACAAGTACAAATTGGATGATTTGGGGTGATATTAAACGATTTTTACAAATTTAAAAGTAAGATTTGATTTTGAATGTGAAAGAAAAATGCAAGATTAAAGGATACCTGTGTCTTACCATATTCAACATGATAATTGCCCAGCATCAGTAAACACCCACCGGCCAAGCTCTCATCATGGCGTACACATTTACTTACCTAATTTTCTTGTAAGACCAGTCGTAAGTGTCCCAGAACAGTAAACCACCATGGGGTTTCAAGCTTTATTTTTGGTTTGATTCTTCCCCAGTTAACACCCCCTTATTTTGAACAGTTTTTAAGGACTGAGTGTTTATTGTGTTGAATATGGTACATTTCATCTTTTCCATTTATACTTTTACCTCATTTTGTGCTTTATTTTCAATTCATTGCTTGACATACAGTAATTCACTGATAAAAATAACTTGATCATATTTACTATTTTTGTCCTATCTGCTCTTTTCTTTGCACATCAGTGGCTCATTACATGCAGTTGGGCATGGATGGATCCATAATAATGACACACCTCTCGCAAATGTACCAGTATGCCAGCCTAATTTAATTTTCTTTTCTAAAAGTTATTCCCCTTTAGGATTTGGCTGTAAATAAGTCATATAGCATGGTATTTTAAAATTTATGTCATTTACAATAAAATGTAACTTTTAAAAAAACTATCTGATAATTTGTTTTACGTAAAGGAGCTAAACCTGTAACTCAATGTTTTCCATAAAATTTGTAATTAAAAACCTGAATTAAAGTTCAATATTAGTCCCATTTCAAGCAATATTTATGTTTTTATATTGCCGTGAAAATGTGGGATCCTAATATCCAATATTTAAGATATAAGAACATGTTAAAATCAGTTCACAAGTCGTGTATTCTACAGTTTCGGGTACGATTTGTAATGAACAAAGAAAAGCATAGCTTACAAGACAACTCCGAAGTAATTAGTAATGGCTGATTCACAAACGATTCGATCGTAATAAAAATTAACGTGTATAACGGACTAATTAGGCGTAAAAGATTGCTGTTCAATTTGGACTATTCACATATTTCACCAAACAATATTGATTGGAATTTACAATAAAAAATTTAAAAATTGAAATAAATCACTTTATATACCTTCATTCATATAACATATTACATTAATATGTGTTTTTAGATCCATTTTCATCTATTTTAAGGTTACAAAGAATAGAGCCATACGCCCTTTAAGTGATTTACAATTATTTCAAAGTTTGAACAAAATGACTACCTCAAACTTGATTATATTATTAATGTCATTTCATCCTTGCTACACATGAAATTTAAGTTATTGTCAATAAGAACCATTTCCGTTAAAGAAAGGTGGTGCTTATAGACTATAGCTTTGCATAAAAATTTTGCTGCTGATTGAAATTGAACTGAAATCAGCTGTATTAATTATAGTTATACACTGTTCATACACTGTGACATCTCATGTGCACATGAGATAGGTTAGTTGCACACAAACAGCATTATTGTGAAGCTGCTGTTTGTAATTTATAAAGATCGTGATATATAGCCATTCAGACTGTGAATTCCAATTCCAATATCTGATTTAAATTTATGTCGTAGTGGTACTATGGATTAATTCAAACAGTAGCACTAGTCAGTTTAATTTTAAATGTTTTTTTTTAGGTTTTTGTGTATTTCCTTTTGATTCTAACTACTGCTAACTCTAACATCTCAAACTGTCAAGTGGATAGCTGTGAACTATTTAAGGGCTGTTTGAGGTGATTTTGGGAACAGTTTCAAGCGGTTTTAAATATGAACTACAAAACTATGTAAAAAAAATAGATCTTTTGTCTCCAGTTTGTTTGAGATCTCAGCTGGTCAATATTTAAATATACCAGGTGCTAAAGGGTTTTGAATAATTTACTATAAATTTTCATTTTAAATTCTTAAATTTATCATAACTGTCATTTTAATGTTTTTAAAAGTTTACGAAATTTATGTAGTTTCATGTCATTGAACAATCTGATTAAAACACAGATCCTATTTCGTTTCATTTTTTATAGTTCAAAATTTTGTTTATTCGTCTTCACTACACTTAATATAGTGTAGGCCAGCGAAAGTATAAAAAAAAAAAAAAAAAAAAATATAGATCTGTATTTCAATCAGATTGGTGATTGAAAAATTTATCGTTATATTTTATCCCTTTTTATGTCATGAAAATTTGAATTTTCTCATGGGATTTATCATGTAATTAAAGATCTTCAAATCAATTCAGGTAATCATTCAAAATTTCAGGAAATAAAAATCTTATTCAGGGAAAATAATCAGTGAATGTGAAGATTATATTTGACTTTTATCTGAGTTAAGTTTATTTAACTGTAAAGTTGTCGAGAAATGTAAAACAAATTGATCAAATTATACAGAAAGATAAGGCAAGGTTGCACAGTTTCCAAGAATTATTCCAATTTTACTAAAGCACTTTTCTCATTTTAAAAATATTTTAACTTGGAATTGAAAAAAAGTGAAAAATCAAATACTTGAGGGCACTTTCAACCTTGTCTTGAAAATGAGTACATGTAATTTCAACAGTGGGCATGATATTGGCCTAGGGTCAGGGTATTTTAGGTTTTTTATATAATGTGCTATTATTTGTATTTTCTGACCCTGGGTTCTGTTCTGTATATGGCCTAGGGTCAGAATGTATTTGTATTTTCTGACCCTGGGGTATGTGCTGTATATGTGGTATATTAAACAGTGTAATAAACGTAGAAGTTCTGTACACATTATACAGTTGTTATTGTTTTTGGGGGAGCTGCGGTGGCTCTGTGAATAAGATGCAAGTGGGGTTAATACACATTATACAGTTGTGTATTGTTCATTGGATTGGTGGGTGGGGTAGTAGTGGCCCCTATGTTTCTTCCATAAAGGTTGAATAGGTGATGAAATAAAATGGGGTTTAACATTCTACTTTTCTGCATTGACAAGGCTAATGGAGACAGACATATGTCATACAGTGTGCTATGAGGGAATATTGCCCAAACATGTCAAGTGTTCCTTTACTTGATTGTGAACGTGTACACAGGAACTTGGTTTTTCGTACCATCCGAATTTCTAAGACACCGCAACTCTCGGTGCTGATAGGACCTAACTTGCTGTGTGCATCCAACAAACTGAGCTACAATCTGTCATCGATTCACTTGGGCTTTGTTTCTTAAATGGGCTTAATATGCAACAAAGAGTATGGCACGTTTTCCATGTATAGCCTACATTTCCGTGCGGGTTTCCGCGGGCGAAATGGTCGGTCAAATGCATGGACCGTTTCCATGTATCCGGCGAAAATACACGTAGATATGCACATATGGAAAACTTACCTCATGGGCTCTTTTCATTGCTCAGAGACAATACCCCCTGCACACAAGCGAATTATAGAAGGGGAATCCAGGGGGTGGGGGTGGTTTGTCAAGCATTTCAATTGGAACGAGAGAATAATTGTTTGGTATATTCCTGTTTGTATTTACTTACAACCGTGAAAGATTAAAACTGAACAATTTAAACTGACTCCTAGTCACCTCAGATGTTTGGTTGGGGCATTTCTGAAGTGACTGAAGCTTATAATTTTAATTTGAAGTGTGGCCCAAAAAGAAATAGGTTTTCCTGAAACATTAATAAATGTATGGTAAAGGCTTATTCCCAAAATGTATATTAATATTAACACAGCCTGTAATTTCCAGGTTACCAAATAGTGTGTCCCACATAGCCAACTCGAAGCTCTAATGTGACCCTACCAAATGGATGGAAAAATGAATACAGAGCAATGGGAGTTAATCCCGTTTCGACACTCTCTTGTGAAGAAAAACAAAGTTAGTATATTGACCTATTTACACTGGTTTCGTAAAGTGAAATAAAAGAAGTGATAAACATTGACAGACTGAAAATCTAAGACTAAAATCTAGGACTTTGTATATACAGTGAAAATCACATGTAAAGGCAGAAGTATATTTACTGTCAACAAATCTACTGCTTATAAACTGTCAGTTAGCTCTACTTTTGTTTTTATTTTGACAATTTCATTGAATTTATGTGATTTAATTAGCATTGCCAACGGGTTTTCAGATACAACCATTGACTCAAAAATGACAACGATACTGCAATTGTGAACTATCTAGAATGAATAATCTGAAAAAATTTCGAAAAAATATTGAAAATTAAAAAAGTTATAGCGTTTTAAAGAAGGCAAACCAGAGGCGCTAAAAAACGGCTTTTTTAAAAAAACCGCAAAAAAGTGACCGAAGCCAATATCTCAGTAACTATACAAGATAGGTCTATGAAAATTGCACTAATTAAAGATCTAGATGTACTTAATAAAGCCAAATTGTCGCTATAATATTCTAGTATATACTTTTTATGTTACAGAGGTTCAAAGTTGGGATCCGTGCCGATTTCGCACAAATCACAGCAAAATTTTTTTCAAATTTGTGTGTACTTAAATTGTAGCGCTTTGACATTAATACAGAGGCTTATTTTTTAATGAATAAGCACACATAAAAGTGTTTTCAGTCTGTTCTGTTATTTATTTTTTGCATGACAACACCTTAAATCACAATTTTTGACTGTATGATGTCAATGTCGAAGAGAAACAAGTTTATGTATGTAATTGGGCACCTACTGGTTCCGAGGCCATTGACCACTGGCCATTCACAGTCATACAACAATTATAAACCGTTTATACTAACGTATACTGTGGATATTTTTAAAAATCATGAAAGTGTGTGGCAAAATGAGAAATAAACCTGTAAGCTTTTGGCAGATTTGCCGCCTTTGCCACGCCAACTGCTTTAGTTGTTTAGAAGCTGCCATGTACATCAATTTGAAATTGTTTGTTTCAGGAATGAAAATTAACAATTAAACTATGATTTATATAACAGCTATATTTTTGTGATCAACATCACTACAATTTCAAATAAAAACAGACATAATTAATAGACATAATTAAAACATTTGAATATCTTAAAAGAGTCCAAATTAAAAGGTAAGCTTATAAAAAGTAAGATATGATCTACATGAAAGAGTATTAAAAAAATTAATTTGTGATACATGTGCATTACGATATACTATATTATAATATCAGTGGTAGAAGTCTAGCTTTCTTGTTGAGACATTATCCCATGAAAATAAAAACAATATAAACATTCAGATGGTGATACATCTTGCCGAGACATTATCTATGTCATAAAAATATAAAAATATTAAAAACAAAATCACAATAAGATCAAAATTCATATCTGTTACTATTTAATATGAAATTAAAAATGTTCACCCACCGGTTTAAAATAAATGATAAAAAAAAAGAAACCATTATCACATTTATCAACAAATATAAGATTTCTAATACATGTATCTTACAAAAACAAACAATAATAACAATATAAAATAATCACATTATTCATATGCGATATTTTTCAAAATAAACAAAAACATTTGACGCATCAGGCCACTTCTTTCAGGTAGAAAATGTTAAAAATAAAATAAATATTATCACAAATATTGAAATAACAAAAATAAGATTACTAACACTGATTTCAAACAATAAATTAAACTAACTTCTATGATTCATACCAAATTTATAATAATTATGGACTTTCTTGAGAATGCTGAGAAACAGTCAGTTTCAAGCCCCCCTTTTTATAGTCCTCATGCAAATTGTATGAGTAGGCCTATATATCATCATCATTTGTCTATTTTATGTTGTACCAAGTAATATCAGGGATCGCCTTTGGCTATGTTTGGATTTGGATGAGTATATATTATGTAGCTTACTTCTTCAGCTACAGTTCCTGAAAAAAAAAATCCAAGGTGGTCAACAACATTCACAATTTTTATCCTTTGTTAGTGAAATGTCTGGCTAAAGTTTGGTTGGTAGCTTTAGTAACATTCAATATAATAAAAAAAAACTGTCCAAATCTAACATCATTTTTTTTACACTGAAGTCTGTGTGGGGGGGGGGGGGGGTAATTATGGTCTGAACCCTGATCAACCACGAGTTACCTCCCTTTAATTCCACATGGTTCAATTTCAGCCATTTTACGAATTCCTACGGGGGATACGGACTTAACAAATGGTCAAACTAAGTAGTTAATGAATTGGGCTTTCCAAATATACCAAAATCTTGAGCGTCGAGGGCCTTTTTCGAAAATTTCTCTCAACTTCAAATTTTCAATTCATGAAAAATATCAGAAAATCTTACCTCAGCTTCTCAAAATCCTACTCGACAGCAAGTTCATCTATTTTTCTCGATGGTAAACATCACGTGGTCAATGTTTGACACTTTGAATATTCATGACAAGGCGTAACACGACGTATACTTTTCTCGGTCAACTTTTTGTGATGTCTGTAAATAGTACAGCCAGCGCTCTTAGCGGCGTTTAGCATCGCTAATTTAATATACCCCTTTTTTTTGTACATTATCCATTTTATTAATCTGATTATCTGACAGTTTCTGGTTGATAGTAAAGAGCTAAGCGATATAGCACCAGCACTTTTTTTTACACAATTTACCCAAATCTACCATTATTTCAACTAATGTTACAATATCATATATGAATATTTGATAATATCATATGCCATTCTTTATGTCAAATTGTCATGTTTAAAGGAGCTAAATCTCTATTCTTTAATCTTCGGCACCTAAAAATGGACACAAATGGGTCACAATGCATATATAAATAAAGTAATATGAATGTACCGGTATATAATTTATAAATAAACTGATTTAGTGATTTACATTCAGTCATTTCTGTTTTTACTGTAAATTTTCATCAGTTATGTTCTGTGAAATATGCGAGTCCAAATTGAATGGCAGTCTTTGACGCTGGTAGTATTTCCGGTGAGGTATGTTTAGCCTCGTTCATCAAGTCGCTTCATTACAAGTAGCGCTCGAAAGCATTCTAGCACTCGAATCGTGTGCCAATTTTAAAATTTTCATTTTGTCTTAAATGTTAGATCAGAAGCCCATCTTTTCACTGTAAGATAACAACATCAATGTTGATTTACACTGACCAATAAGTCATGTTGTTTGCATTGTCGAGGACTGAGGATGATATTGAATTAGAAACTTTTCTCCTTTGATTTAAAATTTTGTGTGAAAATGCCCCTCCATATGCGATTTCCAGGAAGTTTGGATATCGTAACCAAGGGTCATTACATATGTAACACAAATCTGGATTAAGACTAGTAATTATTTCGCCTTATTTCATGATGGATGAATGTAGTGCGAGTTATTAATAGACAATTTTTCCCTTAATTTTTTTCTCCCCTCTTCCTGCATTTTTTAGTTGCCTTTTTGGTCTAGAACTGGAGAAAAGGGATAAGATTTGCAACCCCCTACAAAATTATGATGAGGGGATTGCCAAATGTGGTCCTCTATGTGCCTATAAAGATTGGAAAAAACGTAATGTTGAGCAAAAAGCTACAGTCTGTGATGTTATAGCCATTTAACATTTAACTCAATGGGCGAATAATTGCTAGTCTGAGTCCATCTACATATAGGCCACTATCATTTCAACATCACATTTGGACACAAAAATGCTACGATGTTTAAAAAGAAAATCGCAATTTGACATAAAAAAAGGTAAATTATCAATAATTGATATAAATTATTGTGATATGAGTTGAAAAAATGGTGGATTTGAGTAAATCTTGCTACCTTATTTACAGTACCTCTACTAGTTCCTGTGATCGCAGAAACTTGAAATTATCAGGGAATGTTAAGGCCGACTAGAGATGACCTCACACCAAATTTTAGCTGATCGAGACCACTCATCATGTAATGATTGATTATAGACTAATTGTCATAATTTTTATTACTATTAAAATGCCATTCTAATTCTTTTTTTTAAGGTTGAATTGAATCTTGGACAATGGACGTGGTACATTTACAAATCTAGGAGAGAAATATTTTGAATTATAGTATAATTATAGGACAGGTCACAAGCCTTCCATGTACACAAAATGGTTAACAAAGTGTGTATTCTACCATTTCTGTTAGCTTTTTTTCTTCCAGTTACATTTCTCATTACGTAAGTAAATTGAAGAATAAATTTATATGACACTCACTGATTACAAAAACTTTATCTTGGTAATTATATGATATCAGGCGTGTCAAGAGGGGGGAGCAGGGTCAGTGGATATATTTTCTCTACAACATTCATTGAAATAACATCGAACAATCAAACTAAATGAGGAGAAAAATTGTCTCAGAACTTCTGATTTATAAAATTGTATGGTAATGCCAAACCTGAAGTCGTCTCCACCCTTTACCCCTGCCCTCCCACCCAGCCCCCTACGCACCAAGCGATAATCAACATTTTGAACTGACCTATCTTGGATAATGAATTCTTGTAAATGATATTCAATGGAAGAATTTGTAATAAACATCTTTACTGAAAAACCAGGGAATCACTTTGGCAATTATGGTTAATTATTTATAAAGGATATAGCAAAAATAAGTGTTTTGACAATGAGCTCAATATATGATATGTGTGCACCTTAATAGTAAGTGCAGGGGGACTGCACTACTCACAAACAATTACACAAGATAAATTTATTGACAAGACACAATATGCTACTATTTCTCTAAAGCCCGGCCCATACCGCCACGACTTGCCCAGACTCTACCCAACGCAACGTCTTGTCTCAGATAATCAGTGCAGTGTGGACAGTCCCACGACCACGATTCAATCGATTTCCGTCCTTCGTGGCCCATCGGCCCGATTGAACATGTTCAATCGTAGTCGGATGCAGTTGGTTGCAGTCGTAACTTATCGTGTTTGTGTGGACACTCACATGACGCGATCAATTGTCTTACTGATGTTTAGCCAATCAGAAAGTAGCATTTAGTCATGTGACTGTGCAGGTAATGTGCTCCTTGTTTAACTGAGGGAAAATTCAAGATGGCAGATTTTTGGACAGAAGAGAGAGAGGATGGCAAAATATAATGTCACTTTTATGCTTCCGGTTTACTTTTGGAATCACTCGCTAGAGGGAAGTGGCGTAACTCACGACGCATAATCTGTGAGAGTCGGGCCTGTGTGGACTGGTACCGTCGTAGGCAAGTGAAATAAAGGTGCGACCCGATTTTTTTTTACAACTACCCAAGACGCTGAGTCCTGTCGGCTTGTGTGTAGTTGTAGCTGTATGGGCCGGGCTTACGAAATTGATTGATTTGTATGTTAAAAATGTTATCACATGATTATTAATTGGGACAGGGTCACAGGAGTGTGGTTCTTCGGGGATATGGTAATGGGTTCTGAAATCATTGCTTACTCCCACATGAATTTTCCCAGCTCTAGTCATCACTCATTTCTGTAATAAATGATTGAATATTGGCAGAAATTCTGGTACTTTACCATTTTAGAATAGTAAAAAAATTTCATAATTTCAGTCTTACTTTTGATCAGTGATTAGGAGTAGTAATTTTATCAACCATGAGAAATATTGATTTTGTGTCTGATTTGTTTTTTATTAATACATTATGACGTGGAATTAACCACAGACATTCTACCTGTATCAATTGTAGGCAGTGCTGTATTTAGATGAACAGATGCCCTAGGCTATTCCAATTATGAGGCCCCTGCCATTAGGGTTGGGGGATAATAAAAAAAAAAAAATTAGTGTGATAATAATTTATTAAATATCACCTGAAACGATATGTTTTAAGTAGTCAAATTTTGAATACTTGGGTCGAAAAGCATCACTTGATGTCAAATTATTGTTGCTAACGTCGTCGATAGATGCCATGATGGAGATTTACCCTAGACAAGCTGGTATCTAATAATGCTAATTTTACTGAAGAATTTGATTCTATTAAGGTGATGATATAGCATATGTATTATCATTAATTTTTAAATAAGTCCGATATGATAAAATCGCTGATGATTTTATCACTATATACGAAAAACCTGGTATATCGCCCAACCCTACCTGGTGCACATGAACAATTGGCAATGGAAAATCACTGCCAAAAATCATTCCATTTTTATATTTATGATTATTACTTATGTACTTTCAGGTATGCTGTGGCAGTTAAATATGGACATGTTTATGCTGCATTTCCTTATATAAGGTTAGAGAAAGTAATATTTTTATAAAGATTTTCTATGTCTTGTTCTCATCAGGGTAATAACTACAAGGCAAAAAAGGAAAGTGTACTCTGGAAAGCACCAATCAACGCCAAGCATCATTGTGTGTGTGAAATAGCTTTAATTAACATCCGCTTCCACCGAAGTGATATCACAGACAAAAGCAAAGGATCACTTGGCAATTCAAATTTTGGCAATTTAAATTTAATGAGCAAGTATCTAAGTTCTAACCATTGCCCACTATTTCATGTAAACACTCTACAGAATACATTCATCATCTGATCGTTTACAAAATTTATATATGTTGTTAACATTAGTCTGTGTAATTTCAAACAATTTCTGTTAATTTTGTGTAGAGTAATGGCCCTTGTTTTAAGTTGTATAATGCTGTGAATGCCCTAATGACAAAAGTGATCATTCAGTCTTTATAATATTTATGTGCATTATTTAAATTAGAACACCAAAGAAGCATATTGAATTTCAAGAATTTCCTTTAATAACTGCTGGAGTTATGGTCCTTGTTTCACTTTGTAGAACCTTGTGAACACTCTACAAGATGTTCTCAAGACTCCTTTCCTTTTATTATTAGTTTTCTTTGATGTCATGGTGGGGTGAGGTGAGTCTCTGATTGGTCTATTATGTACACTTTAAACCACAAGATCCGTCATAGATGCAAGTGTGTGGTTTCAATCCCATTCTTTTATATGACCAGGAGTAGGATCACCAGCATAACCCTATCCGTCTCCCTACCTCAACAATCTATGCTATAATTTTATCTGAAATGTTGGGTTGTCAGTCATCTATTCAACACAAGGTTAATCCCATTGTTGAAACCCATTTTCTGTACCATTAAACTTTTATAACTTATGTTTCAGTGATACAGGTTCATTCCCACCAGAGAGTTGTATATTTGGTCAGTTTGTAAATATTTATGCAGTTATTGGTAAGTAAAATGTTAAAATTGTTAAAATTAATCAATTTATGATAGTAGGGGGAGGTGGGGTGGGGGGGGGGCAGATAAATTTGCAAGGATGAATTATAATGAATAAAACACAGCAAAAGGACAACCATATTTGTCAAATTTAAAGGCGAGAACAGTAATGAAATGGCTAATTTTATTGTAGTTGGATATCACATCATGGTGAAAATATTTCATGGCCAAGTTTATTTATAGATCTATGATTATGACAAGGCATGTTTAAGAATAAGTTATTACAATTATAAGATTTATCTCCCTTTAACCATCTAACCAATTGATTTTTTGATTTCAGGTGCACTTTTTATGTTTGTAAGATATTCACAAATACGAGAACATTATCGCCCTGTAGAAGAACTAGGGGGAGCAACTCCATCTCGTAAAAGAAAATTGCTAGCCAATAAAGTGGCGTTAGTGATTGGCTTACTGGGTGATTTAGGTGCGAGTATGGTCGGTAACTTTCAGGTATGTACCATAAAGTCATAACATGGAGTATAATAAAAAAAATATTTTTGTCCGTATCTACAAATCAGGTTACACTGATCAATAATATTGTACTTACTTCCCGAGTTCCCATCCAAAACACTAACATTTCTTGAAATTTGGTGGGGGGGGGGGGAAGGAAGGGTTAGCGTGTGCGCGCTGTCTCATAAGGTCTGTCATTGAGTCAAATGGCATGGTTTTGATTCCTCGGGTGTATGTGACAATGAGTAGGGTCGCCTGTCCAACCTCTTGGGTTTTCTCCGGTTTCCTCCCACTGCTAAAGACCCCTACACGCAAGTCAATTATTGAAATAAAATTGAACCATGTGTTAGTCCTGAAAAGACCTATCTTGTGATGTGTGGACATTAAACCTCATTTCTCTCTCTCTTTGGAAATTTAGCCTGAAATATCCTATCGAGTCACACATTTATTTATGACTAGTTGCTGCCGCTTCATCAAAAGTGGAAATTGTTTCACATCTTTTATTGACAGTTGGAGGTAAAATGTATTATAATATCAAACAAAATACATTTAACACTTTGATTTAGCTTGCTACTGTCCTGTATTAGTCAGTCTGTTAGTTGGAGCAGCGTTAGTCGATGTGTTGGCTTCCTGGTATTGGCCGAGAAAGTTCCTTGAGATTTTCCAGTGTGGTTCCCCCTTGTCATTGGTGCAGGACAGAGGGCTAGGCAAGGGACAAAGTATAGTTCTTCGGATGAGACAATATGTACACACTGGCTTGCACGTAAAGAACCATCGACAGTTGGAATTCGATATAAGAGTAGACCGTAGTGCCAATGTCCGGGCAAATTTGCCCTCATAGCACACTGTATGGTATATGCTTGTCTTTATTAACCCAGTCGGTGCAGAACAGTAGGACGTTAAACCTCATTTCGTTTCATTTTATGTCCCAATTACTAAATGTCATTCAAAGAATATGTCATGTTGGAATATTTTCAGGAGGATGCGGTGATAGAAGCACATGTTGTTGGTGCTTTTATGGCTTTTGGTTTGGGTGGAATTTACGCTTGGATGCAATCAGTTCTATCATATGGTATTTCTTCTTTAAACGGAACAACTAAGTGTTGTCGCCATATCCGTATTGTACTGTGTACAGCATATACAATTCTCTTTATTCTAAGTATCCTTTTACTGTTTAATATTTCCTTCCACATCTTGTGATTTTGCTTTTGTCATAATGAACTATTTGTATATTTTTTAACACAGATTCTGATCTCTTTATACTTAACATATAACGTAGATGTTAAAAATTTAATATTTAGAAATATAAAAATCTCTGCTCAAGAGTAGTACAAACATATTTTAAGTAGAAATGGTTTATTTTTCATAATATTTATTTTACAACTCTTTTTCAAATAATAATAGTAATTAATCCGATTCCACCTTTACATATACAAGAGTAGTGACGTAATAGGATTTTTAGATTTATAAGATGGACAATAATCATGATTTTTTAAAACAGAAGATTATTAAAATTAACCGAATAAAAAATTAGAGTAATCAGGGTGTTTGCGATTTCTAGATTAGATTATGAATAACTGAATAAAATTTTTTAAAATTGAATTAATTATATGAAAAATGATAACAAATAAATGTTGATATTAAAATTAAAGATTTTCTTAAATTTAGTCGAATTACAAAATTCTAGAATTGAATAGTTTAAGTGTGGTAAAAGTTCATTGCAGCTGCATGTTCTTCATTTTGCAGTATAGCCAAGATTGTAGATCTTGTAAGAAATTTCTATCGGATATCTATTTCTTTTATCGGGTCTTGAGAGTTCATATTATAAATTTATAAACGTACATAAATCTGGAGATTAGAACAGGCGGATTCATTTCGTCGGCCATAGAAATCTTTTTGGATTTTTTAATCAAATCTTTCAATAAAAGAATTGTGGATTGATGAATTTCATGGTTTCTGTTTCTTTTTTCTGTGCTGACTTCGATATCTCTTATTTCTTCTTCTAAATAGGTATTTCTAAATAGGGGTGTGCAGGGATTTTTATATTTCTATTTATAACTACTCTCTCTGCTGGCATCATCAATTGATCCAGCAGCTACACAGATCTACTCTATTAGCATAATGGTTTCGACCGACATTTGTAATGAACAAAGAAAAATATGCAGAATGGACTTAGCAGAGCTATACACCCTTTAACTGTCATAATCCTTATCTTTCCACCAGTGATAACATTCACCACTATATCCATGCGTTTATTTCATAAAAACCCTAAAAAATGGAAACCTGATGATCCGGTAAGTTTGATTTATACATGATTATACTTGTAATCCACCAGATTTTTATGGAGCACATTAAGGATGTTTTCCTTCAAGGACTAAATAAAATGGGCTAATGAGGAACTTTCTCTGGTAAAACTGAAAGTTAACCCTAGACCTCCTGGTTAACGAAATGAAATGAGGTTTAACGTCCTACTGTTCTGCTCCTAAACTGGGCTAATGAAGACGGACATACGCCATACAGTGTGCTATGAGGGAAATTTTGCCCGGGCAGCGGCGCTACCGTCTACTCTTATATCAAATTCCAACTGCCAAGGGATCTTTTACGTGTACGCCAATGTGTACACGGGACCTCGGTTTTCCGTCCCATCCGAACGACTAGACAGCTGTCTTTGTCAGGCCCTCCGTCCTGCATCACAGACAAGGGGAAACCACGCCGGAAAATCGTGATGAACTTTCTCGGCCAATGCAGGGATCGAACACCCGACCTCCAGGCTAGCGAGCCAGCTTCTTACCCACTTAGCCACGTGATCCCCTGTTCTGCACCGACTGGGCTAATAAAGACAGGTATATGCCATGGTGTGGTACATGGCACTACAGTCTACTCTTATTTCCAATTCCAACTGTCAATGGTTCTTTTACTTGCACGTCAGTGTGCACACGGGACCTCGGTCTTTCGTTCTATCCAAACAATATACGTTGTCCCTTGCCAGGTCCTTTAAACTGCACCACTGACAAGAGGGAACCAAACCAGAAAATCCTAATGAATTTTCTCTGCAAACAGAGACACCAGAATATAGAAATAGCTGAATTTGGATGAACATTCTCGGCCAATGCAGGGATCGAACACCCGACCTCCAGGCTAGCGAGCCAGCGTCTTACCCACTTAGCCACGTGATCCCCCTCCTGGTTAACAAGCCAGCATCGTATTCACTGAGCTACCATGGCTCCCCTTTTCAGAAATTACTAATTCATTTATTGGATCCTGTAAAATATTTCTATGTAAAATGAAAATATGTAATCTCAATATATCCCAGTATAATTGGTTTGAATAGCATTATATAGCTGATGTAAGGACAAGACTCTTATTCTCAGGTGTTTAAAGATACTTTCCCACAGAAATATTTAGCGGGTGGTTATTTCCAATAAAAGTATGTCAATTTAAACATGCATTATGCAAGAGCAAAATCTGCTTATTACAAGTCTTTCTTTAGGCCTGAAATGTTATCTAAATTATCAATTAGACATTAATTAACTTATCCAGACCATAATAAACTCTCGATGTCAAGGCTAGCCTTCGATGTTGGCTGGATTAGATTCCTATATGCCGCTAACGGCCATTGATAATTAAATCAAATAAAGTGGATAATCGAGACTATGCTGTTTATATTAATGATTTTAGTAATGATGACCGAGACTATGCAAAAATTTCACCCTTTTTTCTTCTCGGCTCATAGTGGATCAATTTGACTGAAATTTTCAGCAAATTACCTTTACACTATCTAGTTTTTAACTATTATAGCGAGAACTGCCATCTCTTTATCTTATCTCCCATAATGTATCTTTAAGTATATATGGAAAGTAGAGACACTCCATCTTACTAGAAAAATACTGGATTCCTTGAAAATACCCATGGATAAAAATGAGAGGGTGTCACTAATTGTTAGTCTGATGATTAAGGGCTAATGGTTGCATGTGTAGATTGTCTAACCTCCTGGCATTAGAAAGCGCTTGATGTATATTTTAATAAACTTGATGGTGATGAAAAAGTGAGAGACTTAAACTTACAACAGTTTCTGAGATAAAAAACAGAGAAAAGACATAGGCAGGGGAGATCCGAGAATTTACTTAGGCTTTGATATTTATGATTAATGGGCAGCGATTAAAGACAAGTTGTATACTATATTTGATAGTGTTATCAACATTAAGTTGCATACTATGTTTGATAGGCTTATCATCAACATTAAGTTGCATACTATATTTGATAGGGTTATCATCAACATGAAGTTGTATACTATATTTGATAGGGTTATCGTCAACATTAAGTTGCATACTATATTTGATAGGGTAATCATCAACATTAAGTTGCATACTATATTTGATAGGGTTATTTGATAGCGTTATCAACATTTAGTTGCATACTATATTTGATAGGGTTATCATCAACATTAAGTTGTATACTATATTTTATAGGATTTTCATCAACATTAAGTTGCATACTATATTTTATAGGATTATCATCAACATTAAGTTGCATACTATATTTGATAGGGTTATCATCAACATTAAGTTGCATAATATATTTGATAGGGTTATCATCAACATTAAGTTGCATACTATATTTGATAGGGTTATCATCAACATTAAGTTGCATACTATATTTTATAGGATTATCATCAACATTAAGTTGCATGCTATATTTTATAGGGTTATCATCAACATTAAGTTGCATACTATATTTTATAGGATTATCATCAACATTAAGTTGCATACTATATTTTATAGGATTATCATCAACATTAAGTTGCATACTATATTTGATAGGGTTATCATCAACATTAAGTTGCATAATATATTTTGTAGGGTTAAGATGAATATTAAGTTGCATACTATGTTTTATAGGGTTATGATGAACATTTAGTTGCTACTATAACAGAATGGTTGATGGTTGTAGCGTTGTCTCTATTTTTCGCTACATTTTACAAAGAATTTAAACAGATTGGAGTAAAAGCAAAAGTAATTCAGAAAAACCAAGTTGGTATGAATGAATCTGTGTAATTTTAACATATTGAAGGTTGCTAAAAATATATTTTTATAATTCTACTAAGATGGATTAGCTATCGGGCTAACATACTGTTTATTCTATTTTTGAAAATACAGTGCAAGTCATATTGTTATGAGGTAACTCATCTTACACACCTCCAGACTCTGGAGGTGTGTAAGATCCAGACTATATCGCCAATGGCAACTATTGATGTTTTAAGGTGGCTATTTCACGGATCAACCTTTTGTAAACTCATCAGGGGTTGATACTGACATAATATTAACCTCCAGTAACCACATTCTTTAAATTTTACATGCACATGGTAAGCAGCAGTTTATAATTGGTGGTAATCGTTATAGTTTGTATCCATGTGTATGGTTATAGTTTGTGTCGATGTGTATGTCTGATAGCAACCTATTTCCAAGGTTGTTATTCGAAATAAAACCTGCGGACTTGTATGCACTTACGATTTCTTTTATCGAATAAAAACCTGGAAATTGGTTCCTATCTACCACATAATGACTGAACATTTATTATGTGAGGTGGGTAGCTAACTACATTTAAAATTTTAGATCCACAGATAGAACCAATGTTGAGATAAAACTGATTTGATTGTCAACAGTGGACAATTTCTGTTCAGCAGTCGACAGTTTGTGTTCAGCAGTTGATAGTTTGTGTTCAGCAGTCGACAATTAGTTTTCAGCAGTCGACAGTTTAAGCCAAAAACAAAAATTAAATTAGCCAACAAACTAGCATCTGTTTAATATTTCAAAACAAAAATTAATCAAATGGATCTGCTGTGGTCCCATCACTAAAAGCTATATTAGTTCAGTCTAATTCAATACCTTTTTCTTTCACATAAATCTGTATAATGGCTTAATATGAGTTTTATTGAGATATTTTAATAATACGGTAATAATATTCATATACAGTACTAATAATGTTTTTTATGTTAAGTATAGTATTTATTTTCACATAAATCTGAGTGGATAGCTAATTTTTGCAAAAAAAATTATAATGGCTTAATTTGAGCTTTATTGAGATATTAATAATATACTTTTATAATGTTCATATAGATACTAATGATATGCAAAAATGTTTTTTTTTGTTATGTTAAGTATAGTATTTATTTTCACATAAATCTGAGTAGATAGCTAATTTTTCAAAAAAATTTATAATGGCTTAATTTTGGGTTTTATTGGGATATTAATAATATACTTTAATGATGTTCATATAGGGTACTAATGATATCCAATAATGTTTTGTTTATTTGTTATGTTATGTATGGTATGTAGTTTATTCCTCTATATACAATGTTATAGTGCCATTAAACCACACATTGGTTATTGTTGGAATTCAGGTGCTGTATATACACTATTACTTAACCTTTACAACTTCTGAACTGAAATGTGGTCATATTTTGTCTGCTCTCTGTCTGTCTAATTGCTGTGAATGCCCCAACGGCTACAGTTATTATCCAATTGACTTTCTGTTTATACACAGTGTTTGTGTGCATGAGACAAAGAGGCCTGTTGATTTCTGTTGATTTTCAATGATTTCCAATCATTACTGTCCAGAATTAATTTGAAAAATTTTGTGGGTACTGTAGTGGGAGGAAACCGGGTGACCCGGAGAAATCCCATGAGGTTGGACATATGATCCTACTCCTTGTCATGTACAAGCGGGGAATCAAAACCATGACACTTTAGTCAATGACAGATCTTATGATGCAACGCACACACGTTGACCATTCGGCCACCCAACCCCTCCATACACAGGAAGAACAAGAAGCCAATCAGAATTTGATCATTTCTAAAAATAATGGGTTGTTATTCTTGATCAGGTTTTAGAGTCTTGTCAATGTTCCCATTACATGTACCCACAAAAGAATAAATATGCAACAACCTTTGTGGTCTGTGCGGATGACTTAGCTGCTATGGTCGTAATTTTTTTATTGTAGGGCAACCCTCTTTTTTATATCATATTGAATTTGTTATATTCTTTGATGTTCTGATTTATTTGTTGAATTTGTATTCAGGTTGCATAACAATGCAGTGCAGATACATTATACCTGCCTGATACACAGATTCTCCTCCTTTTGTGGATCAGCCATTCTTCCATTGTATATTTTTGATATTGATGTATTTTATCCTCTGGTGAGGATCTAGTACAATGTTGCTGTACTGTGGTCTATTTGCTTAAAGTATATTTTTTAGGTAACTAAAATGCAATTCAGATGCTAAAGTTAAGCTAGTTTAAAAATGCTGACGATTGTTAAGCTCTTTGATTGAAAATGAACCCACTAAAAACCCTCAGCTTCCTCCTTGTTTTCGAGAACATTGTTTTTCTAAACTGAGTTGTTTGAAAGAAGCAGCTTAAAATTGTCGTATTCAGCTAGATATTTATTTATTGTGTGCTATAGAAATGTGTAATGATAGATAAGTGCATTCACATTCTGATAGGCTCATGAGAATTTGTGGGTTCAAGTAGAATATATATGTGCATACTGCATAATATATGATAACCTCTGACAGTGGCTGTCAAAACAATTAAACTGGGTTCACTTATTCTGCCATGGTGGCTCATTGAGTAAGATGTGTTCAATCCCTGTGTTGGCCGAGAAGGTTCATCAGGATTTTTTAGGGTGGATTCACTTTTTCAGTGGTGCAGCTCTGGCCTGGCAAGGAATAATGGATAGTCGTTCGGATAGGCTTAAAAAAGGTCTAATGTACATAAAAGATCCCTTGGCAGTTGGAATTCAATATAAGAGTAGGTCATAGTTCCGCTGTCCGGGCAAAATTTCCCCCATAGCACACTCAGTACACTATATTAATTTTGGAATTTTGAATATTATTTACCATGTCTTGATGTCTGATTGGGCTTATTCCTGGTCGGACAATTTAGGACGTTTGGAAAATAGCGTCGGACATGTCCAGAATTTACGGGCAAAATCCCATCACTGGTATGGCGTATGCCCATCTTCATTAGCCCAGTTGGAGCAGAACAGTAGAACGCTAACCCCATTTCATTTCATTTATTCTGCTCGCTTATTCAAATCATCTTGTATTGCTTAACGTCTGCTTCCACCAGTGTTTTTAAACTTACTTGAATATAAGACATCTTAACATTGTATAAATGTATCTGTCATGTTATATATTATGGCCAATATTTATCTATTGTTATAGCTTTTGATATAGTTTATTTTATTGTATATTTATTGTTTAAAAACCAATCTTAATACCGGTACATATTTATAATATTCAGGAACAATGTTGCTTTGTGAACAAACATTTCTTCCTAAGGGATCGCTGGTACATATTTGTAATATTCAGGAACAATGTTGCTTTGTGAACAAACATTTCTTCCTAAGGGATCGCTGTCGCAAGATTTCAACAGTTACCAGTACATATTTATAATATTCTTGAAAAATTCTCCTTTGTGAATAAATATTTCTTCCTAAAGGACCATCGCAAAAATTCAACACTTGCGTCCAAATGAATAACCTGCAGAACTGGGTGGGTGGGTTGAACGACACCGCAGATAGAAAATGATAAATAAAATGTCAGTTATTACTGAATAATGAACGGAAGTTTCCTACATTTTCTTACTCCATCAGCTCTGATGGGCAGGTGGGTAGATGGGTTATTCATTTTTCGATGGCCCCATAGCTTGTAAACATATCCACTGCCTATAGATATAACTATGCATAATAAGAATTTATAGAATATATTACAATATTAATCTATATTTTTATTCATATACTTATCATATTAGAAATGTTTTTATAAGAAATTGTGATTGATTTAATGAATTATTGAATGTTATTATCCCTCTAGCACTTGGCCTACACCCGAAACTGCATAAGTCATGTGAATAGCTGGGAACTATCTTCTTTGAGCTGCATTTTGCAATTGATAGACATAATAAACACAAAAACATTACGTCGGTGGGGAGTCAAAAGGTCGTATCTGGATTTTGCGAAATTGTCCAGGAGAGCCAAAAAATACACAGAGGTTAAGAATCAAAATCTCTAATAAAACCGTCACGTCAAAATGTTGTATGTAAAATGTCGTATTTCTGAAGCTTTTCTTAAATATTTCTGTACAAAGTGTATGTGTACCCATTAAAACAATATGTATCAAGCTCAACATTTAGTGCAGAAATAAAGAGTGAAAGCTAGTTATTTGCAATTTTATACAGCAAAGACGTATCTCAGGAAAATATTCACCTTTACCTGCTTCAATTTCTAGAATTCACACAGTAGACGCTTAACAATAATTTCTATAATACATATTTAACTATAAAACAATACTGGCTACATTTGAGACAAGGTAAATATTACATTCCTCTATATTTTGGTGCTTAAATTTCATACATACTCGGACTTTTATTTTTGAGACTCTGTTCAAATCGGGATAGTCCTTTTGACAATAATAAGGGTGATAATCCGGATAGAATTTTGGAAAACACTAAAAATTAATAAATAAAGTGTATTGAGCAAACAGGAGCCAAGCCCACCAACGACAACATTCAATTCAGAGGGCTAAAACTCTACTCAAATTTGCTTGATAACGGTGAGAGAACCCTCAACAAAATGTAGCTTTAACTGAAATAGTAATTTTGTTCCATATAATGTTTTTGTGTTTTGTTTATGGCTGTGAACTTGTTCTGTGACTCATGCAGTCTGGGGACACAAATCTGTATAAAATCTGTATACAAAATATTGTATAAAAAGAAAGTAGTGTCAAAAATGAGTTACATAACACAATGTAAAATACATCAGTTTGCTCAAATTCATATCTACATGTACCAAGTCCTAAAGGGTTAATATGAATTTTGTATTTATTAACAATATTATCTTTCAGTAACAGAACAAGCCTCTGTGATACTTGTACCCTAAGAATTATTTAGGATGTTTCAACCACGGGCACTTGAAGGGATTAAAATAAAACTTCTTACTACTGCTTGACAATAAACATTGTAGTATATATAGTCAAGCAGTAGTAAGGAGTTTTATTTTAATCCCTTCAAGTGCCTGTGGTTGAAACATAGATATTATATATATCCCTGATTAATATCTCTTATCTAGCCCTAGAGATTTATTTCATAGGTTAAGTTTATTATAGATACTATATATTTGCTTTGATTTATATCTACCTTTTTGTTATAGAAAAAAAATTATATTGAAGTTAAAGTTTAAAGTCTCTGAATGTCATTTGATGGATTGAAGAAACCCTTGCAAATTACAAAATTGTGAAATATGAATATCTAAAAGGGAATATCAGTCAAAAAAAGATTCAATTCTATTTATTATTTACAAAGATGTGATGAATTGAAAATTTGTCAACATTCGTCATCTACTGCATTCAATATAAATCTTTGGATGGGCCTCGTTTTAATACGATTAAATTCAAGCCGGGAGATGAACTACCGTTGACATTTTTATTTCTTGAATAAATATTACACTTTAGCGAGGATTAAGCCGTGAAAAATGTGATATTTTCTGAAAATACAAATGACACAGAGACTTTAAACAGTTATAATAATAGTAAAGAATGAAAGCAATGGTGTGTTGGTGTTAATTTCATCCCATCTATGTCTTTGATGACATATCCGTCTTCATCACATTCCCCCCCTCCCCCCTTTTCCCCTTTCAAAAAATAAATTTCGACATGTTTCATAATCATCCAGACATCCTTACAGCCAGTTTACACTTGTCAGAAATTTTCATTCATCAATAAATAATAATAGGGCTTCAGTAAATTATATACAGCCTGTCAGATTGTTACAAGCATTTCGTTGTCTATATATGGTGTGCTACTGATTGACAATACATAGCCACCAAATTATCAGGTTGATTAATCAAATTCCAAATGTATGGTTTAAGACAGAAATTGTCTTGGAGGCTGCCATGTTTACAGTAGACAGATGCAGAATATTTTGTTAGGGGGTTCCTCACCCCCTCGCAAACGATCATAAAGCCCACACTCAGTGGTAGAAAGCTTGCCAACCTCCTCCCCGCATCAACAAAAAGCCCAAATTTTATTACATGTTGTATGGAAACAATAAATGTAGTAAGTGAAATGTTTATACCCATGCCCATAAGGTCCCCCACCTGGATCTGCCTCTACATTTTTCATTTTGTATAAACCAATTGTAGTATAGGTAAACCCTGATATAAACATCATAATGTAGGTACGCTAGCGTTGGGGAAGACATTGACTGACATGCCAGTGATTGTATGTCCATATAAAGTGTGTTGTGTTTTTTTGATTGACATGCCATCACTGACTTCACATTGGTTATGTATGAGGTGCAGTGATGTTTTGCAAAACAGATTTCCACCAATGAGAAAGTGGGAGATCACCAACTAATAATCCTTGGTGAACCCAGAACTTTAATTGTTTAGCAATTGTCAAACTATTGCAATTTCCATCTGGGTAGAATATATTATGTCTACTCTTTCGAGTTTCGACAGGAGGGGTGTACTACTATAGGACTTCTTTCTTGTTGTGTTTATTTCTTCGTGATCGTAACAAGACTACAGGATAAAATAGTTTTACAACTTTATTGCTAAGCTGTAATGGCTTTGCAGGTTCCTTGTTCTCAATAATATTAATAATGGCTGCTAGGATTTCTGAATGAGCTCTGATCCAACTCGCTCTACCCCCTAATTTCTGCAGGTCTTCGATAACCTTGAGTTAATTTCCATCCCATATATATGGAATAAACGTCTTTATTTCACACGTTAAACCCCATTTCATTTATTTCAAGGATTTGGGTTGCCTGTCCAACCGCGTGTGTTTTCTCCGGATTCTTTGGTTTCATCCCACTGCTAAAGACCCCAACACACAAGCGAATTAGTGAAATAAAAATGAACCATGTTTTAGTCCCGAAATGACCTAGTTTGTGTCAGACGTTAAACCTCATTTTTTTTCTCTCTCTCTCTCCAATTTTCCATTCACTAAAAAGAATATAAAGGGAGGTAATCATAAGTTGTAAGGGAAATGAAATGGGAGGGGGGGGTGTTAAGGTCCTACTGTTCTACACCAATCGGACTAATGAAGACGGGCATACTCCATACAATTTTGACTGGACAGCAGTGCTACGGCCTACTCTTATATCAAATTCCATGGTTCTTTTATGTGTACACAGGACCTTGAGTTTTTGTCCCATCCACATGACTTAGCACCATTTTTTGTCCCTTTGTCATGCACCACTGACAAGGTGAAACCACGCTGCAAAATCCTGAGGAACTTGCTTGACCAACACTGGGATCGAACCCGGGACCCCTTGGTTAGCAAGCCAGTGCATTACTCACTCACTGTAAGAGAGGTGATACAAATCATTTGATTTTCTAAAGTCAAGTAGATGATATCAAACGATTATCTAAGTGTCATGTAATGATAAATTTATGAATTTAGATAAGATTGTTTATATTTAGCTCAAATACCTTGTCTAGACAAGCAAGATTTGCTTTTGGAAATTCTTAAATAGATGAAAAGTGGTGTCACTATATGTTCTTGTACAAGTGCCTGTCATAGCAGACGCACAAACTTGAAAGTTTCAGACATAGCAGCAGTGACACATGGACTAGTTTTAGATGTCAGCTTTCTCAATACAAACAACTATTTAAAAGTAGCTAAGTCTCTAACTCAATGTCATCTAAAGTTTTCGACATTGAAGATTTAGCTCCTTTAAATAAAGAGTGTGAATAGGATGACTTAAAATTCTGATGCACCATTTTAAGCAATAGGAATCACTTACAAACTACAATATTGTGAACAATGAATCTTTAATATCAATATCAGTCCAATAATGGTTCAATTCTATTTAGTATTTACAAAGATATGTGGAAATGAAATTTAAATTTAATTGATCTATAGTGCTCGCTATTAACAAGACACCACCAACTTTTATTGGTCACGAAAAAAACTGGTGGACCTAGTTTCAATCTGATTGAATCAAAGCCAGAAGATTATCTATCGTTTATATTTTGATTTTGTTTTCTTAATTAAATGTTAAATAATCAATCTGAGTATATATTAAGATGGATTCAGTCCAAAATTTGATATTTTTGCGACAAATGCCAAGGGCGTATAGGGACTTTAAGCGAATAAATGAGTTTACAAGCAGCTCTGATACATTTTGGTTAGGTCAAGGCATCAAGGGCATTCTAATGAGAACTTATCTCTGAAGAAAAATATTATGCTTTCACAAGCATTAAGAACTCCAAAAGTAGCATTATTTAGATTAATTAATCTACTATCTAGTAATTGGGTGACGACACATTTTCCAATACCTAAATACATCTCTACTTGCTTGAAGTCTGCATTTTGAAGTCAAAACACCACACATAGAAATATCCCAACAATCATATGACAAAATCCAATTACATTGTAAATTATACGTTATAAAAACTATATCTCTAATTATACATTGAGGGAGGAAACAAATTAGATTCGGAATTGTCATGAACTATGTTTGACCCAACCACGAATGTGCTGATGTCGTCGGCAGAAATGGTTTATATAATAATCAATAAGCAGAAACACAAGATGGCAGATGATTAAATAAAACTAATTTTATTCATGGTAACATGTTGACCAGATGACTAAAACAAACAAATAAAACTAAATACAGTGAACAATGGCTAGATTTAATATGGACATTAGAACATATTAACCTATTAGCACCTGGAAAGCCCCAAACTACTGCTCCTTACAGCCCCTCAAACTCTCCTAATCACAGCTGTGAACTGTATAAGGATTGTAATTGTGCTTGAAAAGGATAAGAGAATCATTGTACAAACATAGCTCTGATTAAAACAGCAACTGTTTTCCAAAGAACTCTTCTGTATATTTTCACTGTAGTTCTGTGAATTGAGACAATCTAGAGACCAGTAGTTTCGGATGGTTTTGAAAATGAATTCTAAAACTAATTGTAGAAAAAAATAATTAATTTCTTCAGGGAACAGTAATCAATATTTATGTGTACCAGGTGCTAAAGGGTTTTAAAAACTTATATAACTTTATTGAGTAATTGTTTTTTCTTGTAATATAAGATATTACTGGCTCTTCAAGACGTTTCTCTTAATGACAATCTGATAAATCTAATCAATAATGATACAGAGCTGTTGTAATTGAAAACTTCAAGTATTAATTACTTCAACATGACCGAAATGTAATAAATGTGTGTGGGCAATGTAGACTGTGTCTAACTAGCTTTTGTGAAAATTCAAATTGTTTGTTAAATCTGTACAAAAAGTAATTAAAACAAGTTTTTACTCCACAACAAGAGGTGTGCCATGTATCTACTTCTCAAATTGCCATTAAAACAGTGAATTTTAAAGAAAGAAAAATGATTATAGAGAGATAGAGAGAGAGAAATGGAGTTCAATGTCCACTCGACACAAACTAGGTCATTTCAGGACTAACATAGGGTTCAATTTTATTTCAATAACTTGCCAGCGCGTAAGGGTCTGTAGCAGTGGGAGGAAACCAGAGGATCCAGAGAAAACCCACAAGGTTGGACAAGCTACCCTACTCCTTGTCACGACCCTACTCCTTGTCACGTACAACCTGAGAATCGAAACCCTGTCAGTTGACTCAATGACAGACCTTATGATACAGCACGCACATGCGCTAACCATTCGGCCACCCAACCCCCCAAAAGGTTTATAATTGCAGCATAAATCAACCATTACATGATTTTAAAAAATCAATATAACCTTAACAAAAACACTGAATACATTAAAATAACATTTAATTATAACCACATTTATGATTGTAAATTTAAAGAATTTTCAGACCATTTACATTTTAATGATACTTTTTTGATAGGGCAAGAAATGGTAGATGATGAGGTCATTAAGAAACTTCTTAAAAGAGAGAGATATATATGATCAATTACATGCATAAGATTTGAATTCCTATTTTTGATGCCTTCATTTCAAATAGTTTATAGGTAGAAACGGCAAGAAATGGTATGTTTTGAGGTCATTAAATAACATCTAAGAAAAGATATAATATATGATCAATTAAATAAATAAGATTGAAATTTCTATTTTTGGGTTGTAACTAATTATAACTAATAATTTTTGAGTTGACTTGCAGTATGTAAGCATTGTAGGATAGATTCAATAACTAATATTTTTGAGTTAACTTGTATGTAAGCATTGTAGGATACATTCAATAACTAACATTTTTGAGTTGACTTGCAGGCATTGCATGATACATTAAATAACTGATATTTTACATAAACATAACAACCATAAATAAAAATATTGGTTCTTCATAAAATAACATAAAGCTAAGGATACACTCATCACATATTGACAGGGGTGTAATTTAATACTGACAGGATATCATATATTGGATTATCATCCTCACAATCACTGAAAAGCATGAAAGAACTATGATGCTTAACACTTGACACTGTTAAAGAACACTGGTCAGAAAAATCAACTTCTAATATCCAAATTCAAACTAGCGTTTAATTTAGTTGTATCAAGAACAAGATAGTCTATGCTTATCCTTTCTAGAACATCCGATACCACCTCTCCTTTACATAAGGAGATCACATGACTAACAAATTTCGTTGTTTATACATGTATGTATGCACATGTAATAGAAGTAAGAATATTTTTCTTGTCCTGATCACTCAGTGTAAATATATATCTTTTAGACGAACAACTCTAATAGCAGCCAAGGGTGTAAGCAACATCACATTTTTCATACATGACAATAGGAAGATGATTGAGTTATTGGTATAAAATATTATTGATAGGTACAGCATACATGTTAAAATAATGGAATATATTGAAACATATTATCACAATTTAACTAGTGTAATATAATGACATTGAAAGATGATAACATTATAATCCTTGAGTGATTGTATTCCATATTAATATACCTTTTAGTTAACTAACTAGTATTTGTGCTTGAATACAATAACAGAATAATTGTTGAAATGTTGTGCTATATGTGTAACAAACGATTAACTGTATTCCATATGATTTGTTCTTTTTTGATAATTTTAACAAGTTAAAATCTAATGAAAATTAAAAACATAATGACTTGAATTTGCAACTTGACTGTGAAAGTTACACCAAATTCAATAGGCTGTTAACCATAAGCAACTATAGTATTTAGCATAGTAGTTCAGTTTCTGTTATCTATGTTTAACCCATTTTAGCTGCTACATTTGAAGATAGGACTTATTCATTAACATACTTGACGAGGCTGTTCTGTACTCAGTTACAATTAAAATATAGTCTACATGTATGTACATGTACAATCAACCCAATCATTGAGAAATCTATTAATAAATTAAAATTTCAAAAATTAGAGATTGAGGGTGTTTAAAGTTAAAAAATTAAAAATATTATTAATTATGTAAAAGATGTTTAAGTTAAAAACATGTCACATTTTGCAAAAGATTAAATAGTTATTTTATACCTTCACCAACAAACTGTTAAAATACATAATAATGAATGGATGCAATTCTTACAAAATTCATCAATAATAAACCAAATCATGTAAAGCCCCTGATTGTCAATTCCATTTTTAGACAGTTTAATAGACAGCTTGGATTTAATCAAATAATAAAGCTGGCCATCAAAACATTTAAGCAACGATTAGCTTGTTGTGACCACATCCCATTTAAATCGAATGTAGACGAATTTCAGTTCATCATAGCTTTGAAAACACAAAAGGAACTGAACCATTATTAACCGATATTCCGTTTAGGAATTTATTTTTTAAAATATTTTAATTTGCAAAGGATTGAAAATCTTTCAAATGACAATCAGAAACTTTCAGTATAATGTACCATAAAACAAACAATTGTGTTGTAAGAATTCATTCTGTAAAATAACCAATAACCATTTACTGTGTACACACTGGACTTAATTCTGGGGAATACAATTACTCAATTATTAGCGTGATAAAGTCACATATTCCACAGAATCATCTCCTGCATAGTTCCGGTTCAATTACTAAATACCACTGAAACAATGTAGTGTAGTTGTCCCCCACCCCTTAAAATTGTGACATTCATTTATTGGCATACAGTATGAGCTTCGTTTATAACAGAAGCAATTCCGAATAATTTAAAATTTAATTTTGGCATCTAAGAACATCTCGATATTTTGCTTCCATCCCCACATGACTTTCCCCAGATTTTAACACAATGTCATTATAAAAATGAAAATATAAAAGATGATATCATCCCTATTGTCAGTTACTCGGCTCTCTGATACTTTCTTGTACAGGTAACATCTTTAGCTTCTAATGTCTGAAAATAAAATCACATAAAAATCATTAATTTTAGAAATAGGAAAAGTTCTAAGCACTTGATTTAGATTGAACATTAACATGTACCTCCTGTTTACATTAATCTTTGATTTAATGGAAACAAAATTAGTGATCAATTGAAGGTTTTATAATATTAATGCATGTACATTTTCACAACACATTCTCAGACTTAGGTTCTTAACTTTGGTCTGAGACTAAGAATGCTTTGTGAAACTGGGACCAGGCAAATATTAACTAGTAGTAGCATGTTCAAAATCGCTGTGGATTTTAAGACACATACTATAAACCAAACCAGTTCAACCATTTTGACCTTGTTGGTTAAAGGTTAGAGTTAATCAAGCATGTCATCATTCTGCCAAGAAGCTGGCTTATCTGCACGTGCCCAAAGCAAGCTATACTAGTGCCTGTGATTTTAAGCCGCTTAATCAGATGGCCAAGATAAGACAGCTTTTAAGAAAGCCTTCTCAAAGACTGGTACAGAGCTTGTTTTTTTTAAACTGGTTTATTTGACAATTGGCTATTTCTTGTTAAAATTTCAAACACCTATAACTTCACTCAGAATACAGTTCCTGTAATTTGACTTAAGTTTTCAATGTATTCATTTTTCATTATCTAATTTTGAACTATTACAGCAAGAACGGCCATCTCTTTATCTAAACATAGGCTGATGTATCTTTAATATTTGTATATTAGCTTAAGTGCCTACATGTATGTCTTCAAAAAAACGTCTAAAGAATTTCATACTGAAGTGTCAATGACCGAAGGATTATTGTGACAAGGAGTAGGGTCGACTGTCTAACCTCGTGGGTTTTCTCCGGGTCCTCCCACTGCTAAAGACCCCTCCGCACAAGCGAATTATTGAAATAAAAGTAAACCATATGTTAGTCCCAAAATGACCTAGTTTGTGTTGAGTGGACATTAAACACCATCTCGCTCCCTCTCTCTCTCTCTCTCTCTGAAGGATTATGCAATCCAACCCAGTTGAACTGTTTCATTTGTCTATGCTGTAATATTTACATGTACCTTGCAGGTATTTGCATACTCTTAATTAGTGTTGGAGAAAGCAATCAAAGTAAATACATGAAAACTTCACATGTCAGTTCGTGTACATGTATACCCACTAACTGCGAATCCAACATAATGGTTATAATGACCGACTCAAAGAGATTTTACACCAATCATTTTAGAGTAAATCATTTAAGAGTAATAACTCATTCAATAGAGATTCTATACCGTTTACTTAATTTAAGAACAATTGATTCAAGGGTGATTTTAAGCCAATCATTTTTAGAGTACCGTAAGTCAGTCAAGGGTAATTTTACACCAATCATTCAATTTAAGAGTAAATCATTCAAAGGTGATTTAACACCAATCACTTTACAGTAAATCATTCAAGAGTAATTTTACACCAATGAGTTCAGAGTAGTTCATTCAAGAGTGATTCTACTCCAATCATTATTAGAGTAAATCAGTCAAGGGCAAGTCTACTCCACGAGTAAATCAGTCAAGGGAGAAATTGTAATATATTCTGTTTTTTGACATGTATAGTTGTAGTGTTGTTTGTCTTTTATTAATTTTAACATTAGCAACAGGTGTTGACAAACTTCTGTCACCATTCTTATCAAAGAAAATATCTTATTGATTTATAAAAAAATTCATACCAGCGACACATCTATTAAGTATTTGTATTTGATCTCCTAAATCATTAAAAAAATATATTCAAAACAAAGAAACTTCATGTATAAGCTTTACCGTATTAAGCCTGTATTGTGATAATTTAGCACTTTATAGGTGGACCACGTATTAAATAATCCTAAGACAAACTAATTACTAAATCCGAGTCTGCAAGTGTGCAGGAATGGAAATAATGATTCTAGTTGTACTGGACTAAATGTTGGGCACTTATGATATTTGGAACTTTGTGCCAGACATTTATGAAAAATATCAATAAAAATTGGCAGGCACTGCTGAATTGGTGTCTGATCTGACATAGTCTGTGGCCGGTGCCTCATTTTTAGATTTGCAGCTGTGGGTATAAAATCTGTTATACATGTAGCACAGTGAGATATCCTTGGTATAAACAAGCCAACAGTGAGGCTGATGTCCCCCGCCAAAATACCAAAATAAATAGATGACACATTAATTTATCGCACATTTATTTTTTTTAAAGTATCAAGCAATCAAACTGATTATCAACTATACACTTAAGTTTCATCACTCTCTATCAAAGTTATCTTGTCCTAAAGCATCAACCAACAAGGCATTGACCTTATCAACACATACACCAAGTTTGAACATTCTAGCTCAATTAGGAAGAGAGTTATCGTGCCCCAAAGTATCAACCAATCAAATTGCTTATCTCTGCTTACCCTAAGCGGAAAATGCTCATCTAATCAAATTGCTTATCTCTGCTTACCCTAAGCGGAAAATGCTCATCTTCGAACTCCATCAAGGCATTGACCTAATCAACACATACACCAAGTTTGAACATTCTAGCTCAATTAGGAAGAGAGTTATCGTGCCCCAAAGTATCAACCAATCAAATTGCTTATCTCTGCTTACCCTAAGCGGAAAATGCTCATCTTCGAACTCCATCAAGGCATTGACCTAATAAACACATACACCAAGTTTGAACATTCTAGCTCAATTAAAAGTTATCGTGTCCCAAAGCATCAACCAATCAAATTGCTTTTCTCTGCTTACCCTAAGCGGAAAATGCTCATCTTCGAACTCCATCAAGGCATTGACCTAATCAACACATACACCAAGTTTGAACATTCTAGCCCAATTAGGAAGAGAGTTATCGTGTCCCAAAGCATCAACCAATCAAATTGCTTATCTCTGCTTACCCTAAGCGGAAAATGCTCATCTTCGAACTCCATCAAGGCATTGACCTAATAAACACATACACCAAGTTTGAACATTCTAGCTCAATTAGGAAGAGAGTTATTGTGTCCCAAAAAGTGTGACGGACAGACAGACGGACAGACAGACGGACGAACCCATTTTAATAGTCCCCTGCTTTCTTCGAAAGGCGGGGGACAATTAACCTATCAGATGAATACTACACATAGTATGTAATCTAATCGATAAAGCCCTTTTAAGAGGATCAAATTTTGAAATTATCAATGGCATGTTAAATTGTTATCACAGTGTGAATAGGGTTGTTGACCTTCACATCATCACATCCTGTGATAAAATTAGGCTTCTGACTTAAAGAGAACATTTGCCTATTTTAAATCTGAAAGGCGAATACTTTTTTTTTTCATTTGATTGTTTTTTGTCCACCCAGATCAATAAGTAATCAATATTGGTAACATCTGTTCTGTTCTAATCTCAAATTCGACATGTAGTATGAATAATACAGTCACTTTAATTTTAGGATTTATAAAATTCTATTTTACATGAAAACATTGGATTAAATTCGAAAATCTGTGAATATTATCAAGCTAAGAATGACAAACATAAAACAACCTCACATGCATCCCCCCTCCACCCTACCTCTATGCTACATTTCGAAATCTGTTTAATTTTGCACTGCATTTGGTACATTAGGATACAATGTTCATAACCATTTCCTGTAGTTTTTGAAAGACAACTTTGTCAGCTGGGCCAAGGATTAGGTTCAGGCAGAGGTCTAGCAAGGAATAAAGTGTCTATCAATGGCAAGACAACCAACTGCTGTCAAAATATAAGGAGAAACATCTGTAGTTATTTATGTTTAGTAGGTACAGACCTGTGAACTGCCAATACATGTACAATTTGGGTCCAAAAGTCAAAATACCAGTTGATAACAAGGGGTATTAATCACAAAAAAATATACAACCTTTATATCATAATTATACAAGTAGTATAGTAGAGGTAACATTAATCTTATTCTTATCTCTTACTTACATGTATACTATACTCATGTTAAATTGATATAACTTATATTCAAGTACATGTAGTGATGTAAGATCATGACCATAGACATAACATAATGGTAGGCTAATCTTACAAATATAAACCATATAATCTAAAATCCTCATACTTAATTCTCAATTAGATATAGAAAATCAGAAACCTGTCTCCATTGTAGCAGTAAACTTACATCATGAGTTTAAAGAGGGTTAAATAGATGTACTTTGACCCTGTATAATTTGCGAGACATTTTCTTTGTCTGTCACTCCTATCTTTTCATGTCTTTGGTTTTTAGTACAGAGACGTGTGTTCTACAGGAGAAGTCAATTTAACACTTCACAAACCTAACAAACAAAACCTGTGACAATGTACAGAAATAGTTTGAGGTGTCACTTGTCCGACTCTTTAAAGAACATTTGAGTTTTACCTGGGCACATGTCTGTGTGTTATTAACGCTTAAAGTATTAAAACTCATCATTCCTGCAAATTCTGAATTCCCAAATTTTTGACACATTTTAGACCACCATTAAACATTAATGGCAACAGGAAGACTCAAGTCATTAACTTCCCACATCTTTTAGTTAAACATTTTGCTCTGTTGTTTCTTGGGAGGTGATTTGTCTTTTTTTTTTTCGGGTTTTGGCGTAAGATCATGCATAAAAACATCACTCCTAATTTTTAAATATGTGCTTTCACAAATAAGGGGGGTTGAATGGTTAGCACGTGCGTGCTGTATCATAAAGCCTGTCATTGGTTTCAAATCCCTGGTTGTACGTGACAAGGAGTATGGTCGTCTGTCCAACTTCCTGGGTTTTCTCTGGGTCCTCAAGTTTCCTCCCACTGCTAAAGACCCCTACGTGCAAGTGAAATATTGAAATAAAAAATTAAACCATATGTCGGTCCCAAAATGACCTAGTTTGTGTTGAGTGGACGTTAAACCCCCTTTCTCTCTCTTTCACAAATAAATACTGTTAAACTGATTTGAGCTTGGTCAAATCTGAGATATTATTAATTATCAACATGGCACAACTACTATAATAGGTTGATGTGTGTACAAAGTTTAACAAAGAAATCTTTAAACAGACATGCTCCAGAAACACAAAAATGGAGGGATGGATCATGGAAAGAAACCCATTTCACTATCTCTCCATAACTCTTATACAGGATAATAATTTCATGGTATCAACTACAGTAACTTTTTATATGTGAAGTTTTATATTCCGAAAGACAAGAACTAGAATGAATCAGAATAGTGTTTGGCAGTTTAAATTTCAAACAACAAATACTGGTTCGTACAATGATTCAGGATGGTGTTTGGCACGGATAATAATTTTATGGTATGAACTACAGTAATTTATATCTTTTAAGTTTAAATTCCGAAAGACAAATACTGATTCATACAATGATTCAGAATGGTGTTTGGCATGGATAATAATTTCATGGTATGAACTACAGTAACTTTTCATCTGTAAAGTTTAAATTCCAAAAGACAAATACTGGTTCAGAATGGTATTTGGCACTGATAATAATTTCATGCTACATGTATGAACTAGTCATTCTATATCTTTAAAGTTTAAATTTGAAAAGACAAATACTAGTTGATAGCATGATTCATGATGGTGTGATGGGTCTTGGTTCAACTAATACATGTTCAACATTAATGATGTAATAGATATTTACTATCAGGATAAAACTGTTATTTTGTCTGCTTGCCCAGGTCAAAAGGTTAACAACAAGTCAATTGAAGCATTGGGATATAATTTTACAGGAAACAACTTTAGTTTGGTATTAGGATATAAGTGGCAAATGGCATTTTACATTGGGACAAATGTGTAAAATAAATGAGTTCTATTTCATTTTATTGACATAAATCATACCTTAAAGACCCAACATGCCACAACAGAGGTTATATATGGGGTACAGGTCCGTTGGAACGAAATTCATATCGGGGAGGCTTAGCAAAGAAAAAATGAGGTCCTGGATGGCTTTTATATTATTGGGCCAGTTCCAACGGCCATGAGTGATAGAGTTTAAGACCGCACACAATAAAAACAACCTACATGTATATATACATGATGTATTAGAGGCATTTTGGTCCAAAATGTATTCAAATCTATCAATTTCATATACTCGAATCACATCCCTGCTCATACATGTATATACTTTATACACGAATAATCATGCTAGCTGTTCCTTTAAATCAAGCAGTGTATGAAGCGTCTAGGTGGAGTAAAAAAATTTGAAGGTGACTTAAAATGTGTTTTGGGAGGCTGATTTTTCTGTTTTATTTTATTCTGAGGTAATTTATCAGGTCTGATTTTGAGATTATTTTTGTTACCTGTTCACAGCAATAAATGCTTTATAGCATTAATAATCGCTTGTATTCTGTCTGGTTTTGAAATATTATAAATCTCACATATGATAGCTACTACAAATGTTAATACTTATATTTTCCAAAAATTAATCTAGGCTCTATTTACCAGAAATGATATCAAAAAGGTTTAGGTATCAGGGTTTGTATAGATTTGAATTAATCTTTATATAATAAGGGCCTAATGTATTTGAAATTAATATTATTCCTAATCCTGTTTATATACTTTAGTATCGTTGTGAGTCTGTATTATACATGTACATGTACGTATACAAGTAACATCAAACAGGATTTTAGGGTGTTATTACCAGAATATAAGTACAGAATTTATTCAAACTTCCTGATAGACTAGTTTTCACCCAGTCATATAATATACTTGTAACTCTCAATTTATAATTAATGTTAGCTTTATTATAATACACATTTATATTTAAATCTCCTTTCATTTACAAATATGTTCCAGAAGGTTAGTTGAATACATAGTGTCTATTATTTATATTTGAAAAGCTCCTTTCCAAAATTTGATAAAAGCCAAATCGACACTCTTCTTTTTTCAAAAACATATTTTTTGTCACTAAACTAAGCCCACATCAGCTAAACAGTATTTATTTGTGAAAGACATCCTGTTTTTACGCGAACTCTCACTCCAAAAAATGCAATAATACCTCCAAGAAACAGAAACATTTTAACCTTAAAACTTCTTATGTGCTCATACATAGCAAGACAATTCACTAACATGTATTTATCTGATTTTCATAATAGTTAAAAATTGACAAAAAAATTGAAAAAAGTCAAAATTTCCTGTTTGAAACACAGATCCTATTTTGTTCAGTTTTTTATAGTTCAAAATTACATTTTACTTGTCTTTACTACACTAGGATCTGGAAGAGTTGTTATTTGACGGATTAGCCAATGTGACGGTCTGCTACTCAGTGCTACAGCGAGTTCTTGGCGTGCTGAGCACAGAACTGTGGTTATTCCAATAGAAACATCAACATTGATTGGTTAATCAAATGCCTGACGTAATAGTTCAAATACCATTTGTATGACCCCTGATGCAACCTTCCACTACAACTGATCAGATCTTTATGTAATAGAGGCCATCGAAAGTATAAAAAAAAAACCCGAAATATAGATCTGTATTTTAATCAGATCACACAAGTGGCTACATGTATGTTATCAAGATGCTGAAGAATTACAATTTAAAATAGGCTTGGTCTTAATATAAATATTCAAATATTAAAATGTTGATATTCAGTTATTACATGTGTACATGTATCTACCATGTATTCATTTTCAATCGCTTCTAACTTTCATTAGCACATTCAGTGCAAAAAAGTTGAACATAAAACCCCATTTCATCTCAATTCTAAGCTTGCCACTTAAATTTGAATTCAAATACCTCTATAATTATAACATTATCAAAAGGAAGTGGGAGTGGTGCATCTTTGCATTAAAGAGGCATTAGTACTTTGGAGGTCTTGGATGGTTCTTTACAAATTTTCAATTTGATATGATTTGACTTAAGAGATTTATATCATACATGTTCAAATCTGCTTCACTTCAATGCAAAATTTGAGTCAGATTTAACCAATCGTTACTAAGATAATGTTTAAACTTATAATTTATTTTTTAAAAAAATCTGTTTTTCTTGAAATTTAAAAGAACAATTGCACGAGAAAGCTTACTCTAGGAATGTCAGTGTTCTGATTTTCAGTAATTATGTTGGGAGTCTAGGTTTATATTAAAATTTATTACATTTATATACTTAGTAAGAGTGATAACGCCTCTTTAAACTTGAAGTATACAGTTTATATTATATACTTTGTTTCTATCCAGATGGAACTTGTGAGATTTGTGAATATAAACAAAAGAAGGAACAGTTCAAAACATCCATATCACACATTAAGGAATGAAGAATTTATAATTGTCTATAAACAGATATCTGGTGTTTAATACAAGGTCTATTTATAGCATCTGACTGGCAGGCACCATTGAAACCACTGACATGTAAAACTATTTCATAGTATTGGGCACCATTACCCATATACACTTAATACGTTTTACAATTTCATTCAGCATAGAGCTTATAAAATATGCTGATTAACTTCTTGACACATATTACTAATATCACTTTAAAAGGCAATATTCAGTAGTCTCCCACTCACTTATCTCAGGTTTCCTATAGACAAATATCACTTCAACTTTTATGTAATCATTTCTTGAATGATGCATTATGCAGTAAGAGCTAAATCTGCCTATTACAAGTCTTATTTCAGGCTTCAAATCTTATATAAATTATTAAGATATTTATTCAAATGCCAAGCCTATTATCAACAGTCGTAACTTCAGCCAGAATAAAGCTATTTGAATGACATTTTTAATGTATTCATTTTTAATGATCTATATTTGAACTATAGTAAAAACGGACAGCTCTTTATCTAAATCTTACATAATGCATCTTTAAATAGTGTATGGCCTGTATTACAGACCATGACACTCAATGACCATAACGTTTTATGTCTAAAGACCCTTTTTCAATTGACCCAAAATATCATGGATGAACTTTCCACTTTTTATCTACATGTACGTAAGTCTGTGACGTGGTTCCGATTCCCCGCTTATATGTGACCAGGAGTATGGTCACCTGTCCAACCTCGTGGGTTTTCTCGGTGTTCTTTGGTTTCCTCCCGATGCTAAAGACCCCCACGTGAATTATTGAAATAAAATGGACGCTAAACCCCATTTTTCTGTCTCTCACTTCTGATCAGCGGGGACTACTCCATCTTCTATTCATGTCTGCTTTCTCCGTCTGCATTAGATATTGATCCAGCAGTTACAGAGACCTACCCACTTGTCCAGTCTTTGCTACTCTATCAGGGGATGTTACACTGTGGTCGCAAAGTGACCGTTCCTGAAACGTATCTCTTTGATGACTTCAACACAGTCTAACGAGGACAATGCAGGAAAGATATTTGATAGCACCACCACAACCACCTGCTGGCAAATTATGATAATCCTATAATATACACCCACTGTGACCCACAATACAAACCACTAGTCACCCCCTCCCCCACCCTCCCTTTCCACACCACCCAGAAAACAATCAATCTGATTAAAACACAGATCCTATTTCGTTTCTTTTTTTATAGTTCAAAATTTCGTTTTACTTGTGTTTACTACATTAGGATCTG